AGCCTTAAAAGCAGCAATAAAGCAAGGTAGGAACTCAATCTTAGTGATATGGGTGATCCGGTTGTGTATTAGATCCTCGGCCTGGTATCCATATGCCTTCTTCAAGGGCGAGAAACACCCTACATCAAGTGGCTGTAGGAGATGAGATGAGTGCGGAGGCATATAGAGAGTGATAATCTTGTTGTCTTTGCAGTACTACTGGAATTCGAGCGAGTTGTAGCTCTCATGACTGTCAAGAATAAGTAGACATGCTGCGCCAATAGTACGCTACTTTGTATGCACGTTGAAGTGCTTTAGCCACTGCAGACCAAGCTCATTTGTTGTCCAGCCATTCTCAGAGATTGCAATAACCTAATCGTGAGGTAGATCCTCTTCCTTGTACCAGGCAGAGAGGTGGTGCTTGCCCTGGAAGATGATAAAGGGTGGGATCGCCCAACCCATCACATTGATGCCTTGAATAACTGTCGTCCACTCCCGGTTGCTCTGCTGTACGCTCTTTGGCCTGCCTCGACGCTCAGAGCCTGTGACAACTGCTCCTGTTGATATCATGTCCATCATAAAGCCAGACTCATCAAAGTTGTAGGTGTCATTGTCTAGGATACTGTGCTTGGCTTTGGTATTCTCTACAAGCCGGAACCAGTCTTGTATAACCTTAGGATCCTCACAGAGGGCTCTCTTGTAATCATACTTTCGATTGAACTTAATTGTAAGCTCTGGCTGACGTTTGACAAAGGTTATAGCCCAATTCTGGCCGACTGGATCTCGGTGCCATGCAGCTAGCAAGGAATCAGCCATATCTTTGACAGCAGCAAGCCGGGGAGGAAATCCTCACGCGTCAAGATCAAGGATATGCCGAACAATCACCTCTTCTTCCATCTTTAGTAGCTTCATTGAGTTGGGCATGCAGTCATGTCGAAAGATCGTTCCAGCACGTCGGTCTCGTAGTGTTGTTCGAGAGACGTTGTAGATCTGTGCAGTGTGCCGTTCAGAGATATTCGCGTCTTGCTTAATAGCCTGGATCGCAAGCTGTACACGAGCTTCTTTTGAAGAAGGTAGATTATTGTGTCGTTGAGGCATCACGAATATACCGTAGTTGACAGTATAATTTGGTGGGATCTTGGCATAGTGGACGGCTCGCCCGTGTGGACGGCTCGCCCGTGAGGTACATTAATAGGACAAAAAAAAAAACATGTATGGGCTCACCAAAACCAAAAAAGAAAGAAAAAGTGTCGCTTCTGTGGATCGAACACAGTACCTCCAGATACCAACATTTCGTTCAATACCGAAGTTTGCAGCAGAGGTCTCCCCCATTCTGATTGCTTCAGTCTGGCGCTCTCCCAAGTGAGCTAAAGCGACTTGTAACTTGATGGTTTTTGTTACCTTTACGCAACTTATATGCGTCCTTTAATTCGCTCGCAGAAATTTGGCAGGTGCCACCCCACCTCTTCCCCCCCGCTTGGGCCCGACCGAGGCAACGACGAATTTTCGCCGCTGTTCAAGCAATTCAACGTCTCATCCTACTTGCACGTTTGCGACTGGACAATGCAAGAAATACACCGTACTTCCGTTAGCACCAGCTGCTGCAGCCTGCCACAACAGCTGGCACACACTCTTGCAAACTTGCAATTTCCTGGGCTGGAGCCAACCACTCTGCTCAAACGGGTAAAAGCCCACGGGTGTCCTTGGGCGCCACATCATGGTCCCAACCTACCGGACACCTGGTTCCAGGTCTCGTGTCGCTGTTGGAGCTGGGACTGCGCAAAAGTGACGAAACGCAATTATGACCTGGGTGCTTATATTGGTTGGACCCTGAACTGAATAACTTATATTAACAACCAACAACGCTTCGCTGGTTGTTGTTCAAGGTGGTTTTGGACCCCCTCCTCCCCTGGCTAGCAGAACTTCGAAATCCTGAGGTCTCCCCTCAGCCCGACGGCATCACGACGACAACGACGGCAACGACGACATCCCTTGCGTACGACGAGAACGCGACGCGGAGCGCGCAACGTGCCACAGCAGGAGCCAGCGGGCACTGCGAGCCACAACATGGCGGCCACGACTGAGACAGCGGCTCCCGAGGCCGTGGCCGCGACACCGAAATTCTCGAGATATAGGAGCGTGCGGCGCGGGCAGCAAGAGCAGACGCAGCACCACTCGCAGACACAGCGAAAGGAAACACAAGACAACCCACATTCGATCCCGATTCCGCCGGTTCCTGCGATTCCTCAAATGCCGTCTTCCGAGTTTCAGCGAGATGCACCCGTCAGTCGGAGTATGTCGAGGTATCATCGACGACCGACGGTTTCGCATGGGAGCGCTCAGAAGCCCCAGATGGCTCCTCTGGCCGCAGCTGCTCCCGTATCTGCCGCACCTTCGAATGCTCGCAGCCGGGCTCAGGGCAGTGCTCAGTACACCGCGTCGAACTCCCGCGTCAACGAACCTGCACCTTTGCCAAACACGTCCAGGCCACGGCGTGAGGAGTCGCCATTGGTATCAGCGCCTGTAGGCCGTGAGCCCTCGCAGGCAGCTCGGGATGAGGCCAAGCAATTGATGGAGCAGGAGGCGGAACGACAGCGGCGCATGCAGGAGAAGCTGAAGGCACAAAAGCGGGCAATGCTTGAGATTCAGGAGCGGGAGGCTGAAGCAGCGCAGAGAGAGCATCGCATGAAAGATGAGCAGGAACTTCAGAGGCAGGTACAGCAGGCTGAGAGCGCGGCTCGTTTTAAAAAGGAAGAAGAGGAAGAGGTGCATAGGGCTCGTCTCAGGAAAAAGGCACCAGAGGCGCAACAAACAAGATCGCCACCTACGTCTCCACAGAGGCATGGCCTCCATCTCTTTGGCCGGAGAAGGAAGGAGGATACGCCGTCCTCTCCTGAGACCCAAACTCAAATTGAACAGCAGCGACTGAGGAGCGACAGCTCCGACCGAGAATTCAACACGATCAGGCCTGGAGGAGGCGGTGCCGTTCCCGGTATTGACGCCCCCGTCTCAGCCATAAACGCCGAAGACGATGTAAGCCCTCTAAAAGAACAAAGCCCCTAGCCACCCCTTGAGCGCTAATGTGCATCACAGCGTCGTGTGCTTGTCGTCCGCAACAAACAGGAAATCTTGCTTCCGGTCACGGTAGATACAACTGCTCTCGATCTCATAAAATCAGCCGCCAATTGCCTGACCGAGCCTATCAATGTCCGAACTGCCACGCTCCTGGAGAATTATCAGAAAGTCGGCGTGACACGACCGCTGCGCAATTACGAAAGCGTGCGAGACGTGCTGAACTCGTGGGATGACAACCGGTCCAATTTTTTCAAGATTGTCGACGCGCCTTTCGAGGGTATCGATCAGGATGAGCTGCTTGTCCTAGGAGTGCCAGCCAAGAAGGCTTCGTTGAGATGCTGGATGTACTACTCGTCGAAACCTGGAAAATGGTCGAAACGATTCGTTACTCTGAGTGAAGAGGGGCAGCTGTCCATGGCCAAGAATATGGATGGGAAAGACAGTCAGAATATTTGCCATCTTACAGACTTTGACATCTACTCGCCTACGGAGCGCAAGCTATCGAAGGTCAAGCCACCGAAGAAGATTTGCTACGCCGTCAAGAGCCAGCAAAGATCCAATATCTACATGGACGAAACACGCTTTGTTCATTTCTTCTGTTCGAACGACAGGGACGTGGCGTCTGAGTTTTACAAGAAGATCCAGGGCTGGAGGAGCTGGTATCTAGTCCACGTGCTGGGCGAGGGACGCAAGGAGCGCAAACCAGTTGCGGAAGAGTCCAAACCTACTAGCCGCAACGTTTCTGGAGACTCTCAGCGCGCGCTGGGCCCAACACATGCGCGCAATCCATCCGTCAGTTCACACTACCAACTAGGGTCCTTCCTCCCACTTCTCGACCTGGATCAATTCAGCACAGATCGCAAGGACGGCGACGGATATCAACCCGCTCCAGTACCGGAAGCGCCAGCGGCCCCGCATGCAAGGCTAGACTCGAAGACGATGCACGCTAGAAAGATGTCAATGCGAACCAAGGGCCCGCCGCCGCTATCCTATCACCTTGGTACATTTGGGCAGGATAGCGCAGCGCCCCACCATCCACCAAAGGAGGAGCATACTTCGAGAAGCAATACTTTTTCCGAGACGGAATCTGACACGTTTGCACCCGAAGGATTGCTTGGGCGAAAATACTCTGAACGACGGCGCGCGTTGCAAGAAAGCGAGGCGAAGAAAGCAGCAGACCCTTTTACCGAGGGCCCGTCTCTGATAAATAACAGTCAGACATGGACTTCGCCATCGGCGGGCAATGAGAATGGGCTGGCACGACAGTCGTCGGTCCGAAGCCACCACCGGCGCACGTCGAGCGACATGCAGCGGAGCATGTCTACGCGAAACAGGCCAAAACCTCTAGTAGACCTGGCACCACAGTACAAGGAGCCACCGCAGCATGCTCGCAAGGGCAAAGGCTTCCACCCAGAGGGAAATGCCGGGCCTCTAGTCGAGAACGCAACGTCGCCAGAAGAAGCCATCAAACTCCCGCCGTCGACGACATTTCGAGCGCCTGCCCCTGCACGGCCTGCGTACGAGCGCACGAAGTCACTAAAGGGACGCGGGGAGGGATTAGCAGCTTATACAGTCAACAAGCACAGCGGGGCCCCTGAAGACGACAGCATTGCGTTTACCGGCGGACTTCTTGCTCGGACGGGCTTCAGCCAGGGACGCACGGCAGTAGGGCATGGAGTAATGGATGGATCGAAGGCACAAGGGCCGATGCTGGATCTGCGGGAGCCGTCCAAGTTTGTGTCTGGCAGCTTGCTCGCCAGCGTGGAACGGCAGCACGGAGGACCAGGGCCGGCTAATAAACGGCACAGTGTGGATCTCGGATGATGGTCTGCGGGAGAGAGGTTCAGAAGATGGGATAAGAAACGGAGGGTGGTTTTTTTGATGATAATGATTGATGATTGCAAGCAACTCGTTGGCGTTCGATATCCCTCGGCAGAGAATCTCGATTGTGGTGTTTTTCTTCACCGTCTAGAAGATTCTCCCGGTTCATCGATTGTGTATTCCGTGCTTGCTACTACGATGAATGTTCATAGTGCGGGGTGTGCAGCATGCTTGTGGCATTGCATTGCAGAGGCCGGCAACGGCCCCCGCATAGCTAGGTAGCACGGCGCATCATGACGGAAAGTCGCAAGGGTTTCACGGCGGCACTGTGGGGACTGGGACGACGGTTTGGTTGAGTGGTGGGCAGCGCGGCAAGGGCTTGGGGCCGAAGAAGCCGTCAGCGCGCTGGAGAGAAGGCATCTCGAGTCTCGTGGTTTGGTATGTGTGTGCTAAAGAGTTGGGCGGGGCGGGATTGGGGTTTGCAGTGACGTCAGACGGGGCGTGGGATGGCAGCAGGGATGATCAGATGAATGGGATGAAGGAAGCTCTGACCCCTCCGCCAGCCTCTTCCTCGCATCCATCAACCCTCCCTCCAGTCTCTCCACGTCGCGCCCGGACCCTCGACCCGGACTCCAACCACCACAACGCCCAGCTTTCTCACTCTACCCTTTTCGCCCTGTCAGACCTCTCCTGCGCCTCTCTTTGTGTTCCCCGGACAGAACATCCTGCGAACTACGCCTCCAGGCGCCCTCCTGTCGGTTCTGCCATCTCCGTTGCGATTGATCCGTTGTACAGAATTTCTGAAACCAGGCTTTATCTAGCGCCTGGACCCACGCCTGCCAGGTACAATTGCCATCTTTGTTCGCCTTCAGCAGAAAAACTCAACCATTCACAGATTTGCATTTCATAGACGTCTGCGAGACATACCATTTCCATTGAGAAGTCGATTGACACAATGGCCGAATCCGCCCCACCTCCGAGAGATGTCAACAACCACATTCTCTTCGAGATCGCCACCGAAGTCGCGAATCGAGGTACGATCCATCAAGAGGCATGTGCCATCTTCATCTCAGCTAACAACCTTCAGTCGGCGGTATCTATTCGGTGCTGAAGTCGAAGGCTCAGGTGACCACGGCAGAATATGGGTCCGCATACACCTTGCTTGGCCCTCTCAACAGGAAATCGGTGAGTGGGAAGGTGAAGACAAGCGTAACGATGGCCAAGGTCTAACTTCAATCGACAGGCCGCCGTCGAAGTGGAAGAACTGGAGCCCAAGGACCCTGCCCTTGTCAAGACGATCAAGTCCATGAACGACCGAGGCATACAGACCATGTACGGCCGCTGGCTGATCGATGGAGCGCCGCGAGTCCTGCTGTTCGATACCAGCACCGCATACGGATGGCTCGACGAGTGGAAGGGCGATTTGTGGTCCGTGGCTGGCATACCATCTCCGCCTAATGATGCTGAGACGAACGAGGCAATCGTGTTTGGCTACTTGATTGCTTGGTTCTTGGGAGAGGTGCGTATGGGAACCCGATGCAGGGGCGTGATGGATTGTCGCTGACTTCAGCCTAGTTTGTCTTCCACGAGACAAGACGCGCCGTCATTGCCCACTTCCACGAGTGGCTTGCCGGTGTTGCTCTGCCTCTCTGCAAGAAGCGACAGATTGACGTCACCACCATCTTCACCACGCACGCCACCCTTCTCGGTCGCTATCTTTGTGCCGGCTCGGTCGATTTCTACAACAACCTGCAAAACTTTGATGTAGATGCCGAGGCTGGGAAACGTGGTATCTACCACCGGTACTGCATTGAACGTGGCGCGGCGCATTCGGCCGATGTTTTCACAACCGTGTCCCACATCACCGCATACGAGAGCGAACACCTGTTGAAGCGTAAGCCAGACGGAGTGTTGCCCAATGGCCTCAACGTGAAGAAATTCTCGGCTACCCACGAGTTCCAGAATCTGCACCAGCAAGCCAAGCTGAAGATTCAGGACTTTGTACGAGGTCACTTCTATGGCCACAACGACTTTGATCCCGAGAAGACTCTCTTCTTCTTCACCGCTGGTCGCTATGAATACCGGAATAAGGGTGTGGATATGTTCATTGAGTCACTGGCACGACTGAACCATAAGATGAAGAGCGCGGGATCGGATATGACTGTGGTTGCATTCATCATCTTGCCAGCACAGACGCAGTCACTCACCGTGGAAGCGCTGAAGGGACAGGCGGTGATAAAATCGCTGCACGACACCATCAACGTCATTGCCGGAAACATAGCCAAGAAACTCTTCGAGAAGTCGGTTAGCTGGCACGAGGGACAGGACTCTCCTGAAAATATGGAGCTCTTGTCGAGTACTGACAAGATTATGCTCCGCCGCCGGTTGTTCGCAATGAAGAGGGGAAATCTGCCTCCCATCGTCACTCATAACATGGTCAACGACCACGACGATCCTGTCCTGAACCAGATCCGACGCTGCCAGCTCTTCAACAACTCCTCGGACCGAGTCAAGATCGTCTTCCATCCCGAGTTCCTGAACTCTGCCAACCCCGTTCTGCCCATTGATTACGATGACTTCGTCCGCGGAACTCATCTCGGTGTCTTTCCCTCCTATTACGAGCCTTGGGGCTACACTCCTGCCGAATGCACCGTTATGGGTGTTCCCAGCATCACGACCAATCTTTCCGGGTTTGGATGCTACATGGAAGAGCTGATTGAGAATGCTTCTGACTACGGCATCTACATCGTCGATCGGCGCATGAAGGGCGTGGATGAGTCGGTGAACCAGTTGTGTGACTACATGTTCGACTTCACCAAGAAGAGCAAGCGCCAACGCATCAACCAGCGCAACCGGACTGAGCGCCTGAGCGACCTGTTGGATTGGAAGCGTATGGGCATGGAGTACGTCAAGGCCCGGCAGTTGGCCCTTCGACGGGCCTATCCGGCTGCGTATGAGGAGGAGGAGGAGCCGGCGTTCTTCGGCTCCCACGAGGTCAAGATTTCGCGGCCGCTGTCTGAGCCTGGATCACCTCGTGACAGATCCGGTATGATGACTCCTGGGGACTTCGCGTCACTGCAAGAAGGACGCGAGGGCCTGAGCACGGAGGACTACATTGCGTGGAAGCTTCCTGAACCGTGAGTCCCCTATTAATATTCTTATTTCCATATTCTTACCCCTTACTAGTGAAGAGGATGAGGAGGACCACTTCCCTGTCCGCCTGAACATCCGGACCAAGAAGAACGAATCTGGTGCTGTGTCGCCCCGCATCAATGGCACTGCTGAGCCTGTGAGGGAGGCGACGGAGGCTGCGTAGTCTGAAAATCGATGCTGTTTCGAGCATCTGAAATCGTACCTACTGCATTGGCGAGCGGTTGCATGTCGGTGACATCCGTTCCTCTCAAGTTGTGTATAAGCGTGTAATGGATTAGTTTTGGAGTCTATAGTTTGGTGGTGTTTCTCAAGCACAGGCGTTTGAGTGGCCTACATATAATAGCTGAGTCCACTTCTCGAAATCCGTTGTGGTGTGACGGAGTGAGATACTTCGGTCATCCCGAGCTAGTCTAAATATCGACTTTGGACGCTTTGGGAAATAGGTAGATATGATTGGGAAGTGTAGATTGACTGTTTGAGGTGGAAGGATGCAACATTGCAATGGCGTGACCACCCGGCAGTGCTTCCTTGATAAACGGCAAAAAAAGCTTGGATTCAAGCATTCTGTTCGCGGAGCGCAAGGTGCTGTACTGTGTATGATGGTCTTGAGTCCTCGTCAGCGGTCCAGATCTCCCGAGGATCTGATCAGATAGATTCGCCCGCAGGCTTGGCGTCATGACATTATCTCCCCCGTCCAAGAAAGCGATCATCTCCTAATCCCACGCCCCTGCAGAGCAACACCACAGTCAACGCCACCCAGTCACACCTCTTCCAGGAACTCCTCCGCCTTTTGCTTGTCGTCAAGTCATTTTGCACCAGAAATTACAATGCAGCGGCACAAGACCACCGAGTCCGAGTCCGCTGCGGTCCGCTAACATTCCAGTCTCCTCTCCTGTCCGCCTTCCTTCCCTCAGCTTTCGCCGATTCCGATTGCACTAATCTTCAATCCGGTTGGAGAAGATAGAAGCCCTTCCACTCTGCTCCCCACTGACCGCTACGCCCACTTCTTCTTTCATTTGACGCGTTCTTTCGGCGAGCTTGTAACTCGCCTTCTTTTTCGCTGCGGCCGCACGATCACACCGCCATTCTCTCGCCATGTTCGGGCCCTGGATAGCCACGTTCTCGTGGTTGAAGAGACGGCTCCCGACGGGGAAAAAGGGTTGGAAGACGTGGATACCCAGCATGAATTTCATTACTATTCATTGTATGTACTTCTCCGCCCTCCCTACAGGCCAATTGAGGGACAGGGTGCCTCCAGGTAGGGTAGAGCACTAATCGTGGGCAGATACGTATATCATTGGCATGGCGCTTTTAGGATCCATTATCATCTATCCGGCCGGGAATATGGCGTACATCGACGCTTTGTTTTTCGCGAGTGGGGCGGCAACGCAGAGTGGGTTGAATACGTACGTGTTGCGACGATTGGGGAACGAGTGTTATGGTGAAGCTTACCTGGCTCCAGTATCGATTTGAATAATATCCGGTTGTATCAACAGGTATGCTTACTATCCAATCGGGATATCAGCAGATGAGATGAGTGAGCTAATTGGACATTTCCAGGTCGCCATCATGCTCATTACGTGCTGCTGCACACCAATCTTTATTAATACGTTCGTCGTCTTTGTCCGCTTGTACTGGTTCGAGAAACGCTTCCAGAGCGTGGTCGTCGAGGCGAGGAGTCTACGCAAGACGAAAACGAGATCCCGGACGAGGAGCGAGGCGAGGCAGGATCTAGAAAGGGATATAGGGCGCGAGGAGCGGGGTGTCGGAAACCGGACCATTGTCGTTCAAAGGAACGCAGATGGCTCCGCCATGGGCAGAAAGATTGATGAAGAGACGTCATTGGAGGGAAGCGGTAGTAGTGCTTTTGAGTCAAAAGGAGATGCTCAGGATAAGGATGAGGGCCAGCTATCACCTCGAACACAAAGCAGACCCGGGATTCAGCGCGATATCACGTTTGCGGATGAGCTGGAGCGGAAGGCGTCTCCTGAGATACGATTGCCGCAGCAGAGGTCCAAGGAGCAGAGCATTGCATTTGTGCAGAATCAGCGGAATCCACAGGATACCGGCGCGCTCAGGATACCGGGTCCAAGAGACTATGATCGGGGTTTCATGCCCGAGAGGATTGAGGAGGGTGACGAAGAGCTCGATAGGGAAACCACCAATGAGGATGATGGGGGAAGGTATCTGAGGCGGGCGCGATCCAACTCTGTCCCGCCACATGAGCTGAACATGGATGACCACCCGTTTAAACAGCACATCACCATTGACGCTCCCGATGGTCGCATAAGACCCAATACTGGCCCATCTGCCTACAGTCGAGCGCCAAGGTCGTCGGATGCAGAAGGCCCTTCGACGGGTATGTATCTGCGAAATAGGAGCAGGTCGCGAACGTTCGGAAGCTTCATCTCGAGGTCGTTAACGGAGGAGCGAGAACGGGATCCCATGCCGTATTTGAGCTGGACTCCCACGGTGGGGAGGAATTCGGCGTTTATTGATCTCACCGAGGAGCAGAGGGAGGAATTGGGTGGGATTGAGTATCGCTCGTTGAAGCTGCTGGCGATTATTCTTGTTTGTAAGTGAGGTTGGCTTGCCCGCAGCGGAGCAGAATGATGACCGCTATGCAGGTTACTATATTGGGTTCCATCTGCTGGGTATGGTCTGTTTGCTTCCCTGGATAGTAAGGGACAGGCATTACTCAGATATTGTATCGGGTGATGGCGTCAATCCTGTGTGGTGGTACGCGCCCCTTTCATTGGCGTTCGACCCGCATTAATCATTTTCCAGGGGCTTTTTCACGCCAGCTTCGATGTTCAACGATCTGGGCTTCGCCCTCACGCCGGACTCCATGATATCCTTTCAGTTGGCCGTACTGCCTCTGATCCTCGGCGTTTTCCTTATTGTCATCGGCAACACTGGGTTTCCCTGCATGCTCCGCTTCGTCGTCTGGCTCTGCTCAAAATGCGTACCCGAAGGGAGTGGCGTTTGGGAGGAGCTGCGCTTCTTGCTCGATCATCCGCGTCGGTGCTTCACGCTCCTCTTTCCGAGCAACGCCAATTGGTGGCTGTTTTGGGTTCTTATTCTCCTCAATGGCATCGATGTCATAATCTTCCTTGTCCTAGATGTAGGTCTGAACTTGTAACCGTCATGACTTCGGCGGAATACTGACACCCGCCTCCAGCTCCACAATCCCGTCGTCACCTCCATCCCTGGCGGCTTCCGCTTCCTTGACGGCCTCTTCCAAGCCGCATCCACGCGCACCGCAGGCTTCGCCGTCGTCAACATCGCCGAGCTCCACCCTGCAACCCAAGTTTCCTACCTCATCATGATGTACATTTCCGTCTTCCCCATCGCAATCAGTCTCCGTCGGACCAACGTGTACGAAGAGAAATCCCTCGGCGTCTGGGGCAACCAAAACGACGACGACGAAGGTTCGAGTGGAAAGCATAGCTATGTCGGGATGCATTTACGCCGCCAACTGTCCTTTGATTTGTGGTACGTGTTCTTGGGCTTCTTTCTCATCGCCATCATCGAAGGCACCCGCCTGCAGAATACAAACGACTACACCTTCACCCTGTTCTCCGTCTTATTTGAGATCGTCTCCGCCTACGGCACCGTCGGCTTGAGTTTGGGGTACCCCGGCGTCAACGCGAGTTTTAGCAGCCAGTTCAAGCCGCTGTCCAAACTCATCATCATTGCCATGCAGATTCGAGGACGACACAGAGGATTGCCGTATGCGCTTGATCGAGCGATTCTGCTGCCGAGCGAGACGCTGCACAAGAAGGAGGACGAGGATGCGGCGAGGAGGGCGAGGAGGGGCAGTGTGGCGGTGAGTAATGTGGAGGTGCCTGCTCCCAACGGCGCCGCCGTCGGGGGATCCACGGGCGAAGCTGCAAGTGCCGCTGGGGACGCGCAGGCGGATCTTGCGAGGGTCGGGACGGGCGCGACGGTGGGGCGTAGGGCGAGTGGGTTGGGCGTGAGCATGCAGAGGAGTAGGAGTTTTGGACGGTTCTTGAGCGGGGCTTTGTACGCGGGGCCTATGCCGAGGGAGAGGGAGAGGGAGAGGGAGAAGGGGGCTTAGAGGGCTGGTTGTGTTTCTTGTTTTCCGGTGTGGTGTTTTAGGAGTTTTGAGAGTACTTGTCGTCGAAGGGTAGATGGTCCAGAAGTGCTCTGGTGTTTGTGGCTTTCGGGGGATACCCTATTCTTTCTGATATATCTTTTTTTTATATACATAGTATATACGTTCTCCTCAGTTCAAAGCCACTGAGGGAAAGGGAAAGCCGGAAGGATCAATCAATCAATGGAATCTGGCCATTGTTCTCATTTGACGTGCTGTCAATCTGTCCGTCTCTCCATCTTAAAGGTGCATCAGATACATGATGAGGTTTACCAAAGTTTGCTTCGAGGCAGGCAAAGTGGTAATTCGAATGGGATTTTGGAGTCTTTGGCAATTTTCTATATTCGAGGGGCTCCTATTTATGTAAAGCGCTGGCTGGGAATGATTTAAACCCGCTCTTGGGCCGGCAATTGCGGGTTTGTATTTATAATTGGTCTGTGTGATGCGCAGAGATGGCTAGTAAGGAAGGATAGCTGAGCTGCTGCTATGCTCATTCCAAGCCAACAGAAGAGAACAAGGGGAAAAGAAATCCCCAGACTATGTAATCAAGCGAAGGGGGTATTGAGCAAACCGACACCAAAAAAACGTCATCCAACGGGCTGATACGACACATAATGGCCAAAACGACACCAACAGCAACGCAATCACCCAAGACCACACTCTTCATCTCCCGACCCAAACACCGTATCCACCCACCTTACCTCCACAAATCCGCCCTACTCCCCCTCCTCTCCCGCCCCGCGCCCCCGAAAAAACTACTCCTCACACTCCCATTACTCATACTATACCCATGGCCCTGCAGCCGCCTCGCGCCCTCCCCACCCCCATGCGACCAACTCCCGGCGCTCCGGGGCCTCCCATCGTCCGCCGCCGGCACGGCCAAGAACCCCCCGAACCCATTGGGAACGACAATCGATTTGCGCGCCTCGCCACCCCACTGCGGCCCGAGCCCTCTGTGCGCCGAATACGACGACACGGGACGGCCGCCGCTGAGGCTACCGCGACGGCCCGTCGACGCGTCAAACGGGATGATGGACGTGAAGATCCACTCGAGGTCGTCTGTACCCTTGGAGAAGACCTCGAGGGGTTGCGTGAAGCCCCTGGGCGGCGGCGCGGTCTGCGACGACTCCGCAAAGGGGCGGATCGGGGGAGCGATGGTGAGGGATTCCGGGAAGGTGGGGTCGCGGACGTAGAGTTTGCGGAGGAGCGGGAGCGAGTTGGACAGGAGCGAGGTGGTGAGGTAGTGGTAGTGGGATTCTTGAGGCGGGTACATGACGTTTGCGGTTTGCGGTGAGGGGAGGATTTCGAATTTGAGGGTGCGGAGGGTGCGCGAGGTGAGTGGTGGGAGGGGGTCCATGGGGAGGGAGGTGGAGACTGTAGAGATGTATTCGAGGGTTTCGAGGGACGTGGCGGAGCGGAGGATGAGGTGGAGCGTGGGCACGGTGAGGAGCGGGCATTCTTTGATGTGCAAGGTGCGGAGCATGTCGCGGCATAGTGGATTGGAGAGATATTGTTCCAGGCCCTGCGGGGTGAGGTTCCGGATCTTGCTCAAACGGAGGGTATCCAGGGCGGGGAAGTCGGGAATGCCGTTGACGGCGTGGAAGAAGGAATCGTTGAGCCAGGACACGTTGGAGAAGGACACTTCGTTGAGCCAGGACAGGTGGCCGAGGACGCGGCGGAGGATGCTCGGTTCGATTTGGATCTTGGAGATTTCGATGACGCGGAGCTCCTGGAAGGCGCCTTGGAGGATGGAGTCGAGCAGTTGTTCGCCGCCTTCGTTGAACTTCATCTTGCGGATGTGCGGGCATCGCGCCTGTAGCTCTTGGCGGAGGGTGTGGCATGTGGAATCGCCGTTGTAGAAGCCGTCGGGCAGGTCGACGTATTCGAGGTTGGGGCATACGGAGACGGTTCGAGCAAGGTCTGCCTTGCAGGACTCGCGCGTCATGTAGGGGAGTTTGAGGAAGCGGACACGCTGGCCGAGGTAGTGGTTATCCCGCACTGTTCGACAGAGCTGCAGCAATCGCGTCGTCGGAGGATCGATTTCCTCGCCGTTACGGGACTTGCGCTTGCGTTGTTCGGCGTACACCTCCTCGAGCTCGCAGTAGTGGACGGCATCAATTCGGATGCTTTTGTATCTGGTCATAGTCAGCTCCTCCCTGCTCCGCGAAGGTGGGTCGGACGCTGGCAACTCACAGCAACCCAGCGGCAACACTATACCATTGCCGTTTGGTCAGGGCGCAATGTGCTAGGTCGCGCATATCGCAAGTCATGCAGCCATCGTTGCCTGACTCCTCGCTGCTGTCGAAGCTCTCGTCCATGGCATGCGGGCAGACCTCCTCAAAGATGCGCCGCAGTATCTTGTCGTCCAGCCGTGCAGTGCAGTCCGGGCCATTGTATGTGCTCTGGAAGGCGTGGTAGTCGTCGCGTGTACGCACTTCTTTGCGCTTGGGGCTCTTCTGGCGGAGGAGGCGTCTCATGAAACCCATGATGCGGGAGGGGGTGGAGCTGGTGGTCAAAAAATCAGTCAAAGTCGGTGCAAGAGGCAATTATCCCTGAGCAGTGGGCGTGATTGACATTCAGGAGGACGGGAGGAGCGGTAAACTGGTCCGAATGGGCGGAGAGACGGTGTTTGTGGAGGGAGAACATGGTGGCGGGAGGTGATTGCAGTCGTTGGCAGCCAGAATCATTTTCTTTGTAATGAGGCCCTTGTCCACGCAGGTCCACCCAGGATCCACGTACCTGTCGCGCGGGGAAGCATGCGGAGAGCTGTGCATTGTTTCTCCTCCTTGGTATAACCCGGCAGAATTGGCGGCGCCGTGTTAATTAAAAGCAGCAATATCGCAAACCGGGCGCCGGGGAGAGTGACGGGTACAGGCTTCGCGAAAGACGAATAGAAGATTAAATGAGAGTTTGGGGCGGTTGTGCGACAAGCACGGATGGTCTATGAATAATATGGATTGGTGGTGTTTGGTGTTTGGCGGAGGAGCAGCGCCGGCGTTTAGCGGCGAGGCGGTGTACATACGACCTAGCGGTTGGGAGGCGCTTACATACGCTGGTTAGAGGCGTCACCATCGCATCAGGGGAGTTAATAAAGCCAGTGCAGGTGTGTACGAGTCTCACAGGAAGGAAAGGAGTGTATACGGCCAACACGGCGATGTGGTGGATCATTGGGAAACAGGGGGGAGGAGAGAATGGGGTTTCAGCAACGTCAAGAAACACTTGAACGGAGACGCCTACATCTTCCTGCAAACAGCAATGGAGGAGCTTCAATTTCGAAACTTATTTCAGTCCATACTGTATAATGCTGTCATTTTCCCCATCCTAATCGGTCCGATAATCCATGCCCTTGAGACTCTGGTGCATTCCCCGTTGAGGTGTAACTGGCTTAGTCAGATTCCAATACATGACAGACTCCCATATTTTGGGGCCCTTTTCGGCCCGTCAACAACGTTCTGGTACTGCCACTCTGCAGGCCTATCGAGGTACTGGATGGAGGTTACACATGTCTGAGTAGCCTTACAGCTTACAAGGACTGTCTACATCGGTGGACGGTTACATTGTCCTGGACTAGCGAAGACCTCGTCTTGCTCCGGATTACCTAGCTAGGTACGGGTGTCTCCCAAGCCGCCTACTCCTGTGCCGTGTCCAGTTGCAGTACGTCGTTTTATTGACATGTTCAGCCGGATCAGTCATAGATATCATTTTCATCTGGAGCATTCAGAGCTATTCGCAGTCTCACTATTTCGCCCAAGCTCGCCCATGCCTTGAATCTCCCAAGCGAACCTGGAAAGTCATCCCCACGCTTAGCTAAATAACGGCACGTCCTGACTGCCGAACGAACGTGTTGGACACACAATGTGGCGTGCCAGGAGAGAGAGGGAGAGGGCATCAGCGCTGTTTCGTCAGATGCCAGAATCCCTAATCCTAATATGACGCCAAGCCTGTATGCTTGGCAGCTATGAATGGGCCTCGACAGCTGTGCCCACGCTGTGAATGAATGAGCTGGCAGTGTCGAATAACGAAGGGGTATGTAGAGTCGGGCGATGCCTGGTATTATTGATTGTCGTGTTTTTTCCTGCATCAATAAAACCTGAACAATACGATAATGCAGCGTGGAGAGTTCACTTCATCGTTGTGCCTGCAGCAGAAGCTCCACAATAACCTATTACTGTACTAAATCCAGCACAACCCAAACGGTACGTTTGGAGCTAGGCACTTTCGGACCCTCCACTCGTAAGAATCTTCGGGGGTGCCGCGAGCCGCGTCCGCAGTCCACACACCACGACTCCTCGACCTCTCTTCCTCCCCAAGGGTCGATTCTGCGCTCTCCCATCGCCATCCCTGAGCCTCTGCTGCTTCGACTACGGCCTAGTGCATCGCTCCCTCGAGGCCCCAAAGAAGAGTACAGCATCTTTCCCGACCTGCTGTTGCTCCACTCGCTCGCACCAGCTTCCTCCGATCCCCCGACTCCCTAAGCTCCTGTCCGACTCATAGACTCTGCCCTCGGCCTGTCGTCCCTGAGCTCTCCCGTGTCCCTCTTCCTCGTCGTCTTCAAACGCAGGTCCGGTCCGTGATCGCCCGCTCAACCTACCTCCTTCTCTCACTCGGAGCCCGCCGTCGACGGCTTCCCCGCCTCCCATACCTCCTTTCCATCCACATCTCTCCCGCTGGCACAAGACGCTTCTGGCGGACACCAGATTCCTTCTTGTGAGCTTGCACGTCATCTCGACACCTGTCTCTGCATACAATGGCATCGAATACACCCCAGAGCACCCCTCACGGGCCCCCCAATGGGCCAGCCGTGGATCGGTACATTGTGATTCACGTAGCAACGACGTGTGACGAACACGGTGTCTACGTAACCAAGGACTCGGCAGAGGTGATTGAGCTTGGCTGGATTTTACTTGATGCTCGCACCTGCGAGGAGGTATGCTGCTCCTCTCGTCGAGCTCCCTCACTCCGCTGACCCCGATATAGCTGCATAGGGAGAATGTGCTTGTCAAGCCAATCAACACTCCCATCACGGCTCTGTGCAGTAAGTCTTTCCCTTTTCACTCTCATCCTTCACACTAACGCTGTTGGTCTCCCCTAGCGAGCTTGACCACCCTGACGTGGGAGAACGTCCGCAACGCCGGCACCTTCCGAGAAGCTATCGATCGGTTTGCGAAGTTCTACCAGGAGCATATTGCCGACAAGAAGCTCGAGGCCATCTTCGTCACGCTCGACGCATGGGACCTCCGGGTACAACTGCCACGCGAGGCGAGAGACAAAGCCGTGGTGCTGCCCGCCTACCTGCAGCACACGCGCTGCTTTGACCTGCGTCACGAGTACCAGCTCTGGCAAGCACATCACCCCGAGTCCTTGCCCTTCGGTCCCAGTTCCCTGACGAACATCTGCGCCGCTTTGGAGGTGGAACCCGTGCAGTCGTCTGCGCCCATTAAGCACAACCTGCCCTTCCACCTGCAAGCGCTGGCCCCTGCCTCGCCCCGCCGCGCCTTGGAAGAAGCGGTCACGCTAGCCCGCGTCCTGCAAGGCCTCCTTCGCAAATCCCAACCTCGCGAGGAACATCCCGACGTACTCACCAAGCCAATGGACGCACGCGCTGATGTCAGGGCTTTCCTGTCCGAACGGAGCAAGGTTTTGCACTTGAGCGGCCTTCCTCATGATACCACGCAGTCGGAGTTGGAAAGCTGGTTCACCCAGTTCGGCGGACGGCCCGTCGGATTCTGGACGTTGAAGACGCCCGATCCCCACAAGCCCACCGGCCGCGGTTTCGCCATTTTTGCCTCGCATGAAGAGGTATGTGCATTCCCGTCTCCTTCCATCTCCCACTTCGTTTACATAACTCTGACATGCACCAGGCCGCCGAGAGTCTCTGCATGAACGGCCGCGCGCTCAACGACAAGGCGATCGAGGTGTCTCCCTCATCTCCTCGGGTGCTGGAGTATGCAGGTGAGCTTCTAGAGACATTTCCTCCTAGTAAGAACCGGCCCCGTCCCGGTGACTGGAATTGCCCATCCTGCGGTTTCTCCAACTTCCAACGTCGCACGGCCTGCTTCCGATGCTCGTTCCCCGCTATCCCAGGTCCTCCGGCCGAAGCTATGGGATATGGTTATGGCTATCCCCCTCAGCAGATGATGGGGCCTCCTGCTCATCACATGGTACATGGTGGTGGAATGGGCGCCCCTGGCCATGTGCGCGGATCCAACCAGGTCCCCTTCCGTGCCGGTGATTGGAAGTGCGGCGAGAAGACGTGCGGCTACCACAACTTCGCGAAGAATGTCCACTGCCTGCGATGCGGTTCCAGCCGCGCGAATGCCGCGGTTGCCCCCGAGGCCGGCTTCCAAAACCCTATGGACACACCAGCTGGTTACGGCATGGGCCCGCCTCCCATGGCCGGCAATCCCGGCCCAGGCCCCTTCGGCGCTGCAGCTTTCGGTGCCGGCGCAGGCTTCCCGGCGCAGCAGTACGGCGCACCACCCAGCACGTACGCGCTTCCTTCGGGAATGGGTGCGGCTGGGCCTTATTCGGCTGTATATAATCCCAATGGCCCTATGCATTCGACTCCTTTCGACAGCCGTGCGGCTGAGGCTGCATTCACCGGTGCCGATCAATTTTCCGCAAACCAGGGCGCTCCCAATGGCGATGGACGCAACGACCCTTTCAACTTCCTGTCGACGAACCTCGGTGCCCTGTCCATGAATGATGACCGCCGCAACCAGCCCCAGGGTGGTCCAACCAAGACCCAGGGTTAATCGTGCAAATAGGTAATCGCCTCCCTGGACCCTCTCTCTCGCGAAGTCGACTTTAGCATGGCGCAATGGAATGGGCGGTGTGGGAAGAAATTCCGGGTTTCTCCTTGAGATTGGCAAAAGATTCGTGGCATTTATCGGGCTATCTGGCATGGAAAACGGGAGAGACCTTAGACTGGAGATCTTGCTTGGGGGTGGGGGAACGGAGTTTGCTATTTTCATTTCGGCGGGTTCAGGGAAAGGGGTCCCAAAAGGCTTCTGATGGTTACAAAAGCGCGGACAAGAAGACAACAACGGGCAACTTCTGGATTTCGATACAATTCTGCTTTGGGCTGTCCATCTCTTTTCGACAACTCCCAGACTGTACTGTTTCCACTTTCTTTTTCGCTGCACATCTTCCCCTTTTCTTGCTTTCGGCCCTTGATACGTAAAGACCTTGTCATGTTCGGAAAAAGGATTTGCGTGGCCTTTCGTTGGCGAGGGGGTGGGTTCCGGCTCGTGATTCCCGGGGGATGGATGGATGGGGGTGCAAGGTTGGCGCTGGGGGTCGGGGCAGGTCATACAAAATGGGATACCTGGTGGGCTTTGAGCCTGATATTTTGGATCGCGAGCATATGGGATGGTGGGTGGAGTCCGGGATGCCCAGCGAGGGCATCTTTTTTCACTTTCTTTCTTTTCTTCCGTTCTTTGCCTTCCTCATCTTGGAGATGCTGAGTTCTACTACCTGATTTTTTCGAATAACTGGTCACATACTCCTCCTCCTCCTCTTCACAGATATCAGTGCGAAATACGTCGGGTATGCGTGGGGTCTTCAAGATTGGGGTCGATGCTCAACTGCACAGGGGTGTAAATAGGTAAGTAGGTAATGCAGGCTGTGTCTTTCCAAGGTGTTCATCGTTCACGATTGTTGCCGCCTTCCTTGCATTCAACGTGCATCTCTCGAGGAGTTGGCCTGGTATGCGTTGGGTTTTATCGTGTACGTGGCTTGAGGATTTCGTCGTCCTTTGGGAGTTTGAAAGTGAGTACTGTAGTACTGGAGTTTCTTTGTCCGTCCTCTTCTGGGACGCATGCGGATTCTTCACGTGATTTGTTGTCACGGAGACTTTGGCTCTGCGCAGGTATAGAAGGGAAAAGCGATAGAGAAGACCAAACACTATGATTATTTGAGATAGAGGCTAGGAGCCAATGTGCTAAGGATATGCAAATGCTATTCAATCCCGGTGATATGGCTTGTGTCATCACTATATTCCTCCAACACCGTCGATCATAAGCTGTGGATGATAGACGCAGATAAGTAGGAGATAAACCGAATAAGAAAAGGAAGGAAAAGAAAAGAAGAACTCTGCAGTGTCCTGTCTCACTGGTACGCATCGGCAGTGTTTGAATCACAACCACAGCCCTGCCTTATTGTCTCCACCCCACCATACTCGTCTCCCAGCACAGTCCCGCGTAACCCTTTCCCTTCCCTTCCCTTTCCACCCTTCTCCTCTCTCCCTCTCTTCCTTCCCTCCCCTTCTCTCTTTACAATACCCCTACAATCAACAAAACTACCCCCTCAAAAACCCCTCCGCATCATACAAACTCCCCGGCGTCCCGCCCACGTCCCCACCCGCACCACTCCCCCCACTAGGCGGCTGTACCCTAATCCTCACCACATTCGGCGTCCCTACTTCCCTGCCGGCGAGGGCGCTGCGCTTCCTGTACCGCGTGGCTGATGATGTCGCCGAAGGGGCGGAGGCGAGCGGGAGGGGCGGGCGGTGGGATGTCGTGGGTCGTGTGGGGGATGAGGATGCGGCGGTGGTTGAAGAGGAGTGGATACCATGAGTCGAAAGGCGACGAGAAGTAGCGCTAGGGGAAGACGTAGGTGTGGTAGGGGTATGCCTTTGGTTTCTTATCTGTCCTTCCGTCCGCCTTCGTCTTGTCCTTGTCGAAGGGCTCTGCTCATACGCCCTCGACGCAAAATCATCATTTGAGAAGCGAAATATCCTTTCGCTTCCCACGTTGTCCGTACATGTAGGTGAGTGATTCTCCACCTGCGTCGGGGAAATCGTAATTCCCGCGTCGTCGACGTCGGCATCCCTGACGACTTCAAAGGCGCGCTTCCTCCTCGTTGGCGTGCCCATCGCCATCACGTTTCCGTTGCCGACGCCGAGACTGGGTCGATGGCTGTGTGGAGGTGCCGCAATCGCGTTCCCTGTGCTGGTGCTTCCTCGTTGGCGTTTTGCAGTTGGGGACGAGGACATGGATGCTGAGGGTGGCGAGGAGGAGAGAGGGAGATAGTTGTGGTTTTTGGGTTTGTTGGGCAAAGTGAAGGGGATGGAGGGTGGTCGCGGGGGTGTCGAGTGCCAGAATTTCTCGCCCTCTTCCCAGATGCTGGAGCTGCGGTTGGGGTCTGGCTTAGTGGGTGGATTCTGCTCGGGTGCATCAGTCAAGCACTCGCTCTTGTCGTTGCCGACGGTGGCAATATCCTGAGAGTCCTCCTCTTTGGAACCGTCGGCGGTGCTGTTGAGTCTGGACTCCGACTGCCTCGACGAACCCGCTTCCGTAGCCCCAGCCACCGCATCCTTCCCGCTCCCCTCCCTCGCGTTCTTCTCCTCCTCCTCCACCTCCAACATCGTGGCCTCTTCCTCCCAATCCAGCAAACTGCTCCCAACCAACCTCCTCCCTTCCTCCTCATCCAACGTTGCACCATCTTCCGACGGTCCCGACTCTTCATCATCCAACTCATCGAGATAACTCTCCTCCCCGGGCAACGCAATGCTATCCTGTCTTCCCAGCCTGAGATATCTGCGCTCACCCCTCCCAGCTTTATCCTTGCCGTTTTTCTCCGCGTCCGAGTTCATGCGTCGAAGTGCTGCTATGGAGGCACGCAGGGGTCGGGGTGGACTTCCTCGGGTTCCACAGAGGGAGGGAGTTAGGGTGGGCATGGCGGCGAAGTCCAGAGAGGGTGTGGTAGATGGGAGTTCTGCGTTTCGAGGCCGCGGTGGCAGGGTGGGCGGGTGGAGGGAGACGGCGATGGTGGCGGAGATGGTGATGGGCGGGAGTATGTGGAGCTGGGGGAGGTTTGGAGAGAGGGCAGTGGCTCGAAGCCTGCGTAGTCTGTTGTATTCTTGTCGTTGTTATGGGATGGTGGGCTGGAGAGCATTGTCGCGGCTTCGAGGAGGGGCTCGAGCATGGATTTGGTGTAGCTGGGGCTGTTGGGTATTGGGTAGTCTTGTCGCTGGGCGTTGGAAGCGCTTTGCGTCGTGTATGCTGAGACGCTGAAGCCGCTATTGAGCGTGCTGAATGGGTCTTTGCTAAGCACTGCCGGGTCAATAGTGTCTAAGCCGTATCCTCCTTCTGTCTTCTGGTCTGGGGAACTAGGCGGAGAAGAGGTATGCCTCAGTGTTTTGGGTGAACACGGTGGTGAATCCAGAGCTGATCCCGATGTCTCCCTGTTCCGGTTAACTGCAGGATAATCTGCGGCCAGCGAATCTTTAGTTGGCGTACGATCATTCTCGTCTGCGAGCAATGGACGCTCCGGGGATGAGGCGAGGTCAGAGATGCAGATCTCGAATGGCGATGAGGGTTGCAGAGGACAGAGCTCAGACTCATACTCGTTGGAAGGCCGAGACAATGCCAAAGTGGGCGGTGCTGACCCACCAGTATTAACAGACTGCGGATCGTCGCATGGAGTCGGGAATGTTGGGATGATGAGGAGCGGGCATGAACCTATCCTTTCATTCTCAGCCATGGAGCTGTTTCGCGGTACGATCGGGGCATGATTATCTGGTGCTAAGGCAAGCGCGGATGAGCGAGGAGTCAGGGAACCCCGAAGCGATGCAGTTGTGAGCTTAAGATCTGGTGCAAAGGTTGAGCTGCTTGGTGGCCGAGGGAGCGCTCTAGTGCTGGAAAATCCAAGGCCGATGCTGCTTCTCTTCTCCGAAGAAGCATTCGGGATTCCTCCTGTATGTCGTTCATTACGGATGGGCTCGGTGATCTGCTAGGCGGTCCGAGGATGGTTGGTGCGAGTGAGATTCGCACACAGTTTTGTCGTCGATGCCCCTTCCTTGCACTTGGGCTTCCTTTCATCGCGGACGGCTTTCCTGAAGATAGCGGCGAAGGGTCCCATTGAAAGGGATTGCCATTACTGCTTCGAGTTGAGGAGGCCTGGGTGGATGCTTGAGATAACTGGCGCTGCAATACGCTGGAATTCCCAGCGCCGTTCTGCAGAAATGCAGGCGTCTTATGGCGTTCTTCAGGCGATCCATAAGTTGTGACCTGCGGTCCAGACTTGCGCCGAGGTGTATAGCTTCGTACAGTAACTGGGCTACAGGATGGAGTTGAGAATTTACTGAGCGTCACCGATTCTGCAGTCTTAACTCGGACAGATTGGGTGCTGGACCCACTGGTGATGGTAGAGCTCCTGCTCTCGGCTTGTGACCGTCGCGCATCGGAGGCGGTTTCCACGCTGAGACGAGCAGTACTGCTCCGTATGGAGCCTTGCGAGGGCTGGTTTCTCCCATGAGATACCTCCTTCTGCGCCCTGGGGCCCACCATCGTTGAGCTCCTCCAATCTCGCTTGGATACGGCGTGTAGGCGAAAGTTTCGGGAGCGGGGGAAGATAGGGCTGGAGTGAGCTGCCAAAATTGAACTCCCAGCAGATCCTTGACTCGACACTGACACATGGGAAGGACTGCGTGAGAGTTGGCTGCGCCTCCGTTCCTGGCTCTTTAGACGCGCAACCTCCAATGGTAGCGGCGGTATGGGGGCATTCGGCACATGGCCTGAAGTCTGGCTGCACGCGCTCGCTGCTCTGTCGTGGGAGAGAGGACGTGTCAATTGAGACGTCTTGCTATTCCTATCTGTCATGGGAATCCCCGCGACAGATTTTGAACGGTTGGGCCGCACAGCAGGCTCCGTTCTTGAGACGTCTTTGGTGGTCAAGCTCCTACGGATAGGCTCCGGCTGTCGTGCAGTGAGAGCATGCGATCGTCCTTCTTGTAGTACATTTCGAAGTGCAGGATGATGCTGAAGCAGAGACTGGTCGGAGCTGGGACGACTTCCACTCTTTTTTGGCGATGGAGTGTCTCCGCCAAGTGATGATCTGCTCAATATGGGGACCAGTGGTGACGGTTTGGGGCTCTCAATGACTGTTGACAAGACAGAGACTCGCATCTTTTTCATCTGGAGAGAGTTTCCTGAGGCTCGACGCGCTGAGAAAGGCCACGAAAGCCTGGGATTCCTGGGACGTGACGGCCTTTGAGGGACATAGTGAGGAGGGTCTTGAAGTGGTGTCTGAGCCGAGTTGACAGAGTCGACAGAACGCAATGCTCCCCATCCTGACTTTGCGTTGAACGGCAGGATTGCGTTGCGCCGGAGAACTGCGCGCGGTCGCGCCAATTTTTGCTGCTTTCGTTCTTCTGCATGCGACTGGGCAAGCACGACTCCCCTTTCTTCAATATCCCGCAGGTCCCGCTTGTGTCTTTGGTTCGCTCGAATGATGACGACGACGAGAACGACGACGGTCCCTAGCCAGGCTACTCCAATCCCAGTCAAAACCGCCGCTAAGGCTGTCGCACTCAATTGAGACATTGCAGTACCGTTTGACCCTATGGCTACGACTCCGTCCCCTCAGGAGCGTAGGCTTCGATGTCTGTTCAGTATCGATGAACGTTGCGGAGGGGATTTCAGTTCGTCCCGAACGGCGCCCAGAATACTCATTCGCCAATGTAAATGGTTAGTTATTTTCGCATAGATACAAACTTGATGCTCCTCCTGTTTCTCCTGCTCGGCCTCCTTCACGAAACGAATGGCGCAGCACACTTGCGGGGGCGGTGTTTGTCCAAGCATGAGACAAAGCGGAGTAAGCATAGGAAATGAATAGTTGACTATTTGGCTGCCGCCGAAACAAGAAGTGCGGAATGTAGATGAGGTGGGAGAAATGGAAAGCGATTACTACCGGAGCGTACGAGCAAGGGAGACTGAGGAATGTGGCCACTCCACAACCACCGGAGCAACGTATAATCCGACTTGGGCAAGTGGGATGTCGCTTCAACAGGTGAGCCAGCCGTCCAATACACCGTGTCTCTCCCATATCCGTACAGCACGAGATGGGAAACTGGTGGGTATCCTAGGGTAAGAATAAACCTGTCAGGTAAGAAGACTTGTAGGATATATCTTCACGAGATTTCGCAAACAGTCAGACCCCATAATAGTTGGGGTGGAGATATACAAGTGAAAGCCAAACCGTGGTGTTTGCTGGCTGGGTGAGAATATTTCATGTCGTTGCAAACGGAGTGACCATTCTGGAGCTTCCTTTGCACGTGGATGACCCCAAACCTCCGTACCAAATGTTACTAAACTGACTTCGTCCTTGCAAATATGGGCGACACGCGGGCGTGAGTAATGGGTTTGTGTGCTGAATGGAAATTGCCTATGAGGCATGAGAAGATGCTTGAGATTATATTGGAACTGTATTCTGTGGTTAACGTTGGAGACGACACATCAGGGCGGGAGCAAGGCGAAAATCTACTAGCCTCAACGTGGTAAGCGCAAGATGGAGCTTTGACCAGGCAACAGCCACACTCACTTTCCATGGTCTTCTATGAACTGTGCCTCTTCCCCATCTCGTGCTGCCACGAAGTACTTGTATACCGGGACACTTCACAAAAGCCCAGCGGGACTATATACATCGCCCATTTGAAGACTCAGCGCAGTCTGATATAGAACCTTGTTTCCGTGCCCAGCACTTCGAGTCCACGCCGCAGCTCGTTCCAAATCAAATATGGATCAATATGCTCGCGGCAAAGCCGCCCTCGAGCGGAAAGACTATGAAACCGCAATCAGGGAGTTTACAGAAGCAATAACGCATAACGCACGTGCCGTGGACTACTATATTCAACGTTCTGTCGCTTATCAACGAGCCTCGAAATATGAAGAAGCACTGGCCGATGCCGAAACCGCTGTTGTTCTTGCATATAACCGCCAAAAACGCGAACTGATCCGAGAATCCCAATATCGACGTTTTCTGGCTCTCTTCTCTTCTGGAAAATATGCGGATGCGAAGGTCGTGCTCGAACTGGTCAAAAAGATGGACGGGGACAAGCCGGACAAGCGTCTTCCACTGGTGGAGTCGCAGCTTGCAGCAAAGCTGGCCAAGCTGGAACCTTCCGATATTGCATCAACGTCGACAGTAAAAGAGATACCGGACGTTCCTCTACCAGAAGAAAATCAAGTAAAGGCGACAAAAGCGGCGTTGCCGGACTCGAAAGCGACTAGCAGCAGCGGCACGCCTACAGCCACGGCCAATGTGCCTACGCCTGCAAACAAAATAAAGTACGATTATTACGACACACCCGAAAAAGTAACAATCACCTTGTTTGCGAAGGGGGTGCCCAAAGACAAGGCAACCATCGAGATCGAGAACGATTCCCTAACAATTTCTTTTCCGGCCGGTGCATCCGATTACAACCTCACTCTGGATCCCCTGTATGCGGAGGTTGATCCCTCAACCTCTACCTACCGCATCACTCCTACTAAAGTTGAGGTGGTCCTTAAGAAGGCAGTCCCCGGCAAATGGAAAGCCCTTGAGAGCGACCGACCCGCGTCCTTGCCAGAAGACGCCAGCACGTCCATACCTGACGAAGTTCTCAGGCCGGATAAACCCAAAGAAGCCACGCCCTCCTACCCCACCTCCTCCAGGACGGGTGCAAAAAATTGGGACAAACTAGCCAACGATTTTGATGATGACGGGGAAGGTGCTGATGCCGCGCACAGCTTTTTCCAGAAGTTATATGCTGGTGCTGATCCGGATACCAAGCGGGCCATGATGAAGAGCTACTCAGAGAGCGGCGGAACTGTGCTGAGTACGGACTGGAAATCCGTTGGGAGCAAGGAGGTTGTACCACAGCCTCCAGAGGGAATGGAGGCAAAAAAGTGGTAGAAGCATTTCAGGGGTAATTGTCTGTACCGTGAATCATACACAAAGACAGACTTATATGGGTTATGTAAGGACCGCATGGAGTTATCGGATCATCTTATGGGATATTATTAATGGATGGTCTGGCTTTTTGAGGGTTCAGCTACGGAGGGAGAGTATTTGCAGAATAAAATGCTTCACCAGTGTCTTCGGATAGGCTCTCCAGGTTGGTGGTGAATCAGCGTGCAGGATCTGGCCATAATGATCGTGATGACTGAGCACTTTTGAACAAAGCCTATCAGCGCTTGAGCCTTTAGTGTCCGGACTTTCCGATCTTCGTGGACATGAAGGGTTTGTCATCTGTGCAAGTTCTCGATCATTCCCCGCATAAGCAGCGTTACCCCCAACAGACCCCGCCTCACACCCCTCCTTCACGACTTCCAATAGGAAATTGTCAAGGTTGAATGAACAAACCGCATGACCGGTCAGTGTTGCCATGAAGGTAATGTTTTTCGTCCTTTAGCAATGCATATCGAGTGCGTACAAACACCGAACTCGGACGTTTTGGTGGTACCTCCCCTATGTAGCTACTGTAAATACCACAGTAGGAAACAGCACGACGTCATTCGTCACTGCCCGACTTCGTATAATAACACGAGTCTTCGACTCGATCAACTTTAGCTTCTCGATGCTGGTGAGGCCTATATCTAGCCAGGCTTTCAACGTTTTTTTCGTTCAAGCACTCAGATATACATCGCATAGATCGTGCGTTCGAACAATACCATCGCAACGACTCACTGCTACGCTTGGAACGCGAACTATGGCCACCTCATCGAGAGTTCATCTCACCACCAGTCCGAATGCTGCTTTCTCTCTACCGGGAATCAGCACAGAGAGCGCAGAGAAAGCTAGCGAGCTGTTGCAAAAGAACCATGAGAACTTCCACATTTTTTTCAACTTCAAAGGGTTCCATGTTCGTGCCATACCTCCATCCTTACATGCAACTAGGCTAACGTATGCCCAGAACCATATCGTTCACCACCTTCTCACACTCTTTGCCCTAAAGGCTACCCCTGATGAGCTTCAGAAGGGATACAACAACAATGCAAGTTACCAGCGTCCCCAAGAGCCACTTGAAAAGGAGATCGTGGAAGACATGCAGGACCCAGCGAACTATCGCAAGTATCTCGGCAAGGAGAAATACTACCACGACTTCGTAGCCTTCTTCCAGGGCGAGATCGACAAGAAAGGCTGGCAAGCCGTACTGAACGAGTACGTCTTCAAAGGCGACGAGCGCGCTGATGATATGCTCGTGAGAATGTTCGCGGGCTTTCTGCATCCTCTTATCCATCTCGGTTTCGGTGTTGAATTTGAGCAACCGGTTATTATTGCAGAAGCTCTGGCGCAAGCTGCTGTGCATGGGGACTGGATCGGCCAGTTGTTCTATGGTGCCGAGAAAGATCCAAAGACTACGGACGGGGGTTCTGGGAAGAGCATTGTCCAGCTCTTGGAGGAGATCAGAGCGGATAAGGAGCTAAGTGCTGCTGCTCACTATGATGATGACAACAAGATCCGCAATGGGATTCTGAAGCGGGCTCCCGAGCAAATGTTGAAGTATGCAAGGCAGTACCACGTTTCTGAGGGTGACCTCGAGAAGAAAGTTGCTGAGATGATCAACGCTGCTGGTATGTTCCTTTACACTCCCCACACTCTGAGATATCCACACGCTCACAAATCCAGCGTACTTCACCGGAGCCGCACAAAACCCTCCCCACCAAGTCAAAATGGACTTCTTCCACATGCACTGCATCAACAGCAGCATCTTCTTCTCCTCCTTCCTTAAACAACCGTGGCTCTCTACCCCCAACAAGATTCGCCTTCTCGAATGGAAGGTTCGCGGAGACCTCGCTCTGTACGCCGCTTGTGGCTGCGCAAAGCTACTCGTTGACGAAATCACGAACTACAAACCCTCTCATGGTGTAGATGCGCCATGGGACGACGTCTTCGAGAGAGCAAGGAAGTTCCCCGATGACGGCCATGTAAGCAAGTTCATTAGAGCGCTGGCCAACGGAGACAAAGTATGTAGGAAGTGGGAAGGCGAGGAAGGATTCATGATTAAGGGTGATATGTGGAGGCTGTTGGCGCATATGGTAATTGACGCTGTGGAGGCTGGAATGCCACACTGGGTCAGGAATGCCGGGATGACGAAGGCGTGGGAAGAGGTCCCTCTGAGGGATTCAGGAAAGCTTTGAGGTCGTCGTATCAAGGTATCTCGCAGCCGTACAGGAGGACCTTTCGGGAAGTTCGCACAGGCACCTGGGGTCTGAGGGGTGCTGATGGTGACTGAGACTCGACTTAAGCTTGATGACCGATGAGAATGAGTATTCGATACCAGACATGAATATTGAGACATCATGTACTTTCGCATGGGCTTCATCGACAAATCCAGATGGTTTCTTCTTACACAATCACGCGTATTCACGTGAATGCCATCCCATACAGGCTAGTCAGTATAACCGGGATATAATCCTTGGATCGACATCATCAACAACACACGGTGATGCATCTCAGCGTCTTGCTACACAGTAATTGCGACAACCCGTCCATGGTCTATTCATCCGCCGTCGTCCAGCGAATCCCGATCCGTTTGCGTCGTCTTCAAGCAGCAGGTAAGTGTATCAGTATTTTGTCTGCGGAGAACCCTTGGGAACAAAGCCTCGCGGCGAGGGCGGCATCGCCGTTTATCAAGCCTGCCGTGCACGTTTTCCTTGGGCACCTTCATAAAAACGAGGATCCATCCAAGGCACGGCCCCCATCATTGACACAAGAGGTCCCGCCGTTGCCATCGACTTGCTGTTCTTGAGGGCACTCAACGGAGGACACCACACTCTCTCAGCGACTCCATGTTGTGCTCGTTTTCGATGTCCTGGAGATTTCCTGGTGGGGATCCCGTTTCAGCGACCCCCACTCCTTGTCTGAGATTTTCTCCTTCCTTAGGCGCATCAGACCGGGTTTCAGGGAGAGATGGCAAAGTTCGTTGGCTGTGTTGCGTTCTTGGCTAGATGTTCGGAAGTTTTTGCCAAAGGGGGGAGCGGGATGAAATTGGAAGATTGGCGAAATCATCCAACGGGATTCTCAACAAAATGATCAGCGACTCTGAGCGAGGCTGTTTCGCCTGCTTGGAAGGACGGCCACGCGTTCAGTGTACTCTTCGTGGGCCCGCGGTTCTCCTATTATTTTGACTTTTGGAGCTGAGCCCCCTGACGAGGGCTAGGCGGAGGCTGCGTCCCGCCTCTCACAATCACCACTCGACTCTGGGCCGCTTGGCTTCCCCGTCGCGGCATGGCCCTGAGAGCCGCCAACGGTCCACTCCCCTGGCCATCGGATTGTACCCAGACAGATTCGCGGGATTGGCATTTTCTTGTGATGTTCCGCACGGAGGTGGACCGCTGGCGCCGAGAGAATTAGCACACGCTCCTTTTCCAGATATCAGTCGTCCCAGATCCTGTTTTGACTTTCCACCTCCCCAATGCCTTGTCGTTAGATGCCATTTCTTCTGCGCCTGCTTCCAGTCACTCCTTGAAATCAGACCTTTGAACCTTTCCAGTACTCTCTATTAATTCAATTTCCTTTCTTACTGTCGCTGCCATGAAATTTTTCGCTACTTTGTCCCTACTTGGGGCATTCTTCGTTCCAGCATTTGCCAATGTCCTGCCCAGGCAATCGAAAGGCAAGCTCACGCCTATTGAAGTCAGAGGAAATGCTTTCTTTGCAGGAAATGAGCGGTTCTACGTGCGAGGCGTAGCATACCAGCCCGGTAAGAATTCAAATCAGAATTATCAAGTTAGATGAAATGCTGACGGGTCCCAGGTGGAGCTGCGGATGCAAAGGATCCTTTGCTTGACATTGAAGGTCTGAAGCGTGACATTGCAAACTTCAAGAAACTTGGTATCAACACAATCCGTGTGTACACGATCGATAACTCCCAGAACCACGACGAGGGCATGAAAATGTTGGATGATGCTGGCATCTACCTTGCACTAGATGCCAACACACCCAAATACTCCCTTAACCGTGAAAGTTTGGAGACCCTCCACCGCTCGTACAACGATGTCTACCTCCAGAACGTCTTCGCTACCATTGATGCATTCGCTGACTACAACAACCTTCTTCTCTTCTTCTCCGGAAACGAAGTTATCAATGCCAAGAACAATACTGTTGCTGCCACCTACATCAAGGCCGTAACCCGCGACATGAAGACGTACATCAGCAACCGCCACTCCCGCAAGATCCCCGTCGGCTACTCCGCCGCCGACGTCGCCGAGAACATCCACCAGCAAGCCCTCTTCTTCGACTGCGGCGACGACTCGGAGCGCGCCGACTTCTTCGCCTTCAACGACTACTCCTGGTGCGATCCCTCCGACTTCCAGAAATCCGGCTGGGACAAGAAAGTCCAGCTCTACAAGGACTACCCGGTGCCCCTCTTCCTGTCCGAATTCGGCTGCATCACCAACACCCGCGAGTGGAACGAAATTGCTGCGCTGTACTCGACGAAAATGACGCCCGTCTACTCGGGCGGCCTCGTCTACGAATACACCGTCGAGCCCAACGGCTTCGGCCTCGTTGAAGTCGACGGCAGCGGAAACATCAAGCCCAACGCCGACTTTGACCGCCTCATGAAGGCCTACGCCAAGACGGCCAACCCCAAAGGCGACGGCGGATACAAGCAGAACGGCACTCCTTCCAAGTGCCCGCCCGCCGACGACGAGTGGGAGGTCTCGTCCACCGTCCTCCCCGCCATTCCCGTCAAGGCGAAGGAGTACATGGAGAAGGGTGCTGGACGCGGTGTGGGTCTTGATGGACCGGGATCCCACTTTGCAGGCGAGCCGAGTGAGAGCGAGGCCAAGCCTGGCGAGGGCGGTCCTACGCGTGTGCCTAGCGGACAGAAGGCCGGTAATGGCAGTGCGGGTGTGGCTGTTGAGGTGCCGTTGAGGTTTTTGGCTATGATTGGTGCGAGCGTGGTGTTTGGTGTTGCGCTGATGTTCTAAGTGTAAACGGGGTTCAGTGAGGCGAGATGAAGATCGAAAAAGATGTGGTGATGGAAGGTGAATAGAGAGGAATACAGGCAAGGAGATGAAGGATATTTTCTCTCCTGCATATGTGAGCTTGTGCTCGTCATGGGCTTCTTTGGCAACCGTAAGAGGTATAATCACGGCCAGGCTTCTAACTTTATTGTCCATAAGGGGTTCGTAGCATGGCCTCTTGTTCACATCTTAGAATAGTCATTGCGCCGGCGTATAGATTCTTTTTGTTTCTGAGCATGATGTAATCCAAAGTCCTGTGTGTCGTGTTAGCGTGTTGGTGCCAATGGGCTAGCTACAGGATCGACGAAGTGGTTGATGTGGAAGTGCTACGCCCCGAGGTTTATCACATGTGGTTTTACGCTGAAATTCAACTGCAGACATGGCTCGATAGCCGTGGTGCACCCAGATTCGGAGGGGTACCATATTTTCCGGAATGTTAACAAGGATACACACCCATCACTCCTCTGCTGAACCTAGACCAGTATGGATCTCTTGGAGGTCTGTGACAAGTGTGACAATACCTAGGTAGTAGGTAGATCAACGGCTACTGCCGTTTTCCACGTCCGACTAACATCTAAACACTAGCCCACGATTCCTCTCAGGCTAAATCATCTAGCCAGCACAACTCTATTGGCTATAGTCTAACTGGGTGATAAGTAGATATCCGTTTTGATGCAAATCATTCTATGACGAGGCGCTACCAAGGCACTGGCAAAGACCGTCAATTCCCTAAAAGTCCAGCCAGTTTAATCGCACGTCCAAAACTGCAGTATGCCGTCACCAGTTCCAACTCGGTTGTGCACTTGTCCTTCCGCGGCTATGTCGATCTGCCGCACACTATTCACCCTGGGCCATTCACTGAGTCCACTGTCTTTACCAAATGTGGGGTAGAGCCAGGGTACCTGCAGATGAATGCAAAAGCCGGCCCCACAGATATACAGTTAATATGCAAAAACATGGATATCTCGAATTCCCATAAGAGCTCATGAATGTGCCTTGTATGTAATTGATGAGTTCGAAGGCTGTTGGAACATGGGCAAAAAGGAATCGTTGAGAGACAGAATGTAAATGATAGTCTGCCATTGGAGAGGCAACAAGGAGTGAGATTGCAGTAGGGATGGAAGAGGTCGGCATATGTCTGGATTCAGAGCTCGAATCATCTGGCGAGAGTGTACAAAACGTGTAGTATGCTGGTGTCAAGCAGCTGCAACGAGGCTTCTCACTCACTTGAGCTGAATAGCCCTTATGAACGCTCTTTATGATGGCGACTCCACTCCTCCTTATCATCGCCCTAGCAGGGACAACATTGGCAGACTGCGGCTATGCTTACCTCCGCAACACAACGTCACAATATGTCGACGCCCAATCCAGAGGCCTCTACACGGCCATGACTGGTCTCATCCCAAACACCACCTACACCGAACAGTTCAAACCGGTCGATATCCGCGTTGGCATACTCTCCAAACCCCTCAAACTCGCGCACAACCGGAGCTTCCACGATCCAGTGCGCTGCACCACGTTCACTGAGATCATAGTCACTGATCCCTCCCATCCCTACGTGATTGGCACCAGGATGGAGACAGACGGAGCAAAGATAACCAAGATCGAAACCCTCGTGACGGATGCCGGAGACTGGCTCTTCAACGCGACAGGCTACGCTTACTACAATTCGCTCGAGAAATGGGACCCAATTCCTGCACAGGAATACGACGACCCTGCCGTTATCAAAGCGGCCGGTGATGCGTACTTCGACCGATTCGCGAATGCAAATGTCACCGTTCCGTACGGGACCCCATGCGCCCGACTGGAAGGGGGTGCGTATACCGACTCCGGACTCACGGGAAATAATACGTGCAACCTAGGACTGCCGAATACGATCAAGGTAACTGACCGACGTTACGTTGTCGATGTCGAGATGGGCGCTGTGAATATTTACGTCGGGTTCCCCGGCCTGGACCGTGCAAGTAATGAACCAACGCCCGATTCTCATCTGTTTAGGGTCGAGAAGGGGAAGATTCGGTATATACATACCATATCTACATGTGAAGGGCATCCCGGCTGCGGCTTGAACGGGACGGGTCTTTCTGTACGGAGGCTTGCGGGGGTGCGCAGATCTATGCGAGGAGTTGCGTAGAACAGAACGTGGTTGGAAGCCCTGAGCCAATTGGGAGCATATCTGAGTCTTTTTTGATCTGAACCATAGATCTGATCGCAAGCTGACAAAAAATGAAATCCATTTGCCGACATGATATTGTATTGACAGGTTTTTCTATGCTGAATCCCCCAAAAAACGAACCAAAACGTGTCAGGGTCGGATTTCTTGAGTTCCATGAGTCGGGTTCGACTATCATTGCACATGGTCAAAATACTCTGGTGTCGCCTCTGTTTGGGACTCCCATATGCATATAGCTGGCGTTTGGACGAATTCCTGACCGTGCATTGCGAGAGTTCGATTTCGTCGTGCTCGAAATCGGAGTTACCATACAGCCATATTTCCATAAAGCCTTCAGATGTGTTGTTCAACTAGCATTTGCTTCTGATAGCTTAATAATGTTCCTTGAAATTGCCTCGACCCGTGCTGTGAGAGTCTATTGAAGTAGACATTGTATAACTCTTGGCTCCTCGAAAACTGGACGACATTGCATGCGATACTGAGCGTAGGAAAAGCCTAGGGTCATCAGTCGGCTCAGACGACTGTGACCAAGTGAACACGCGAACTAACAGGATACCTGTGCAGCAGATCGTGCAGGTGGCGAAGCAAGTGGCACAAAAAGGGATGTGTGGCTGTGCAATGAGGCGTTCGCAGAGAAGATGCATCTAAGGTAAGTCCCATATGAGTGTCGCAACAAGAAGCAGAAGGGCGGCAGTGGCTGAGGGGTGAGTGTCAGGATCGGCTCCGCCCTTAAATTGACTCTTTCTCCTGTGTGAAGTTGGCACAAACGTGGACTGGACCGGATCTTGACCTCCTTTTGAACAGTGACTCATTGCCGTGACTGTGCGCTAAGTGGTTACTTTGATCAGGAGAGTTGGACAGTGGTGCCGATCCAGGGCTCATTCACGGCTGCCTTGTGAGTTGCTTTTGGTTGTTTATTATTTACTAGCTATAATAGTTATGTAGTAGTTGCAGTAGCCAATTTTCTGCATAATCGGTCGATTCCTCAGTGATTACGATCCACCCACTCCTCCGCTCAATACCCTCCAAAATCGACAAGGTCCATTCATTTGCAACGACAACAAGGACTCTCTGCAGCCTGTTAGTTCGATCCAGCAGCGGAAGCTCGCGCCCGTTGTCAACAATACCCACATTCAGTTCCTGGTGCTCCTGCGACTATGGCAGTGAGACTCCCATACACACTTCAAACGAGATGGGGAATGGTATTGGACAAGGGTGCGCCGGCACAGCTTCGTATTCCTCAAGGAGTAGTCTGGTTGCAGATCGATAATGAAGAGGGCACAGAGACTGGACCGTCCAGTACAGCCTCTGGACTCACGCAGGCTCTTGAAGACGCTATTGTCTTGGACAAAATGAAGGATTTGAGAGACTACCAGCCCCCTGAGATCGTCATCCAAAAAGCTGCAGAGTACCTGAGGGCTACTGAGATGCGTGGGACCTGTACCCAGGTACCAGTGCACTCCAGGAAGTTAAAACGATTCGCTGCCAACCTAGCTGCTTGTTCAAGCAAAGTATCTAAGGAGGACCTGAAAAGCTATATTCGGACCCGCACGCGCTTCGACCTTGAACAAGCAGCAGCCATTGTGGTCTCCGCCATCCGGGAACATGGCAGTCTGGACGATGCACTAAGGCTAGTGAGAGAACTTGGTACGGTGCTTGCAACAAGTTGTATGTGGGTGGAGTGGGATCAGGTGTTGCCACAATCGAAAAGTGCAACCGGAAAGACCCAAAGACTGGGCGAGAAGCTGCAGCAGTCCGCAGCACATATGGGGCAAAAAATACCTGCGGCTTCCGATCACCGAGACCTCGTAAAGCTGTTGATGAGGGTCCGAAGGTACAAGACAGATGACCGATGTCTCCTTATCCCTCAGTGGATGTTCTCGGAAGCAGAAATCGATGCTCCAGACCACTTCAAGGTCGAATTCACCGATAATCAGCACCCTCCAGCCAAAGCTGTTCCGGGGCGGTATCCCTTGGCGAAACGGGAAGAGGACTCCATCGTTGTATCCAAGAAACATTTCAGAAACCTTCAACGCTGCATATTCCGCCTCTTTCCTTTCTGGAAACCAGAGATCAACCTTCGGAGGCGTATCCGCAAGCTGGAGGACAACGTACTGTATGGGTGCTCGTGGATCGAGGACCGCGTACTGAACACAGACGACATAGCACTTCTCTGCCATTACTTCTTCTACTTCCAGCGGCGACTCCAGAGGAAGGTTGTTAGTATCGTGGGAGGTTGGTCATTTCTCGCAAAGGACGAGGGTAAGAAATTGTACCAAAACAATATTGCCATCAGATCGACGTTTGAAGACGTCCTTCAGGATATTGCAGAGTCGGAGGAGAAGGGCATCCTAGTAGCCATGGGAAGAGATGATACCCTTCGGCAAATCGACGAGACGTGCCTTCTCATGAAGGAATACGTGGACATCTTCGGTGGAGGCAAGACGGAGAACCTTGTCTTCAAGGAAGGCGTCCGCGGAGGCTCCGGCAGGGGTCCAGTAGATGACTACAACCTGCTTTGTACCATACTCGCCCAACTGAGGGAGGATGCAAGATATGAAGGGGTTGAGGATCTACCCGGACCAACCCGCAAATTTCTGGCCAAAGACATTTTGCACTGGAATAATGCTTGGGGAGACGACGCCTTTGCAGGAGCGGAACCAGGGTGGAAAGCCTGGATACATAAAAGAGGCTTGGGAGGAGATGCTGACTGGGAGATATTGGAAGGTGAACGTACATGACTTGCGATGATGGGGTTTATTAGCGTTTACTGTAGTCTAGCGGTTGCAACGTCTTTTCGTCCTAGGTCTTTAAGGTTGCCCTGAATTCATGGACATCGTGAGATGAGTGTCCGGTCTCAGAAGAAGTGAGACACGTGCTTCCATAGGAAACCAATGTGTTTATCAATAATAACAGTGGGTTGGCACGGGTTGTTTCAAAGATGATATTTCTATGTCAGCACAACTATATGCTCTCAAGGCCTCCCCTCCCTAACGGTACCTTGCCAAGACTGTTTACCTCAGCAGCGCCGGCACAGCAACATCATCACCCACAACAAACAATCCGCGTGCGACGCGACCAATTCTTACCCCATTTCACCACAGCAAGACATTTTTCATAACTGGTTGCAAGTACTATGAAGTATGCCGCGCTCACAGTCTTCGTATACCGCGAGTCCAACGCGGTATCGTTCGCCGCAGCCTAGCCCAGCGCATCACCCCGCTTCCGAAGAAGGTTCTCAATATGAAGTCGATCTAGACGCGCTAGGACTCAACTCTACCTTTGATTCTAGTGGGATGGAAGAAGAGCATGCGCCAAAAGTGGATGTGGTGGATACGAGCGACGTTGGTGGACCAGAAGACTTCACGGTGAACATGACCTATTGGATGACTGCCGACCTTCCAATATCGCATATCAAGTCGCGCAAGGAAGCCAACACACGCGTGGAACAAGTGCGCGGAGACGCAGCGCAACATACGAACGTACAAGACGCGACCGAGGAAGGCGATAGAGCTGTTTTGGAGGACACAACGGGCGACCGCGTAGCATCGCAAAGTGCATCGGCTTCGCCCACCTTGCGGGAGAAGGATGGAGGCCCGGAAGACCCGGTGGACGGACCTTCCGTCGCGTCAATGGAGAACGAGGAAAAAGTGATGAGCTATCTGAGTGCATTGCCCGACACCGACCTGCCCGGAGCCATAACATCCACACCTTTGAAGATTATGAAGGGAAATCTCCTACAAGTCCCGACGCCTACAGGTTCGAAAGCGCGATCTCTACAGCCAACCGTCGAAGACTACGAGACCCCGCGCAAGCCTACCCAAGAGACCGTCATTCACCACGCTCCCCAACGAGTGACACAATCCGAGATCCCAGATGATAACGCCCAGCACGACCAACTGGCGGAACTGCGAGCCCGCTTGGAGCAACAAGAGCTCGCGTCACGAACTCGCATCACCGAGCTCGAAACCATTCTTTCTTATACACGCTCCGAGCTAGATGCTGCACGCATGGAGAATTTCCAGAAGAAAGAGGAGATTGCTGCATTGAAGAGGGAGGAGGAGGAACGGAGACAAGGGCAACAACCCGGGAACATGAATGCTGCAGCGCAGATCAAGCAAAAGGAAGAGGAACTCGAGGCTAGAATGCAGGAGTACGGCGAAGAATTGCGTTTGCAGAATTTATCGAAGCTGCAGAGCCAAAGAGAGGAGTTTGAACAGCAGCTGAGAGCCTCTGAAGAAAACAGAAAAGCCATGCTACAGGAAGCTGAACGGAAAGATCAGATGCTTCATCAACTGCGTACTGAGTTAGATCAAATGCGCCAGCCGAAGGAGCAGCAGACACATAGCGTGCAAGGTGCCCATTCGGCAGGCTCTCACAATTTTGAGCAGGACTTCGCTAAGGAACGAGATGAACTGAACAAAAAACTCTCTTGTCTTCAGGCCAGGGCGGAAGGCCTTCAACTTGCGATGGAAAAGGCGACTAAAGAAGCGCAAATTGCTCGTCAAGATGCCGAGAATGCTCGTAAAGATATCGGGTCGGCCGGCCATGCGTCTCCTTCGGAATCACCGGATTTGGGCGCTAAGGGCCATGTTCTCAGCCTAGTGACAGATAATGCTGCACTGAAAACTCAGCTGGATTCCTTACGCGCTGAATTGGCGAAGAGAGAGCAGGCGCCCTTAGACTCTGCAGATCAGTCCCTTCTCGAGCAACGCCTAGCTGCAGCAAATGGTCGGATACAAGGTCTCGAGGCCACCGTATCGTCGTTGCGCCAACAGCTCGCTGAGGTGCATCGCGACCGCTCAAAAGCGCGAACTGATGTGGAAAGGCTCGAGATCGATTTGGACGCAGCCAATGAGCTGTTGGATGATACAAGGAAAGAGGCAGACAGAAGGGTTGCTGATCTTGAGAGGAAGCTAGACAGGATGAGGGAGCTGAAGGCTGAAGCCGAGTCAAGACTGAACGAGTTGCAATCCGAGCATGACGGCCTCGTTGAGGATCACGATGCGCAGATGGAAGATGTGCGATCGAAGGCAGAAGATGCGGTCCGCAAGGTGGGCGCGATGTTAGAGGCGGAACGCAGCGAAAAGAGGAGGCTTGCGAAAGACTTAAAGAGAGTCAATGACCAGTTGAACAAGCTTAAGAAGGAATTTGAGTCAAAGACCGCAGAGGAGAGCGACGCCGAAGGCGAGCCTTCCCTTCAACCCGCTCACACCGATAGTAAAGACGTTGAAATAGCAAATTTGCGCGCACTCGTAAAGAAGCAAGCCTCAGACATCAAGGCTCTCAAATCCGAATCCGCCTCTCTTCGCAAGAGGACACAGATATCCGCCACTCTGCAGTCCGAGCTTGACACTCTCCGCACCGAAAACCACAACCTCACCGTCACAATCGAGAGTCTACGCAAGGAAACTGAGACCCAGCGCGCAGACTTCGAAGCCGTCAACAGAGATATGGATGAGCGGCTGGCGGCCATGCTGACTAAGATGCTTAAGAAGCGCTCCAAGTTGATAGTCGGCAAAAGGGATGACCAGTGGGCAGAAGGTGTAGGGAAGCTGAAGGGAGAGAAGGAGTTTATGGGTAGAGTGCTGATGCGGGAGTGGGGAAGGCAGGAGTGTGGTGTTGCCGATGAGAAAGCGGGAGAGAAGCAGCTGTATCAGTATCGGTTTGTTACCAAGACGTGAAGACTCAGAGGCGTCTGGGGTAAGATTTTTGAACGATTAGCAGGGTGTTTGGGTTGGTTTCCAGGATCTAAGGCATGGTATCTAGGATCTGGCTGGAACAGTAGGTTATGTGGAACGCATGGCCAATGACTTATGATGATGGTATTACTATCCACATTATAATCCGAACGTTGACAACTCCGCAACGCCTCGCATTTCGTGATTTCCATCTTGAAGATTCGGCTTTTCTAGATAGCCCCCTCCGTGTGAACTCCGCATACCACTTCCTCATGAAGATCACAACAACCCCTTCCTCGCCAACTCAATCTTCTTCAACGTCTCCCCCTCTTTATAACCGCCTTTGGAAGCACACACCGCAATACCTTGGCCCAGTTCGACTTTATCTTCCACCTGATCCCAAGCGCAGGGGCAGTGATGCGGGAAGTGCACGCAGGAAAGAGTGCCGGGGCAGAGGTAATTGGAACATGGTGCTGCAGGAATGACATTAGCACCATCTTCACCAACATGCAGATTTCCCCTTCTCAGTTCGTAGCACGCTTCATAGCTCTTGCATATGCACCCAAGCAACGTAAGGTTAACGAGAGCCAGTATGGAAAATCCGACAAGGAATATAAAGTGCTCACCGTTCTCATACTGCGCTTGATACCACGAACTATCGCTCCTAACGTTCTGCTGTTGCTGGTGCTGTTGGTGGTGATGTCCTCCACCTCCGCCTCCGAACATCTGGTCGAAGAAACCGAACTGCGCGTTCGCGCCGAATGTGAGGAATCCCAGGGCGAGGAATAGGAGATTGAAGAGCTCCATTGTGAAATTGAAGATCGCTTTATTCGCCTCCTGCAGAACAAAGGATTATGCGAGAGAATGGCGGATTGAAAATGCGGAACTACAACAAGAGGTCGACCGGTGCTTGATGATGATGTGGAGCTTAGAGGAAGCTGGGATGCAAAGAGGACAAACATGCCAAGATGTGGTTGCGGGGATCGCTAGCGTTCCACGCAAGGCAGGGATAAGTGCCAAGAATTGGCTCGGTCTCATCCGAAAAAGTCGCGATCTAGAAAATGCAAACGACAAACTACCACCACGACGACGACGGTGACCACGCAACCACTCCGCGCCTCTGTAAATTCTAGATTAGTTTTACGTCGTCCGACGAAACTCTAAGACCGAACCGTCACGTACGTCCTCCCGACTCTCATTCTTCGCCTCGTCGATATCCCACAACGCGGAAAGCTGACTTTCGACTGCAGCATGCATCTCATGTACACCCTCGACGCCTCTGGCAAGCGCGTCTACACCCTGAAAAAAGTGGTCAACGGCGAGGTTTCGAAGTCGGCGCATCCGGCCAGATTTTCTCCAGATGACAAGTACTCGAGGTATGGACGCACATTTGCTTGGGTAGATTCTGGATATGGGCTTTTGTTGCGGAAGAGCTGGCGTTGAGGAAGAGCTGGGAATATGGAAATACAGGGAAGGGAGAGGCTGAGATTGGAAAAATGGGTGATGCAGGGTTAGTTTTGCGAGTGAAGATGGCTGACATGCAGTGTTTAGGCACCGCGTCACGATTAAGAAGCGTTACGGCCTTCTCATCACGCAGCAGAGTGAGTCCTTCATGTCGGCTCCCACCTTGCCCTCAGACTAACAGAAGTGCAGAGGACAAGCTCGCCCTGCAGGGCCAGTAGACGCATAATTTCGAGAGAAGAAGGCAACGGTTGAGACCTGCGGAGGTAGACTCTGGAAGATCGGCGAGGGGAGTGCATAAGCAAGGCGTTTTCTGGCGTTATCGAAAAAGATGGATTGATCTGGACGGGGAAGCTACGGCTTTTGTTATGTTTTGATATGTGAGGACGTAGGTAAAGGAATGTGAAGTCAGATGCGCTGTCAAAATCAAGCCCGACTCAGCCACGGCCACGACTGCTCAGGTTCGCTCGCCCGTCTCATCAGGCATCGCCAAGGCTAACGAGAGTCCCGAATGGCCCCATTCCACAGCCTCTGCCAGCCTGGACCCATACCCAGACAGTCACCCACCGGGGTTGTTGATGGTGTGGTGGGGAAAAACAGGCTACACTGACCGAAGTGCTAGGTCCAGAGGCTAAATCAAGATCAAAAGTATCAGCGCAAATCATGTACTGTAAGTAAAATGGCTATGGTAACTTCCGTTACGTCCTACGGCTGCTGACGCGCACGTCATACGACTACACAGTTATACACACCATGTGAATGTTCCGCGGTAACTCCGGTTGGCTCATACACTTACGGTATTGCGGGGTGTTGGGCATGTGGAGTGCCGTGGTAAGTTCGTTGATTAAGGCGCTCTATCCTTCTGTTTGTCCTTGCTCTTCGTTCATATCTCAACAAACCGTGCGACTGCCATGGCCGAGTTGCGTTTTGGTGGGCGTGATGATGCCGCCCTTCCCCTCTGGCTCAACCCAAATATTTACCTTCAGTATGCGCCTGACGATTCAAGACCCGCGGTTCCCTTTGTCAACCGGCCTATTTTCATCTTATGTTCGGTTCGAAATACTGGCAGCCAGCCAGTCGCTGGTGCCATCACCAAGTTTTACATTTGCGATATGGCCACCGTCCCTACCAAGGGAATGAGTCTACTTGTGGGGCAGAGCTTTGTCGACCTTGACGCTGGAGAGACGAAAGAGGTGCTGTGCCTGAGTCCATGGACACCCATTGTTGTTGGCCACTTCTGTGTTATTTGCGAGATTAGCGCTCCGGAGGATCCCAGCCCCTTTACATCGGACAGCCACTGGGACATTCACGACCGACACGTTGCTCAGCACAATATCGACGTGATTGAGCCACCATCTGTCGTGAGACGACCGCATTTGGGATCCTTTGTCGTTGCAGGACTTCCCAATGAACCGTACTCAACGGTAATTGCCCGCCGAGCGAGCGACGGGGAATTCAAGGCGGCTATCAGGCTCTTCGGCGGAGACGCTCTCGTCCAACGCAACATCACCGCTGATACCAAGTTCGGTCTCATATCGAATTTCAGCGCTGGGGATCCCATCCCGGACCTCGACGGCCTTGGAGGGAAGTTGGTGTTTAAGGATTTGAAGCCCAAGGAACAGAAGAACGTGAGCGCGGCAGTGCAACTGCCCCATGATCCGGAGCATGCCTCGGCTGCCGTTATTTTCATTGAACAGATTGATGCGAAGAATGCAGTCGTTGGAGGTCTGGCTATCGTTGCTCTAAATCGACCTCTTAGAATAGGAACGGAGCCAGTAAGAGCACGAGCGGCAGTGCCGGTTAGCATCCCTTTTCGACCCTACAGCACATTTCCAGAAAGCAACTTCATGACACCAGATGGGATATTCTGTTCCAACTTCGGCATCCAGAACATCAACGTTCAGGTCCGAAATGACGGATCGTCGACCTTGACGGATCTGACGGTCTATGTAGAGGGTGTGGCCGATCCTAACATAACTTTGAGGTACAGTCGATCTTCGCCTCCTGGCGGGTCAGCCAGGTCGTCAGCGTCGTTCAAGTCTATCTTTCAAGGAAATTTCAGCAGGGCAGCAAGCAATGAGACGTTGGTCTCTTTCATTGTCCAGCAGCAATCAGGTACTTCGTCGAAGAGCGTGCGAATTGTCAAGAAGATATTCGTCCTTGGCATCGAGTACAACAAGACCACGAAGACATTCACCGTCAATGTCCCGCAGGGGTCATTCCAGACCAACGTCAGGACGGTGATTGTCCCAAGGGAGTTGCCCACGGAGAACGAGAAGCCGATTACATATCCAATGTTTCTCAAGGGTGCGTCGATGCTTTGGTTGCCGATCCCTCCATATGGCGGAACCCACGGTCCTCTTCCCTTTGAGGATCCCTGGTGGAAGGTCATTCTCTGCCTGATTGCACTTGCTCTGGAAATCGCTGGAGCGGTCGAGGCGGTCAACGCAGGCGGCGATGCAAGCATCGGCACAAGCAACCCGTTCGCAGATCCCGACGGCTCGGAAAACTGCTGCACCGGCCTGGAAGTCCAAGCGTCAACGGACAGCTATGCGGCAGCCGGCCTCTTCGCGACCGCTGCCGCAGTTGCCGTCATCGCCTTACTCTCAGACGACGCCGATCTCATCGACCGAGGACGCAGCCAAACTGTGCCCAACAGCGGCGAGCTGACCAGTGCCGAGCGTGCCAGCTTCGAAAGCGATTTCAACGATGCTCCCTCGCCGGGAACACCATTCACTGGCAGGACAACGTGGAGCTACGAGCGCACCCTCGGCAGCCGCAGCCTCACGCACAGCGCGACGGATACGTACCAGAACGTCCACTACCTCCAGAGCTACAAGGTCTCCCTAGACTCAGCACCCGTAACCGACCCAAACCATCACCACGCCCACCCACGCAGCGAACCGCTGCTCATCGAAGCCAGCTTCGTCAACCCTTCGGGCGCCCTCTTCCGCGGCCCAACTCTCTACGTGTTCGTCCTCCTCTGGTCGAACCACAGAGAAAAGCGTCTCCTGGAGCTCCGTGACGACGGGAGTGACAGCGAGAACATCGAACCGAACAGGGGCGTATATAGAAACTCGATCCGCATGGGGAGGGAGGAGTCGAAGACGTGGTACGTGTTTGTGTTTGCGCAGGATGTGAATACGGTGGTGGAGGGGACGGGGCCCAGGGAGGCGGCGAAGACGATTGGGGGCGCGTTGCTGACGAGGCAGTTTGTGGTCGGGTTGGGGTCCAAGCCGTGTGAGTTGAATCATGATGCTATTGTGGATCTGACTTGAAGGGACTGCGTCTTGTTTCCCACCTGTGCATGCGAATCGTCTGAAGTGTATTTACTAGTCGATTTCTACAGAAGGTTGAGATCTTTATCGTAGTATTCTTGGTGAAAAAGGGAGACGGGGGGGGGGGGGGGTGTTACTCTGGGAAAAAAAGTCAAAGTGTATTCAAAGTTCCCTTTACAGGGTAGATTGAGGAAAAGGAAAATCGAATCTATGAAACCTCTACGGATGCCTTGATCTTTGAATACTCTGGACCTGAACAACAGCGTGCCAACGCAAACAGTCGATCTACAGGTAATCCAATACATCCGCGTAGATAGACTCCAGTAAGGACGATCGTTACCGCCTCAGCGGAGAAAGCGTGACAGAAGGAAATCACTGACGAGATTGAAGGGGGAAAAGACACAAGGCGGGGAAAATGCAGTGCGACAGCAGAGATGTGATTCAGGGGGCAGGCGGCCAAGGACATCATTGGAGACGAAAAGCGGGCTTACGAGCAACTGTAGCTCGGTTTCCAATGGCGAAGTGACGAGCGACGTCTGCAAATCCCAGGGCGCATCATAGGTCGGCAGGCCCGTTGGGGTACGATAGATGCGAGGTACTATACTTACAGAGCGAGGAGGATGTGCGATGTGCTGGCGACGAGGAGAGGGCGACCCGTGGGGTTGGTGGTTGGCGCACCGCTTGCCAAGGGGAGTGCCTTTCACTGTTGGTCTGTGCGGGAGCTGCGGAGTGATGCTCAGGGCGCTACGCGCGCAAGCTTATTTAATATCCAGGCTTGTGTCTTGCATACGAGTACTTGTAGTACCACAGGGAGGTGTGTGGGGGTCGTGTTGTACGGAGTTGCCCCTCCCAGCTTCGCTGAGGGGTTGCATGGAAGCGCCGAAGTCCGCATGAGATATCTACGAAAGGGGAGTTGCATCTTCAATTCTACAGTATGGCGCACGGACCACAACCCCCCGCGAGCACACCTCAAGCAGCGCATCCTACGCCATACCTGGTACACACCCAGCGGGACGACCCAGCACCACTACTGCCACCACCGCTGCCACCAGACAACAAAGGAAATCGACCCTGTTGGATATTTGACAATGCTCGCCTCAAGCGCCAGCATCAACAAGCATGGCCGTGGTTTTCTGGGAGGAGTCATTCATTCGGAGCCCAAACCCCGAATCTTCCATGACACCTGCTAACCAACAAGATAGTCTACTACTAGCCCTAGCGTCCAGCCCTTTCTTCCCCTTGACTCTTCTATCGCCTTCTCACCTTTATATTATCTTGTCTCTCCCTTCTCTCTTCCTTTTTCTTCTTTTCCCTCTTCCATCTCTTCCGCCCATCTCGCCCTTGCCAGCGCTTGTCTCCGTTCCTAGCCGTGTCACCCCGCGTTCCCCGCCCTACTTTTTGCGTCGTCACCATCCCACTGCCACTTCATTGTTCCCCCCACGCCTCGATTCCGACCTCGTGCTGGTGCTGCTCCTTGGAACGCTGCCCTGAAAGAGACAGTCCAACAGGGTCTAGCTGCCTCTTCCCGCGTCCGAACCAATTGCGGCAACTGGACTTGGTTCCCCACGCTGCATTTCCTACCCCAGGCTCGCCGTCCACCTGCTTGCCCCTCGCATCCATCCCAAACCCTCTTCTGCCTGCATCTCGGATTCGGCCTTCGTCCACCTATCGATCCTGTCACTCTACCTTCACGCCATTGCCCCTTTCCGGTCCTTAAAGGCAGAGTGCTTGCATCAACAATTCGGTCCAACCCGTCTTTCACCATTCCAGCTCTCCTACGCCTCCACGCGAGGGGCTAGCCCCCACCACTTCTGGGTATGAACTTCAAAAACGACACCTCTCACTGGCCCGTTGGACAAGAACATATCAATCGGTGACTTTTCCATCTCGCATCTTTTCCCCGCATCTTCGATCCATTCCCTCGTGCCAGCCACGTTGCCTATCACCGCCCATCTCGGGTGCATATTCCTTCTGGCTGCGCTTTCCGAATCGATACCGTTGCTTATTCCTGGATCCCCAACGGTGCCCCCAGCCTTGGATCTGCCGCCCGATCCGATCTCCCATACCCCACAAACGCCCCTGGAAGCCTGGACGCCGGTGACTGCAGGCATCCGTCCAGCTCGGAATTGCCAAGCTAGCCCTGAGCCGTCTCCCCTATTCTTATCAATCTCTCGTTGCACGTAATGGAGTCTTCCATGACTTTACTGAGTGCACACATCCAGTTCCTTGTATGTACCTTTCGTCATCCGTGATACGCATTCCTTGTGCATCGCTTTGGGGAGCGGGCATGGGCCATGTCTTATACTTGGCTGAGCAAGGTTGAGCTATGTCTCGCAGCCACCATCCTGCATCTGCACGAGGCACACGTTTTTATACTCCGCGTTCCCACGCTGGTTTTCGCCTCATGAACCTCAGCTAACGCTATGATTACCTTCAAGGATACTCAACTGGCACTGATACACATCCCATTGCACCTCTACTCGAGCTTCCTACAGACGATACTTCGACTGCTCCTCCCTGATGAGAGCCGTAGTCATGACGTTGCTAATGGAAACGGAGCCGTGCAGCCGCCGAAAGGCTGGCCGTATGAGCACCCCTTTGTGAACATTTCAGTCACTCCCGTTGAATGCTCCGTCGTTTGCTCGAGAACACTGGCCAGAGACTTGTTTGTTCCTGCACGCGAGGCTCTCAACCAGGCATCAAAAGCCCAAATCTCAATCACAGACGAGGATTTCGTGGTGATGCAGGTGGACGGTGAGGGCCTCGATGCCGGACAACGCGTGTTGGAACTTACCTCTCCCCTTGCCTTGGCCGGAATGTGAGTGCCCCAAGCAACACCAAGATGAAGTGAAGCTAAGATACCACAGTCCCATCTTCTTCATCTCCACCTACTTTTCAGACTACATTCTCGTTCCCCAAAGGCATCGTGCCCAAGTAGTCCTAGCCTTGGAAGAACGTGGCTTCCAATTCGAAGACCAGACGTCCTCCTACGTCAACCCAACCCATCACGGCCGCAACCTCTCCGCCTCTTCCATCGACCCTCCCACCCCCGGAACCCCTCCTCCCGCCACCGTCTCCGAACTCCAAACCCGCACATTCGCCACCCTCAAACGCCGCAACATCATCCCTACGGTCGACCCGGACCTCCGCCTTGTCCAATGTGCCGGTCGAAGGGACAGCTCCAACGGCATGCACCTATCCCGCAACCGTAGCAGCATGACGAGCGCCGCAGACGACGCTCTGCACCTCGGCCTCGTCAAATGCCTCATCACGCAACCGCATCCGCGCTTTCTCTCCCTCACGCTCACCGACACCGAGCCCGCGTCTTTGCTCCTTGATCACACCCTCGTCCCTAATTTCCCATCTGACATTCTGCTTGGCTCCAAAGACGACTACCTCATCCCCATCACCCTCGATCTCCGCGGCTTACCGATGGAGAGCACCGGTATCGTGTGCGGTGTGGCAGGCCGCCTTGTCGGAGGCACGCGTGGCTCAATCCAAAGTCCCGTCGAAATGAGCTATCTGAGCACGGCACGTGCGGGGACTGTCATGGTCAGCGAGGAGGAGCTGAAGCGCGCATTGGGGGCCCTGAGTGGTGCGGAAAACGGGATGGTGGTGGATTAGCCAGCGACTGGAAGCAGGGGGTCGAGAGTGAGGAGAGTTGATAGGAGGAATTGTGTTGCGTGGTGAAGAGGTCATGTGTGCGGTTGCTGCTTACGCGTTGAACGACTTCTCACCGATCTGGGAATGCCGAGGATGAGTACGATTAATACGCGTTGCAGTGGAGTGGGGGTGAGCAAGACGGTCAGCCAGCTTTCGCGCGCTTGGTACGCTTTCGAGCACTGTCTGATAACGGATCTCCTATTCGGGACGGCTAACGACGCTCACCTTGCACGCGCGATATCCCGCAGACTGGACTACTCGGATTGCGTTCGCAGGTCGATGTGGACTCCCACTCCCGTGCTCATGTGCCCGGCCGGGGCTGGTATCCGTGGGAAGCGCGGGGTGCGGATTGCGTGCATGTTGGACCCAGGGGATGGGCATCACATGCACTCCGTCTTCTATTTGTGGGTACAACTTCTCTCGCTTGGCTCCTTTGCATATAGTGTCTTCTTCTCGCTTTTGGTTGCTTTGAGCATTGTTGATGGTAGCATGATTGTTGTTGGGTTAGGGGATCTCAAAAATGCTATTGCTGTTGTTGCTGTTGCTGGCGAGGTGTCTTCATTCTGTGAGTCTTCGGTGCCGAGGTAAGCTGTTTGTGTATACCGTGAAAAGTTATTGGGTGTGGACCGCAAGGCAGTTGGGACGAATAGTCGTTAAACTGAGAAGATTGTTGTTGGACCAAAAAGCTACTTCATCAAACCTTTTCCGTTATCCCAAGTCCCGAGCCGTGAACATTACACACAACGTATCCATCCATGCATACAGATATCAAAACAACTCCCTCAATCACTCAAACCCCATCCACTCTCCATCCCCCTCGCCTTCACTCCCCTCCTCCTCCCCATCAACCATAACTTCATCCCTCTCCTCCTCCTCCCTTCTCCCTCCAAACTCTATCGCCAACCTCTCCCTCTCCTTCCCCTCCCTCTTCATCCCACAAATCCACTCAACCCTATAGACATTCTCTTCGGCGACCCTCACAATCTCCCCTTGCAACCTCCTCACGACCTTCTCCACACTCCTCACCTCGGCCTCCAGCCCTCCCCGATTCTCCCTCATCCACCGCCCATGCCACGTCAACAGCGCCTCAATCCACCGCAGATTGAACTCAACGTGCGGACTCTCATCCGCCTGCACGGCCACAAACCGTAACAACCTCGCCAGATAGACGCGCGGCACCTCCCTCGCAACGAGCCCCACATCACCGATGGGAATCGCCTGGTAGACGGCGCGCACGAGTCCGCGATCGTTCAGGCGAAACGCCATGACGAGCGCCTTGAGGTACTCGCACCGCTTGAGCGTTTCGAGCGTCGAAGCCGGCGTGACGCTAACGTCGAGATCGAACGGATCGAACATGACGCCCGTATCGAGACTATACACGAGCAAGCCCTCGGTACTCGCGGCGCAGAAACTGCGTCCGGTGGGCGAAAACGCCACGCCGGGTACTCTGACCGCAGGCCTCGTCTTCCTCGCGCCCTCACCCCGCTGCGCACCGGGGAGACTCGTATCGATGCGATCCTCACGATCCGACGCCTCGCCCTGCTCGTCCAACAATCCCTTCGGCCCGGCCTCGGTCAGCAACTTGCTGTTGAGGAACTCCTGCGTCCCGTCGAGGCTCAGGTTGACGCTGACGGTGAACTTCTTGACCAGCACCCCGGACACCACGTCGTACAGGCATATGTACTTGCTGTTGCCGCCCGCGAGCACGCAGCTGCCGTCGGCGCTGTACTGGACAGTGGTGAAGCTCTTGGTTCCCGCGACGTTGGCCGCCGTCCGGCGATCCGACAGTTTTCTGCCGCCCGACACGTCCCTGCGTGCATCGACGCCGGATTGCTGCGTCGCGTCCGAGACGCTCCAGAAGGTGAGTTGCCCGTCCAGCGTCGTGACCGCGATCTGCTTGCTGTCCGGCCGGAACGCTACGGCCAGGACGTCGGCCATGAGTTGCAGCGGCTCGGAGGTCTGGGTGCGAGCGAAGATGCTCCAGAGACGCACGGTGCGGTCCCAAGAGCCGGAGACGAGGGTGCTGCCGTCCGGGGCGAAGGCGAGGCTGGAGACGGGTCCTTCGTGGCCAGATAGTCGATCGAGCAATTGACCCGTCTGCACGCTCCAGATGTGGATGTCGAACGAGTCTATGGATCCCGCTGCGACGACCTCGCCGCTGGGGTCGACGGCGAGCGACGAGAAGGAGAGCCGCGAGGGCGCCGTGAAGGTGCGGAAGTTGCGGTAGCGGATCAAGTCCCAGGCGCGGACGGAGCCGTCCAAACTCGCCGTGAAGAGCACGTTGCCGCGTTTGGCGAACTCGCAGGCCGTCACGCCCGATATGTGCTCGGTGAAGGTGACGATGCAGAAGCCCGACGTGACGTCCCAGACCTTGATTTTGCCGTCGTCGGCGGCGGTGATGATGCGTTGGCCGTCGGGGGAGTACGTTATGGAGTTTAGAGAGTCGAAATGCCCCTGTTGTTTGAGGACGTAGGATTCAGATTGCCATTCCCAGACGAGGAGTTGGCCGAGCTTGGAGGCGCCGAAGGCGAGCCATTCGCCTGTTTTGTTGATGACGACGTGGTCGATGTCATTTTGGGAGATGCTCAGTGTTTGGATTTGGCTGAAGTCGGGGAGCTCGTGGATCATGAAGACACCGTGGGAGAAGCCCGTGACGAGGAGGTTGGAGTCGGGATGGAAGGCGGCGCAGGTGAGGTTTGCTTGGTTCTGGTGAAAGTAGTGTCTGTCTGCAATGCCCCATTGCATGTTCTCGTCGTTCTCTTCCGCGTCTTCAGGGACGTCATATCGAAGCATGTACTTCCATATGAAGAGTGCACCGTCCTTGCTCACTGTGTATATCTATGAGACAGATCAGTATTCCGGATCTACGTCTCCGAGCCCATGACCGTACCCACCGTTTCTTGGTCTTTTGAAAACCACGCGCCCACCACTGCCAGCTTGTGTCCGCCTAGTGTCGTGGGCACAAAGCCCTCCTCGGGGTCCATACTCCATATTCTCGCAGTCATGTCTTTTGAAGCACTAAGGAAGAATCTCGAATCTGATGACCACTCCAAACTCCGCACTGTGTCGAAATGCCCGGTATACATCCGATGCCTCACGAAGGGCGCAAACTCCAAATCTCCATCCGCTACGTCCGGCGTAGACGGTGTATGCCATACTTCGATCTTCCGTCCTACGGCTGCTGCGAAGTGTCGCCCGGAGGGCGCAAAGGCGAGAGCTGAGACATTGTCTCGAAATGAAAAGTGGTATAGAACTATGCGGCGGGGAACATTTGTGAGGATTGCGCGGCCATCTTCGTCGACGGAGAGCAGCAGGTTTCCACGAGGGTTGAGCGCCAGACGGGCAATGTTTTTACGATGTGCGAAAGGAAGGGTATAGGATTTAGAACTGGCGGCGTTTTAGCAAAGTAATCATAACCACGCAGGAGGCAATCCGCACTTTACAAGGTCGAATATGGAAACCCGGTTTCCTACGGGCGAAAGCAGACATGTGCCATCGGGTGTGAAGAGAAGGTTCCCTCTGCTGTAGACGGTGCCCAGGAGGTTGGAGAACTGGAGTTTCACGTCAGCAACATTAGATCAGCACTCGCGCACAAAACATACCTGAAAATCCGTCTTCATCTTCAAGCGTTACGTCGATTCGGGCGGCGGCCCATCGCGGCATCCCATCTCCAACTTTTTCTGAAAGTGGAAGCTCGGGCCACCACCCATCGCGCTCGCCAACGCGCTAGCGCTGTTCAGGGAGGGTGCTTGCCGAAGTGAGAAAGGGGACTCAGCGCAATTATCCATCAACACCACCCCAACTGCTGCTTCACGCTTCCCACCGTTCGAAACCACAACGCTCGCTCCGATTTACGAAGGCTCTTCTAGCCTCTATTTCTCTCTCTATTGTAATATATCTCGTCTGCCCCGCTCGTGCATCCGTTGCTGAGACAAGCTGCAGACTCTCACGAAACAGCTGCACCAGGGACAACACCATGGCCGAGTCAGCATCTCCAATTGGCATTGCCAATGTGGGTATTTGTGTGTAAAGATAGCTGGAAACAGTGTGCTAACTTGTCTCTGTAGTTGCCGAACCAGCGGTATGCACTCCTGAAAGAATCAACCCCCTCGTCCACACCTGACAGTAGACAGACACAAGATTGTTGCAAAGCGTGGTGCAGCATTCACGATAATGGTACAAACGCACCGTTATATTTGTATGAGGGGCTCGTACCTAATAGTTACTGCAGGTCGCTGGCGAGTCCGGTCTTGGAAAGACCACCTTCATCAACACCCTCTTTTCCACCACGATCAAGAACTACGCCGACCACAAAAAGCGCCACAACAAGCAGGTCGACAAGACCGTGGAGATCGAGATCACAAAGGCTGAACTTGAGGAGAAGTTCTTCAAAGGTACAGCTGTCCTTCTGTGCGACATCAACCCTTGCCCCTGACACGCGACAGTGCGCCTCACCGTGATTGATACCCCCGGCTTCGGAGACTATGTCAACAACCGCGACTCATGGCAACCCATCATTGAGTTCCTGGATGACCAGCACGAGTCCTACATGCTCCAGGAGCAACAACCCCGCCGTACCGACAAGATTGACCTGCGCGTCCACGCTTGCTTGTACTTCATCAGGCCGACCGGCCACACCCTGAAGCCGCTCGATATCGAGGTTATGAAGAGGCTTTGCACCCGTGTGAACCTGATTCCCGTGGTCGCTAAGGCGGATACCCTCAGCCCCGCAGATCTGGCCAAGTTCAAGTCGAGGGTATGTCCATTGTTCGAATATCTAACCGACCGCTAACCATCTAGGTCCGCGCCGTTATTGAGGCTCAGGGCATCAAGATCTACCAGCCCCCGCTTGAGGATGACGATGAGGCCGCTCTCAACCACGCCCGCAGCCTCATCGCTGCTATGCCATTCTCCGTCATTGGTTCCGAGAAGGATGTTCAGACCAACGACGGCCGCACTGTCAAGGGACGTCAATATGCCTGGGGCGTTGCCGAGGTGGAGAATGAGGAGCACTGTGATTTTAAGAAGCTCCGCGCTATTCTGATCCGTACCCACATGCTTGATCTTATCCACACCACGGAGGAGAACCACTACGAGGCGTACCGCGCACAGCAGATGGAGACGCGGAAGTTTGGCGAGGCCCGCCCACGGAAGCTTGATAACCCCAAGTTCAAGGAGGAGGAGGAGGCCCTGCGCAAGCGCTTCACCGAGCAGGTCAAGATTGAGGAGCAACGATTCAGACAATGGGAGCAGAAGCTCATCTCGGAGCGCGATCGTCTGAACAAGGATCTTGAGCAGAGCCACGCCATCATCAAACAGCTTGAGCAGGAGGTTGAGCAGCTTCAGGGCAGCATGAACCGATCTCACGGCCGTCGTTAGGCGCAATAGGTCGGTGCATGGTCGAGCAGGTCCAACAGTTGTGGACGTCAGGAGTCTTTTTTATATATTCTTTTCCAAGATTCCCCTCCCTTTCTCTTTCATATGTTTGTAATGTGTCGCTTGCGGCAGGTTCCATCACGCCCTTCTTGAGGATGGATATCGCGCTTGCGAGTCTTGAAGGGGCTTCCGTCGTTTGCGCCGAAGATGGTTCCCGTAGCAAAAGGTTTGGGACAGTGGTGGTCTTGGGACGCGTCAGATATAATTTAGTTGTGTTGCGACTGGTCGCAGTGTGCTCCTTGATTCGCTGGTTTCCGTGATGATGGCATATGGACGACACATACACCTGCAATATGATACATCCTGCGGGTTGAGGTACTCGGAGCACTCGAACCCAGCCATTCCAGCAGACCCACCCATGAATAGTCTCTTGATCTCATTGGGTAAGAGCTCGTCTTCAACTACACCCCTATCTTCCTCAAGGACTGTCAGGTGCAAGCCAACTCAATCCAGCAAACCACCAACCAACACCGTCTTACCCACGACCTATATCCAATCCACCAAACGCCCTATCCAACTCCTCCCCTTCCCTCGGATCCGGCACCCCATCCCTCCTCTCCACCACCGCCTTCACGCCCACACTCCTCTCCGCACTCGTCCGCGCGTGGTGTTCCCCCTCCCCCGTACGTCTCTCCTGCAGCCTAGCCCCCTCCCCAGCACCTCCTACATTTTCGGGCACGAGCAACTTCACATCGCCATCCAGCCACCCAGGCGCTACCCTCCTCTTCTCCGCCAAATCCTCTGCTCTCCTCCTCTCCTCCCATCTCTGCAGCGTCGCTCTCGCCTCAGCTTCGAGTTGCACAAGGTGTTGTTGCAGCGCATGGCAGGAAGATAGTATCGCGTCTGGAGAGGCGGCGGTTTGGCCTGTTGAGGAGAGGACGTATGCCGGTTGGTGGGGTTCGTTTTGTGAGGGGGTTTGTGATGGGTTGGTATCCATGGTTGAGGCGGCGGTTGGTGGGGAGGAGAGGATTGAGGGCGGGAGGGTGGAGGGGAGTTGTTTGTAGGTGTAGGGGAGGGGGGTGGCGGTGGGGAGGTTGAGGAAGGGGGAGACGGTTAGGGGGACTTGAGCGAGGAGGGGGTGGGGGTCTGGAAGAAGGGTTGTCAGCTTGGTTCTTTATCTTAGGGGTAGTAAGGAAGAGAGCATTTTGGAAGGTGGGAGATAGAGTGAGGTGGGTGGGTGTATTGTATAGCTGCCGTGCGTGCGTGCGTGCAAGATGTGTGTGTTGCGCTTCTGACCCCATGGCCGAATGGGGTCGAGGACTCGAGCTTGCGATTAGACCGACAACAATGAGAGCAATTGAGCGCTGGTTGCAGCCCTTGCAACTCCCAGTCCTTTATGTTGCTCCCTGGCGCCTAACATGCTATCCGAGGCCTGCGTACGAATGTGCGGCTGGAAAGTCCCAACGGAGCGGGAAAGAAGATCTGGGGTACTCACGTTCTTCCTGCATATCGAGTATCGGGCAAAGAGTGGCGGCGAGAGAAGTGGAATATAATCTCTCTATGTTTTACTACTCAGAGCTGTGGCCGTGCGTACTAAGATTGGCGATAGTTGGTGTTCAGAGTCGATATTCCGTGAGGATGGATGAAAGACTGGTAGTCTTGCGGAGATAAATCACGGAGGTTGAATGTCATGTTAGGTGAGGGCATTGTGTTGAAGTGCACACGCGCACGTGATGTGGGGCTCCGCCACTCTTTGATATTGCATAAGCGATGGAGTGCACAGCTGGGGAAAAGAGCGGACCATGCATTTCCATTATGTTGTCTATACATTGTAGGTGACAGATCTATGTGTGGGGTTCGAGGCGAGGCCCATTCAGATGCCACATCCATGCCACAGGGATCGCCTCCTTACAATTGGAACCCGAACATTGTCCGATCTCCTTTGCTACAAGTAACTAACATTTGAAGGGCCTTGGGCCAGGAATGGTGTATGAGGTCGGTTTTGGCCAATACAGTTGGAACTTGATTCCGGGATCAGAACCCTTATATGCTCCGGGGAAGCTGACCGTTGGCGGGTTTGCGTTTCCACCTCCGGACACGTTCAATTGAGCACATTCCATGTAGCTACAGTAGACTTCGTATTAGTGGCGTTTTCCCAAGGGGGCAAATAATAGGTAATGGAGGGGGCGGGCCTTACAGTTGAGCTCCCGGGTAGTTTCCGGCGCCGTGCAAAGCGATGATCTCGGCCCTCAATAGGTACCTATAATGCATGTCAGACCTTGGTGCAAAGTTTCGAATACGAGGAATCCGCTTACTGGCCGGGTTGAATGCAGGAGGGCAGCGTAAAGTCCACCTTGCCTTTGTTGTTGTACAGTCTGGTCACTGCCCACTCCCCGTCGCTGTCCATGCCATCCTCATAGATCTTGAACCACTTCAGACCCGTTACCTGCGTGGTCAACGCATTTTCTACCTTAGCAAGATAGACCATAACGGGGCCCAGATGGCCTTTGTCGATTGGGTCGGCGGGATCGTTTGTGCCCGCGCTATCCAAGGTATGATGCCATTCCGCGGTGAGCTTATCGCCCGCAGTGACCTGTAGTCAATTAGCGCTTAAGCTATTTGGCGCGGTCCCGGCTCGGCGAGGTGTGCGTACGTTGATTATGTCTTTGGGTAGGGGTTGTCGGAGCGGGTTCGGGCTAAATCCGTGTCAATATATCACAGTAAGCCTGTTGAGTAGCTTGCTTCAAACTTGCCCTCCATTGCAGATAACATCATTGGAGTCAACGTCAGTAATCGGCCTGGGAAACACACGTCAGTATTGGGGCTGAGGTGGTTGGAGCCTTGGAGGTGGGAGCCGGCGTTCGTACCCGTCATAGGTCTGTGAAGTGCAGTCAGCAACGACTCCGTACCGCTATGCCGAGCCAGTGGATGCGAACATACGGGAACTCGGATACCCTTGGTATGACCCTGCGGAACACCATTTACCCAGAGCTGCGTAAAAATCGTATGCGCCGAAGCGCTTGCAAGGAGTGAGCACGTGACAAGGAGGCACTTCATGTTGAGTTGACTTCAGAGACACAACTAGAGAAGCTCCAATGTTCGAATGACGGACCGCTCTATAAGAGAGGCAGCTTCAATCTCCTATCCAGTATTGTCCATTTTGGGAACGGAGGGAGACGGAGCCAGCTACGAGATATACCAGAACGGGCAAGTTCTCTCGATCGGTCGTCGGGTGCCATGGTCTGTAGTCTCATTAAGCAGTGCGGAAGATCAATATAAACGGGATGCCACATGATTTCACAGCACGTGCTCGGAGAGAAGGGCGCCGCACACCGACATATGCAGGCAGCGAAAAGCTGGGGGAGGCAAAAGCAGAGTCGGGGCACAGCACGCACATGCGCCTTGCCCCGGGTCTAGGATGGAAGAAGGAAATGCCGGTGGGCGCCTGGAAGATGTGGAAAAATGACTGCAGGTAAGCGAAGCGACGGGGCCAAAGTACAGAGGCATTCTGCCTCAGTCCAAGTGAACCGACGACCTTCAATATAATAAATTGGCCTCTATACCCAGTCTGGGACGTTTCGACCGATGGACAGGGCCAGAGAAACCAGGAGAAACCAAGCCATTGGTGGCTACGCACGTGTTGTCGCAAGCAGTGCCCGCGGGCCATGGTTATGCGGCACGGTTTGCCCTGGCGGGAGACGAGAAGCTTGACGGGCGTCTGAAGCGTCGGGGAACCCAGCCGTGGCGGGTGGTCGAAGTTCGAGAAGGGCTCGCGAACATGCAGGAAGTGTGCTTGGTGAGGTTGCTGGTAGGTGGAAGATGCAGGGGCAGAAACGCTGGAACTGATGAAAAGGTGTGGGGGAAGAAAGACGTTGCCCAGGTGTCTAGTCTACATCCGGACTAACCGCGCTTGGCTACCAGGCCTCGACGGCAAAGCACTCCTAGTAGCCCGTCCTTCATCAATCTACCTCAATCAACCTTCGTGTGCCATGCAATCAGCGCAGATTAATAATTCTACAGCGAATCTCACCCACAGTGGCCTTGTGGTCCAGCATCCAATAGGAAACGTGCTCATTCTCAGCCAGACCTAACAGCTTGGAACGAGTCTACAGGGGATGCTGCGACTGTAATCCGGTAGCCGGTACGGCATGACCCTGCGCGCCGCGGGAAACTGTCATGCTGTGTGGAGCTCGTTATTATTGGCATCGATGGGATACGCAGCACGGTGCCTGCCATTTCCTGGGGTAAAGTCAAAATGTATATAACAAGCCAATCGCGCCTTCACGGGTAGTACCTTGTGGCCGTGGTCTGCTTCCCTTGGTCTTCCACTCCTTCCAGTCTGAACCTGCTCGCCGGGCTTGAAAGATGAAGGGCTCAACCGTCTTCAAGGCGGCTTCGCTGCTTTCCCCCCTCTGTACGTGCTCATGTGCCCTCTCCCGGCCCAATTGCGTGCGGAACTAACATATGAAGATGCCTCCGTTGCTCAGGCACAAGGAAAGTTCACACACGAAAAGACCGGCATTGAATTCTGGCGTCAAGTAGTTGACGACTCTCAAACGGCCGGTGGCTTCGAGTGGGGTTTTGCGCTGCCAGGAGCCCCGACAGGTAACAATGACGAGTACATCGGTTACATCGTAAGTTGACTTTCCGCAATCAATGTTTGAAACATTTATTCACATCCCCAAAGCGCGGTTCTCTGCAGTCTGGCCGAAAGGGATGGTCAGGCGTCAGTCACGGTGGAGGTATGCCCAACTCCCTCCTCCTTGTAGCTTGGCCGGACGGCGATGCGGTTAAGACGAGATTCGTCTACGCAGGGTAAGTCAGATAGATCCCCGCCGCCTTGCATTCCAGATTCTGATCCGCTCCTCAGAGGATATGTTGCTCCAGAGGACTATACCGGAGATGCGACAATCACCCAAATCTCCCACTCCGTCAGCGACGACCACTTCGAGTTGGTCTACCACTGCCAAAAGTGTTGGGTCTGGAACCAAAAGGGTGCTGAGGGCGAGCAGCGTCCCACGGCTGACCGTGAGGTTCTGGTAATCGGATGGGCTCAACACAAGGACGTCCCAGGCACCACGTGGACCTTCCACAACAACGGGCAGTCGCAGTTCGGCGCCCCTGTTGCAGATGCCAGGAACTCCAAGTATGACCAGTGGAAGGGTACTCCCACTCCTACTCCCACCGGCAGCCCCAGCAGCACGTCTTCTGCTCCCGCTGGCCCTACCTCCTGTGTCGGAACCCCGGCCCCCACCGGTTCTTTCGATTACATCGTCATCGGTGCCGGTGCTGCTGGTATTCCCGTCGCAGACAAGCTCTCCGAATCTGGAAAGAGTGTCCTCCTCATCGAGAAGGGCCCGCCCTCCCTTGGACGCTTCGGCGGCACCATGAAGCCTGACTGGCTTCAGGGAACCAACCTCACTCGCTTTGATGTGCCGGGCCTTTGCAACCAGATCTGGGTCGACTCGGCTGGAATTGCCTGCACCGATATCGACCAGATGGCCGGATGCGTTCTCGGTGGCGGTTCTGCCGTCAATGCTGCACTCTGGTGGAAGCCGGTGCCGGTCGATTGGGACTACAATTTCCCCGCTGGCTGGAAGTCGAAGGATGTCAAACCCGCTATCGACCGCGTCTTCAAGCGTATTCCCGGCACTGACACTCCATCCGTCGACGGGAAGCGGTACAAGCAGGAAGGTTTCGAGGTCCTGTCCAAGGCCCTCTCAGCCGATGGCTGGAAGCAGGTCACTGCTAACAACGCTCCCGAAAAGAAGGACAGGGCCTATGCCCACTCTCCCTTCATGTACGTGAACGGACAGAGGCAGGGTCCTCTCGGCTCTTACCTCGTCTCTGCCCTCCAGAGGAAGAACTTCAAGCTGTGGATGAACACTGCCGTCAGGCGTGTCGTTCGCACTGGTGGCAAGGCTACGGGTGTTGAACTCGATGGTGGCAACGGCGGCTACTGCGGCACCGTCAACCTGAACCCCGGAGGCCGCGTTATTCTCTCTTCCGGTACCTTCGGTTCGGCCAAGCTGCTCTTCCGCAGCGGTATCGGCCCCAAGGACCAGTTGAACATTGTGAAGAACAGCGCTCAAGATGGCCCAAGCTTCATCAAGGAGTCTGAGTGGATCAACCTGCCCGTTGGCCAGAATCTCAATGACCACGTCAACACCGATCTCGTCGTCAGGCACCCGAACGTCTCTTTCTACGACTTTTACAAGGCGTGGACTGATCCCATCCCCGCGGACAAGGACCTGTACCTGAACAAGCGCTCCGGTATCCTCGCTCAGTCGGCCCCCAACATCGGCCCTATTGCTTGGGAAGTCGTCAAGGGGTCCGATGGCATCGATCGTTCCATTCAATGGACTGCCCGTGTCGAGCCCTCTCCCCCTGCTACCGACAACACCTCGATGACCATCAGCCAGTACCTTGGCCGTGGCTCCACCTCCCGCGGCACTCTCTCCATCAACGGAGCTCTGAGCATGTACGTCTCCAAGGCTCCTTACCTCCAGACCAAGGAGGACCTCGAGGTTGTCATCAAGAGCATCAAGAACATGCAGAAGGCCATCGCCAAGGTTCCCGAGATTGTCTTCGAGGTTCCCTCTCCCAACGTCACCGTTGAGGCCTACGTCGCCAGCCTGCCCCTCACCCCTGCTGCCCGCCGTGCCAACCACTGGATTGGCACCGCTAAGATTGGAACCGACAGCGGCCTTAAAGGCGGTACTTCCGTCGTCGATACCAACACCCAGGTCTACGGCACAGACAACATCCACGTCGTAGATGCTTCCATCTTCCCCGGGTGAGTATAGTAATCCGAACCTGCAACAATGACTTGCACTGACATGTCCAGCCACATCGTCACCAACCCGACCTCGTACATTGTCACCGTCGCCGAGCACGCCGCGGCCAAGATCCTGGCCCTCGGAAAAGCGAAGTCAGCAAAGGCCAGAGCGGTAGGTCAATATTGAAAAATTCCCACATGGCAACATGCAGACCTAGGTGGTACGTTGCCCTGTACCCACTGATGCCGTGTTTGAGAAGAAGAGATGAGAAGAATGTGTTCTGATTCAGGCTTTGTACAGGGCGAGCAATGCGGCGGGAAGAACTATAGCGGCCCGACGGAGTGTGAGAGCGGCTATAAGTGCAAGGTACGTTGCGGCTGTCGGATGCCTTCCAAGAGGTCGGAGCTAACCGAGAGTTATAGAGGATCAGCCTTAGCATTAGCCGCTGCCTGAAGTAGTTGCATTTGGTGGTTGGCGACGTGGGAACTCCTTTTGCTTACGCAACTTTCTCCTTGTATATACTTGAATCTATTCTTTGACGATCTCTATTCGCTCTTGTGACACTTGCTGATGGTGAGCATTGAGTGCACGCTACGTATTTAACAGGCCGCTTGCCCCGAAGGAGCAGTATTGCCGAGCATTTGACCTTTCCGTATTGGGCCTGCACATGCATGTAATACAACAACCAGCCTCCTCAACAGCCATCCTCCGTGTTTAAGCGCAGTCTTTATGTGTGATCTTAATCACTTACATCACACCTTGCTTCTTGGCTCCTTACCATATGCCTACTTCACAATGCCCCTCAACACCACACAACTCCCGCACTGCATCTTTATTGAACGTATCCACTGAGGGTGTCCTGCAGAATCGATGGACCGATAGCTCCCAGGAGGAGAGGAAGAGATTGGAGAAATGCTGGGGATACATGGATTGCGGGGATTGCCATCGGAGTGATGGGTTCTGTGGGTGGTGTGCGCTTGTAAGTGAGACTTCCTCGTAATTATCTGGGGTTTTGTTTGTTGATTCGCTTTCGTTTGGGGTATGCATTTTTGGGGAAGAACGTTGGGTCAAGATTGTGTGCGGTTTTGATATGAGGGTCTGATATTTTTCTGCGATCTGCGTTTCTATGTGGAATCGTCTGGGGTACTTTCCAGAATCTACGTGCTTTCCCAACCTTGTTGATCTAAATACTAAAGCTCCTTCCTGCACAAACAGTCAAATACCTGCCTCCCCCTCCCCAACACCCGCTTCTCCCGCACCCTCCCCCTCCTTTCCCCGCTAACCCACCCAAACATATGCGCCATGGGCTCCGAGCGCTTCGAACTGCGCACGACGGGGCTGGGCTGCCAGGTGTCCACCATCACCTTCTTGACGGCGCTGGTTACCATCTTTTGTACGGTTTTTGGGGTGTTGGTGCTGGTTTGGGGTGCGAGGTTGTTGAGATGGGGTTGGACGGGGGTGAAGGGGTTGAAGGGTGGGTGGGAGGTTAGAGGGGATGGAGGGGAGGGGGTTTGGGTTAGGAAGGGAGAGGGTTGGGGGGAGTGGTGGAGGGGGGTAAAGGTGAAGGTGAGGGGAGAGGAGGACGAGTTGGCTGTTGATGGAGGATTGGGGGAGAGGGCGAGATGGTGGTGGAGTTCGTTTTGGAGGGCAAGAGATGGGAGGGGAGGAAGAGAACAAGGTGAGAGGAGGCCGTTGCTGGGATAGGCGAGATTGAGAGACTGCCTAGAGGCTTTGATTTTCTTTGGGTTTGATCAGTTTCCGGGTCTCTTAAAGTTTTGATAATCTTGGTTTTCCGCAGCCCACATCGTGTCGTGAAAGCCGGTTGTAGAGCAGGGACGAAAAGATTATGCCTCAGATTAACGTCAACATCATTTCTCCTCTCCATGTCGTGCTGGAAAGCTGAGAAATCAGAGACAAATCGCAAACGTTTGCAATAAATGGTTTGAAATCATGAATGTTTGCCTGCACCGTCACGTAGCTGCCTCGAGCGACCCGCTGACGTCCCCACCACTGGCCCCACCAGCCAATGACAGGCCACCCAATTCCGCTGACACGACCTCTCCCACAACGCATCTCGCAACCCAATCCCAACATGTCGCAACAGCCTCGAGAGACCTCCACAGCCGCACGTTTCAGCATCGTCCATGATTACCGTCATCTGGATTCGTCCACACACGATTCGATGATGTGAAAGTGCCGCCTACGAGGGGCCGTGGCTCACACCAGCGTGGTCTGACATGGGATTCGCGACAGGCACCATCCAACCGTAGGGCTGCCATAGTCAATTCTCATGACCAGGCGGGCCCCCACAATCCTGGATGCGGCTGCATACACAGTATATGTAGATATGAAAAGTCCCGTTCTTATATCCTCCTCTTCCTTCCCCTGATTTCCGATTGTGACTGGCCTTCGACACGCCGCCTCCTTGGTTGCTCCAACACGCACTATTCGAAACATCTCGACACCTCGCAAACAATAATTCTTCGTCTTCCCTCTCCCACACACAACCAACCAGTATCTGAAGCCAAGCGCTTTCCAGCAAACCTATCCTCCACATCCACAACGCCTACATAAGTCCAGCTTGACCCCGGCCCCGCCCTCTACCCGCCCTCTACCCGCCCCACCTACCCTAGCCGGTTCTTCCAAGCTTCAACATTGGAAACTCGGCATTCATACAGCTTTCCAAGAGCCGCACATATCATACCGGCACCAGACACCAGCAGCACCACACGCAGCCCTCACAGCACCAGGAGTCTCTCTAATCCCAAACACCAACACTACCCGAGGGTGTTCAACTTCACACCACCACCATGGCCCTAGCAACTCACGCCCTCAACCGCCTGCGCCACTACTCGACCCACCTCCCTCGCGATCCGCACTACAAGCTCAAGGCCACCCTGATGACGGGTTACCTAGTCGGCGCATTCACGCTGCCCTTTGTGCCGCCCGTTTTGGAGACGAGGAGGGCGAGGAAGGATGGGAGTGATTTGACGAGGTGAGATTGCATTTATCTATTTATCGATTGCGCCTCTATCCCTGCTCCTTTTCCTTTACCCCAGTAGACGGGGCTTGGTCGCGTGTACCTAGGTTATAAGAGTGGGAACATGAAGCTCATGATTACTGCTCAGACAAGCCGCATATTGCCGTGCGCAGTTTATGGGATGCGCGCACTAGCTGTCCCGTTCAACCCCTTTCTTCCATTTATTTAGGGCCTCCCCAGATGCGGGTACATGTATGCTCGTTCTTCCTAATTCTCTTACCATCCCGTCGTATTCCCTCCAATCCCACTGCCACCTCAACCAAGCTAACCCACAACCCTCACAGACCCCAAATCCAATTCATCCCCATCCCGAAATACTAGCATTCTTAGTCGCTTGCATGCGCGGGCACGACACACCTTCTTCCTCACGACTATTATCTTTTTTTCTCGACCACCCGAATTTCCGGGACTCTACTACATCATCCCCTGCATACGCCGCTTCTGGACCTGGCCTTTTCTCTATTTTTCCTTTTGATTTCTCCCTCCTTTCTTTTATCCCTTGCAAGGTTCGGGCGCAATTTTGCATTCTGCATGGGTGAACTGGCGTTGGGATTGTTCTTTTGGCTTTCCATCACCGCGGGAAATCTGGCGAAGGAACGTTATGCAGTGCTTTGTTTCTATCCCAAGTGGTATGACCAGTGTATGTATGTTGCATATCCTGATACTGATGAGCGTACTACATATGTCATGTGTAGACGCCGAATAAACAATCATGCATAATTTTAGTGAATCCTCTCCATTCACGATACGAAGAGATAGCGCGTAGCATCTATGTATACGCACCAACCTACATATTGGACTGACCTTAAGCAAAAGGCAAATCATAAACGAGCGTAGCCTTCCTTACAACATAGCCTCCAACGACTCGTCATGTCGACCCCTGAACACCCAACTGCTTAGCAAATATTCCAACCAGTTCAACTTTCACGGATGTTACAAAACAACCATCACCCCCATCACCGCCGCCGCCGCCCCAGCCAGCGCCGGCGCTACCGTTACGACCGGATTTGCCGCACCATGCGGCCCCTTGCCCTGAGCAGCAGTTCCCGCGTCTCCCTCTCCATTCCCACCTCCATCACCATTCCCACCCCCATTCACATTGCCATTTCCTCCATTCCCCGCCGCCCCCGTCTCCACACTCTCCGCACTCGCAACCCTGACCGCAAACGCCGTCCCCACCGTCGGCGTACCCCCCACGCCCGTCGTCGTGAACACACTCGTCCCCGTCGTGACGGCCGTACAACTCTCCCACCCCGTCCACGGCGCACTCGTCCTCCACTCGCCCTCCGTCCACCCGGGCCAGTCCGTCCCAGGACATGTATCTCCACCCCACCACTTGGTCCACGGCGCGTTGGTGCGCCAATCCGATCGCGTCGACCAGTCGGTCCATGGACCCCAGTTATTCGGGCCCCAGGGTCCGCAACCCGTCGAGCCGCCCCAGTAGCCTGGTGGTTTGCCGGGTCCGCCGGGATGACCGCCTGGGCCGAAGGGGATCCAAGGGCCGGAGCCGGGGCTGTAGAGGTCCGAGGCCGTGGGCCAGGGCAGAGGCGCCGTGATGGTGGACGGGATGAGGCCGGCAGATTGGAGCGAGTTGAAGAGTGAGGTGTATTCTTCGGGGGATGTGAAGATCCAGGGGTTGACGCCGGGGGAAGCGGTTTGAAAGGAAGAGAGGGACGACAGGAGGGAGGAGAGGGCGGCGGGAGGGTTTCCTTGGGCGAGAGTAGTGGCGAGGAAGAGGGTAAGGGCGAGAAGAGACATTTTGTGGAGGATGTACGTTAGAGGGCCGGTGTTAGAAATCGAAAGAGAGTTAGCTTGAATGGAGTGAGAGATGAGTTCTCTGTTGAGAGAAGGACCAGGGAAGTGAAGATCGACCTGAAGAGAATTATAACAACCTACAGCCTAAGAGAAATTATAGTGGGAGTCAAGTTCAGCGCAGACATACGGGTAGACGTACGCGGCCCTTACGTCTGATAGACCTCCGCCGAAATATCATGCGCAATCCGTATCACCGCACCCAAACCAAAAACTACGGCACATCACCCGCAGGTCATACAGCCCTCAAAACTGCCAGACTGCGCTTACGCGTCGAGTATATACTCGGTCGGAAGTTGGACGACCATCATGCAACCTGGCTGCAGCCGCTGTGTACCGGGAACGACTAATGCGGAGGGACTACAAGTCGGAAGGGATGACTTTGATAAGTGGAGGGTGCTTGTGTAGCGAGAAACAGAGATGAACTGTGTGATACGGAAGACGTCGTCATCATCATCGCGCACGTGGAGTAGACCCGAAAAGATGGTAGGAAGATTGTGGGGTTCCGAGAGGAAGGTATTCAATCCTGGGGAGATCGCTGGGTGTGAGCGGAGTATATCGCTCTACATCAAACTCAGTACTACAGCCTAGACTAGAGCCTCGTGTAGTGACTACTGGAGTCTGATGTCTAGGGGTCTCTGACATTTGGGAATAGAGTGGATGCCCACTACAGCTGGGAAGTGGCCTGTGGAGGATAGACCAAGTCATATGATAGGGGATGCTCCCAATGGCTTGTAGATGCACACGCGGACAAGAGTGGCAGCTGCCACGTGGGTGCCTGACCTGGGTTGCTGGTGTATCATCGAAAGCTTTAGTGCTTTGTGAGCCTGGTTTTGGGTAGAGTGCGAATTGCGTGCAGTAGTCTGAGTTGCATTCTCGGGATGGATCTGCAAGGAGTACGAGTGCAGAATATGTTTCTGAAGTCGGGCCGGAATGGGACAACATTCTGGCGAAACTGTGTTGTCAAAGAAGGGGTCGGAGTGTGTATGGGTATACTCAGTGTAAGGATGAGTACACACATGTGCAGCTGCGGCTGTGATGGCCGGTAGGCCTATAGGCAGATGTCAAGCCAACCTGTCTGCACTGATGTCATGATAAACAGATACCAGAAGACGTCGTCGTCAATAGTTAGTACGATAAAGTAGGTAGGATGGAGGTACGGAGTACCCGCACAGCTTCCGCGCAGCTCCTTGCCAAGCCCGAGCTTCCCAAGTTCTGGACCGACGTCAGACCACTTTTTGGGGAGCAAGACTGACTTTCTGCAAAACAAATCTGCGCAAGCTCTGTGAACAACATCACTCTTTCTCCTAGAGAGTTGAGGCGAATCACTTTACAGAGCAATAATGAACACAGTAAGCTTCAATTCCGCAACCTCGGTTTGCTTGCTTACAGTGGCTAGGTGAAATCAGTATAGTATGTTGGCACCATCATACCAACCCTCCATGATCCATAACGGTTCCGGAGGCGACTGAAAACCTGGATCTTCTCCCTCCGTAGACCCAATTGCAGAAATTTGCAATACGCCGCATCCACCCCATACAACCATAAAACAAAACCACTCACTAACCCCCCCTCCAGCTACGGCTGGGGCGCCTTCATCGCCGCCGGCGCCGGCGCCTACTACTTCGCCAAAAAGTCCATCAACGCCGACCGCGCCGCGCGCGCCGAAGCCGACCGCCAAAAGCGCATCGCACACCAGCAACTGGAAAACGAGTACAGGAACAAGTTTCCGCCTGCAAACGCCCAACAACCGATACAGTCGTCCATCCCCTCGACGCCTGCCGCTTCCCAGATCAGCAATGCGTATCTTGGGAGTAGGAGTGAGTTGAATAAGGAGAGAGTGGGAGAGGAGTGGGGGAATCAGAGGGACGAGGCGGGCAATCCGAGTCAAGAGGCGAGTCAGGATCCGGCGCCGACGAGGCATGCGCCGGAGGATGAAGGGCAGAAGATGCGGGAGAAGAGCAAGTATGAGGCTACTGATGTGTTTAGGAGTCGGAAGGGGGATAGGTTTAGCTGAGAGGTCAGGGATTGTGTTATTAAAAGCAGGTTTGCTAGGGTGCAGAAATTATTTCATGGGAAGGTGGTTGTTATGAAGATCGGGCTTCCAATGCTGAAGGATTTTGTTTCAGTATGTATTGTATGCAATAACGTGTCGGAACAATTGGCGCGCATTTAGGGAAGTCGAATGTATTATATCCCCGCTTGAGAACCGGTAGAAACACACAAAATATAGGCCAAGAGTATGGAGTATGTATGGTATTGAACACACCATATGATTCCGGAATCCATGCAATGCGCCAAGCGAAGAATATCAGGGTATAAAGCGCCATGCAAGTCTGTCACCAGCTGCTCAAAATACGCTCTTCGGGCAACTATTCAGGAATATAGCGAAGATCCCCGGCCATCCCGCCCCTTTTCATACAACCACTTGTTGTTGAGCCCAACACTGGCCTTACCAGCGCCTGGGGTAGGTGTACTAGGCGTGCTGCTAGAGCTGCTTTCCATGAACAGACTGCCGCTGAGTGGGCTGCTCCTGTCAAATCCTATCCTTTTGCTTGGACTTCCACCAAGAACCTTTTGAAAGAGTGGGCTTCCATTGTTCGGCGAGAAGGGAGAGTGCGAGGTAGACAGACCGAAACTGCCGCGCGGACTGCCTGAGAGAGGGGAGTAGCGTTCTCCAGAAGTGCCCAGACTGCGAGGCGTAGATCTCTGGTAGCGAGGAGGAGTAATGTAGTTCGGCGATGCGTATTCGGATCCTGGGGTTTGCGGGGTCGAAACGTTGGGGTCCAGGCCCATCGCTTGTCGCTGTGATGGTGTGAGAGGAATGTCGGCGACGTCGTCGGGATAGTAGCGAAGGACGAGAGGCCAAAGCGCATGGACGATGTTGAGCACAAATACGAGACGGATAGCTCCTAGCATGTAGCTCGAATAGGGTATGCTGTTTGTGAAGTTGATCATGCTGGTCCTATCACGATTGTTACTATTGTCCACCGACGGAAACGAATGTCAAACATACTGCAACATGCGCAGAATGGCGAATGGGAGTCTGGCATTGAATGCAACGTAGGTGAAGAACAGAACGGCGGCATTCGCAACAATCCTGTTTACGTTGCTTTCACTGAAAGCGGTTGCATTTTGTCGACGTACGATCTCGTCAAGCTTGGGGTGGCGCCACGATCCTGTCGGGGTTTCTTGCTGCACCTTCTGAGCTGCTGGAGTCACCGGCGTAGCCGGCGACCGCGCGATGTTCATTGCGAGTGCTTCTTCTGGTGGAGAGAGACTCCTCGGAACGATGTTTTGGCTAGTCTTAGGGAAAACCCACACTCGATTCCAAGATTGGTTGGCCCTTATTGAGCAAGGACTCGAGGATCACTGTTGCTGCCGTTAGTAGGTTAGTATTTCGAGAGGCGAAGCCCCTAGCTGTGCATGGCCGCCCGTTGAGGTTGGGGTGGGTGTCCTGTTGACCCGAAGGACTGCGGTTGCCGTAGGTGAGGGTAAATAGAGTGATCTGATGCTTAGTCATCCTTCAACGTCTATCCGCAAGCTCACCCCGCGTCATCAGCGAGACGGCCATAGCGCTCGTTTGTCTTGCGCAATCTTCAGTCATTTGACTCTACTATGGCCGGCATAGTTGAACAGCTAGACGAGAAATTTGCGGCGTTTCTTGCCGACTGGAACATCTACACGACGCTTCTCCTTCTCGGACTCGTTGGCTTCATTACTTGGGTGATATTCGATGCTCAGGATGCTGATACTCACCCTCTACTCCTGGCAAGACAAGCACAGGCTTCGTACGTGAGGCAGCCGGGGGAATCTGCCATCTACAGGTCTCCGGAGACCCCTCATGGTTGTAAGTGAAACCAGTCCAACATTGCGACCCGCAAGGCTAAGTTATGTATAGACCCTCTACGAACAGGACTTCAAGTGAAACCCCCTGGGACGCCCATGTACTCTACCGGAAAAAATGGGGATCTTCGACATATCTGGCAACGCGTCACAGGCGAAATCCCTCTCGAGAAGGGCTCCGAGTCCAGTCCCAGGGGCAAGATCATGACGGTTTTCGGAAAGGAGGACATCATCGACCACGACATAGACCACCTCACAGCGGAAATCAAGGTGATCGGGAAACACTTGAAGGACCATGGGGCGAAGAGAGTGGCACTTTATCTTCCGAACAGCGTGGAGCAATTGGCGGCGATATTCGCTGGTGCCTTCTACGGATTTTCGCCCATCTTGATCCCTTATAATCAGCCACATCCCACTGTGATTGAGCTACTCATTCGTGCCGGTGCGGACTCCCTCATTGCTCAGGCCGGTTCGGTTCCGCTAGACGATGTCAGTAGAGGGGTTTCTGGTCTCCGACAGGTAATATGGACCGTCGAGAAAACAAGCAGGCATATGGATTGGAATGAGGTCCCTGAAGGCATCGGAGGCAAGGTTGACGTATCCGTTTGGCATGATCTGGTGCAGGACCAGAGGAACACCCCTCCCGCGTTGCCAACAGACACTGAAAAAGCTCCTGGCATCGTATTCCTTTGGCAAGATGGCCTCAGCAAGTCGGTGGAGGTTGTGGAGTTCACACAACAGGTAAGGTGACATTATCACGGCCTAATATCCTCCTAACTCAGGACTCAGAACATCTGCGCTGCCGTTGGTGCTCTCATATCCGCTCTTCCCGCTCCTCAACGATTTACACCATCGGACACTTTTTTCCCGGGTGACTCGTTTACCAACTCTTATACGCTGTGCCTTACCCTGGCGGCCCTGTTCTCCCACTCCACGGTTCTCATCAATTCAGTAGCCGGCCCAGGCATTGACCTGGCGCTTGCAACTCGTTCGGTAGCCCCCACGATTGCCGTGATATCGCCTGAGACAGCAGTCAAGCTGCACAAGTCGACGACTGAAACGATCACATCGGTCTTGAAGAAATTTGCCCACTACCTTGAGACTCGTGTCTTAACCGCTGGACGGTTACCTACGGATGGTTTCCTTACGCGTCTAAATGCGCCCACAAGGGCGTCGATAGGCGCGAGCCCCGGAAAGCTGCGGTTGCTGTTCGTGGCCGAGAGGGCTGGGCAGAACACCCCTCCGCTTAGCTCGCACGACCTTTCCGATCTTCGCATCTACACCAAGGCCCGAGTGATCTATGCGCTGACGGCCGCTAAGGTTGCAGGTGCGGTTGCTCAGACGAACATCTACGACTATCGGAGGGGAGTCACGCCGGCAAACAAGCATAGCCACTTTGGTGTGCCACTCAGCTCCGTAGAGGTAAAGTTGAGGGATACATCGGTTCACAAGACGACGGATGATCATGTTGCCGGTGAGATCGTTGTGTCGGGTCCCGCAGTCGCCGGAGGAGAGGCCTCTCTGGGGGTTAATGGTAAGCTGATTGATTTGATTTGCGTTATTCTCATGCTAACATCGTCTTAGGGACATTCAACGCGGATCACACTTTAGCGTATATTTGAGCATAGCTTCGAGCACATCGACGGTCGGAATAATACCAATGATTGCAGCACGTAGTGTTCTCGAAGGTTTGCAAGTGATTATAGTGGTGCTATTCCCGGGAGCATATCAAGGGCGACACACCCATCCGTTGAATTCAAACCGACTTCGGTTGAAGCATGTTCATCCGCTTATCGCTCGTGGTGCACGCGACTACCGCCCGTTGTAGGCTTCTATTCTCTTCATGCCGTCGAGGGTGAAAGCGCAGGCAAGTAAGAGTTGTGAAGGGTGGGATTACAACACGGCAAGGTGAACAGCCAAGAGTGATAGTGGCTTCCATGGTCTGGGGAAGTGCTTGTGCTTGTGTAGCGTGAGAAGTTAGCAATCTCCACCAGGTTATCTTATCTCAAGATTTACTGAGATGCTCCGGTTACGAAGTCTCCCCCTGCTTGCTGATATCCGCCTCAACTGCAGGGTCACCTGGCGAATCTTACCCCCGGGCCGTCAAGATATCTTATCTGCATCGAGCTCCCCATGCGGGATAAGCTTGTACGACATACAAAGGTAAGGCGGGCCCCGCATCGACCGAGAATGCGAAGTGCTGCGGTTCTGCAAAAGGACTTGTTCTTCCTTTCGTTAATACGTGGAGACAATGCTCTTGTTCAAGCGACCACAATTGAAGGTTGAACAACCAAAATCTGCGTTTGCGGAGGGGAATCAGAGATGGTAAGACAGCACACCCGACTGAAGTACATGCTCATCTGATATGTTAACACTACGTAAAGGACGAATAAGGATCTGGATCCCGTCCCGAGACATGCAAGAAAATGGGGGGTTACTTCATTTATCGCCTACTGGGTATCGGATGCTTTTAAGTACGGGATGACAGTGGACATAGGGGTTCTCGAGGCTCACTGTGATGCAGCGCCGCGACCTGGCAGTTTGCTTCGAGTATTCTTGCAATTGGTGGCTTACTCTTCTCCATTCCTTCTAGGTGTCGTCATTGACAATCATGTAGGTCTCTCATGGCGTGAGAGCTTAGGCATTGTGGCATTGGCCTTCTTCATCATCTCCTTCGTGATTGCTCTCAATGGTGCTACTGGAGTAATCCGTAAGTGCCACCATCTCCTCCTACATGACCTCTCCACCACTCCAAAACTGCGGATTTTGCTGACCACGTCCAGACCACGCACCCTTCCCCGTCCTCGCGCGCGCATCGTGGGGTTTCTGGGGCTCCTACATCGCCATCATTTCCCGAGCCATCCTCGGCGTCTTCTGGTTCTCCATCCAGACCATGAACGGCGCAAACACGCTTCGCGTCATGCTCGGCGCCATCTGGCCCTCGTTCCTCACCCTCAAGAACGACCTACCCGCCGACGCAGGCATCGAGACCAACACGATGGTCGCCTTCTTGCTGTTCTGGCTGATCCAGATCCCCTTTCTATGCATGCACCCGAATAATCTCCGCTGGTTGTTCATGGCCAAGAGCGTCATTGTTCCTATTGCTTGGATTGCGATTCTCATCTGGGCGTTTGTGGCAACGGACGGAGGAGGGGATATCTTCACTCAGAAGCCGACGCTGACAGGCAGTGCCTACAGCTGGGCCTTCCTCTCGTCCCTGACCTCCGTCATCGGAAACTATGCCACCCTCAGCGTAAACCAGGTACGATGTGTCCAAATCGATCCCATCATGAACAAAAGCTGAACCACTCTCTTCTTCTCCATATAGGCCGACTTCTCCCGCTACTCCCGCGTCTCCGTAAAGTACCAGCTCCTCTACGTGCCCCTCCTCCCCCTCCTCTTCACCCTCATCTCCTTCATCGGTATCGCCGCCACCAGCGCCGGCGCCCTCCGCTACGGCTCCCTCCTCTGGGACCCCATGGCCCTCATCTCGCGCTGGCCCTCGCGCGCCGCCCGCTTCTTCGCCGCGTGCTCCTTCGCCCTCGCCGCCCTCGGCGTCAACATCTCGGCAAACTCGCTCAGCGCCGCAAACGACCTGACGGCCCTGTTTCCCGCGTACGTCAACATCCGCCGCGGCCAGCTGCTCTGCGCCGTCTTCGCCTGGGCCCTGGTCCCCTGGAAGATCCTGGCCAGCGCCGCCAGCTTCCTGAATTTCATGGCCGCGTACGCCGTCTTCCTGGGCCCGATTGCGGCCATCATGGTGTGCGATTTCTGGATCGTGCATGGGGCGCGGTATGATACGCTGGCATTGTATCGACCCGATGGCATCTATCGATATACGTATGGCGTGAATTGGCGCGCTGTCGTGGCTTTTCTAGTGGGCGTCGTTCCGAATCTCCCTGGGTTCATCAATTCGATTAACCCAGGGATTGAAGTGGGCGTTGGTGTCCACCCGTATCAGTTTGGATGGTTGTTGGGCTTTACGGGGACGAGCGTGGTCTATGTGGCGCTGGAAATGGTGTTTCCTCCAAAGGAGACGTTTATCGACGAGGCGGTGCTGCCGGATGACGTTTATGATGCGCAGGGGTACGTGGATGAGGGGGTTAGTGTTGAGGGGAGTGGGAGTGGGGAGGAGGGGAGGGAGACAGAGAAAGGGGGGTGGAAGGCGACGTTAGAGAGGATTCTGTAGTGACATGGTAGAGCACTGTTGGATAGAGCACGAGAGCGGTATAGCGGTGATCTGAGTGGAACACGATGAATACTTTGCATTCCGCTTCTCGCAAAGAACACAACTTCTACTGCACATCCGGCAGCCGCACTGCGATATCGCCGGATTGTGTAATATACCGTACCCACGGCAACGACGGATACTGAAGCTATACACCACCTCGTCAGCACCAGCACATAGAAAAGCAAGACTTGTACTCACCTTGGGCTCAATAATCTTCAAATACCGCACCTGAATGCCGCTGGTCGTGAAATAAGGAATCTCAAACTTTACGCTGATTGGCCTCTTCCCCTTGCCTCCGCCTACGCCTCCCATGCTACCACCAAAACCACCCATCATTCCGCCGCCTTTCTCGTCGTCGCCTCGTACCGATGGGAGACCTAGCTCTGCGCGCATGAGGAACTCCTTGCCGCCTCCGAATTGCTTGATCTTCCACACTATTGACGACGTCTCAGGTGCATAATGTACGGTACCGATGTTGGTTCGGAATCGTGGTGTGTCGGCGTCTTCGGGAACTGGGATCGAGATCTGGACGTTGTTTGCTGTACTTCGCCGTTTGAATTGTGCTTTGGCCTTTCAAACACGTCAGCTGTACTAGGATTGCCACAATCCTTGATATGCTTACCTTCAACATATACTCTATCCTGCTGCCAGAGTGGCTTTCCACTATGCACTCGACCCAAATGAGCGGCTTGACCTGCGTATTCAGACGGTAACTCATCAACTCAAACTCGCCATCCGGCGGGATGAAGCTGATAGTCCTGTCATTCTCAAACCGCGATAACCTCACGCACTGATGGAACTTGACGTCCTCCATCTCCACGGCCTTGCCTCTTGTCGCCCTGCCCGTAGTCTCAAACATGGCCTTGTCATTCAAGCCTAACCGCAGTTCCGGCATTCCTGACAGGTAGCACTTCATCTTGATAGCACCCAGAATCTCGGACCGGAGCACGTTGCCGTTTGCGGAGACGAGGAGATTGAGAGACTCGATGACGTCGAGGAAGACTTCGTTTTTCCGGTATCGGATACCTTCGCTTCTCCAGCTGACTGCGTTTGTAACCGCTATGGGTGGTCGCGCTTGTACTTCGAGCTTGTGTGACTCCTGTGTGATGTACCTGTTTTACGTTTCTTGTCAGTTCCCTTCCACGGAGCACATCACCTTCAATAAGGGGCGTCTCACTCTTGCAATATCTTGCTCTCTGTCGTTTGAGGATACCCAAAGTCCATCATCTCGTCCAGCAACTCGTAAATGATAACAAAGTTATCCCTTATACTCTCCTCCTCGAGCTCCTTGAAGTACTCTGTAAAGACTTCCACGATCTTGTGTAGGAAGAGCAGGATTTCGGCGGCATTGGTGTTACGTTTTGTGAGGGCGACGAGGAAGAGGTTGCTATGACGGATATACAAGTACTGGACGGTGGTCAGTTAGGGTCATCTCTTGGGCGATTGTGGCACTGCTTCGTGTATCGGAAAGGAGGGGCGTACGTTTATGCCTTCGTTTGAGAAGCATGGTGGGACGGCGGAGCTCTCTTCTTCGGCCTCGCTGAGAAGGGTAGGGAAGTTCTCAATGGCTGACATGGGGATATCTCCCCTATAGTTTCGCGCCAAAAGGGTCTATCATGGGGTCAGTTAAGCTACATGAAGTGCAGTGCCACTCCCACCTTGCCCTTCAGGTCGAGGAAGAAGATCGCGGACGCCATGGTGAGACCGGGAGAAAGGAAATAGAAAAACGCAGTTCAGATTAGAAGTCTACCACTCCATTTGGTGCATGCGGGACAGTGGTGGGGGTATCAGAGGGGTTAGCAGCACCTGGTCTCCCTAGCCATGTCGCGAGGTGTAATTGCGGGCTCGCGCCAAGATATCGAGGACCCTACTCTGCTTTTGGACTAGCGCACTTCTCCTTACTACTGTGTATGGATTCAAGTTCACTCATCGGTCGCATCGGCTTTTCCATTGCACAAATCCGCAGCTTATTCTCGCTTACATTGAAACGCAAGTGTGGATATGACGATTCGATAATCATCCTTCATACAGGAAGGCAAAGCTAAAGAGCAAGACCAAGACCAAGACCATTAAGACATAGGTATCGTAACAGGACGTGAGCCGTACCCGTGAACGCCAAAGATCAAGCGCGCCAGAAGCCAACGACGGCACAGTACTTAGAGAGAAGGAAAGGAGGAAATGGCAATGGAAAAACGGGGAATTGCGGGATTGAGAAGCAGGAATGATGTAGTGCAAGGGAGAAACGGGATTCCGGTTGCAGGAGAAGGGAAAGGAATCCAGACGCCATGTACCAATATCCCAGGTTCCTCCGTGATGACATGACAGACCAGTTAAAGGGATTCGGGACAGGAAGAAAGAAAAGACCAGACGCCCCGTATAGGTTCCCAGGTTCGTCCGTTCACAACCAACCGGTGAACGCCGTAAAGCAAAGCATGAGCAAAAACAGCGACATCTAGATTCTCCCCACAGGCATGCAACTCCGTGTGCTCAAGAGTTGAGGTAGGTTCCGCAACTCAAGCCAATCCATCGTCGTTTTCGTTCCTCGTTTCCCTCCGAATCACATAACTTTCCTCGTGACAGTGACCAAACCCCACGTCGACAACAAACTTCCCGCTTTCACTTAGCCATCCCAACACAGCCCACCTTCCTACCACGAGGAAGGAACCTATTCAGCAGCTCGCTTGGGCTGGCGAAGGAAGGCTCCTATCGTGGTAGTGGGGACAACTGTGTGGAGTGGTAGTGGCGGCAGTTTTGGGATGCCAACGGAGACATTGTGTCCATGAAGCGGGAGGTGTCTTCGCTCATATGCGGAAGTACATGAAACTTCGGCCTAGAGGCAAGCTTACACAGCAGGGATAGTGATCTGCTGGGCGGCTTCAGTGGCAGAGATAATAGGGGTTGTGGCGTCCTCGACAGAAGTGGTTGGCTGTGCGTTTGGCGCAGTAGTGATGGATGAGGGTACGTCCTTTTCGTCGGAGATCTGGATGGATTCCTGATGTGCGATGGGACCACCGGTGGTGCTAGCGACGTCAGCCACCTTGTCCTCAACCGGACTGTTCCCCTCCGCCTCCTTCGCAGCCTCCTCCCTCTCTCTCGCCTCAACACTGAAGCTGAATTCCTTCGACAACCCGGACGGTCTAACCGACGACTTCGCCCACACCTTTTCCTCCTCTTCCTCTTCATACTCCTCCTCCCACTCCTCCTCCTCCTCCTCCTCCTCTTCCTGCTTCTCGCTCTTCGGGTAGAAGTCCTCCACCGCCAACGCCCTCAAAGGCTTCCGATTCACCTCCACATCCATCTCGTCCTTCAACACCGCCTTAATCTTCTCAACCATCCCAATCTTCGTAGCTTCCTCCGTCGCGGGTGTCTGCACAAGTTCCCCATCCACCATTCCCCTCGCCCAAGTAGCCGGTACGAATCCCTCCGGAGGTACATTTTCTTTCCCCAACTCCTCAGTCGCCCTCTTCTTCACCTCTTCCTCATCGTCGGAGCTGATGTCCAGAATAGAGGCAGAATGCTCCATAAAGATGGCAGCTTCTTCATCAGCCGTATCCTGGTAGATGTCGAAGAACCAGGACGAGGGCATGGAGGCGTGCGGTACAGCGCCGGTGGGACCTGAGACGGGGAGCGAGAGAGGAAGAGGGGAAACATCCTTGGGTGCAGAGTGGGAGATGCTAGATTTGGGGGTGTAGTCCGGAATACTGCCTTTGAGCGCGGCGTCGATGGAGAAGGGGAGGCTAGCGCCAGGGGTGCTGCTAGGAGTGAAGGAAGGTGGATCCACACGTCTGAAGGGCGAGCTGGACGCCCGCCGTTTGGATAGGAGGCCGACGCGTTTATGCTTGGGGGAGCCGCGGGTCAGGGAAATAGGAGTGGAGTTCGTGGTTCTGGGCTTTTGAGAGGAGAGAGCTTTGCGGACCGAGGGGACAGGAGGTGTTGTGAAGAAGGGAGTGGTGGGAGTGGAGTGGTGCTTGCTTGGAGAAGAGACAACGGAGAGGGAGAAGTGAGAGGGTTTGGAGACGCCGTCAATGGATTTTGATTTCTTGGTGGGGGAGAAGAGGGAGGGGTCCTGGTTCTCGCAGTCTTCTTCTGGGTCCTCAAAGGCGGATGGCGCTCTCCGTTTGCGAGCTGCAGCTGGAGATTGGAGTGGCTGTTGTTTGAATGGAGAGGAAGCGAATTGCTGTTGTTTGAAGGATGGAGAAGTTTCAGAGAGAAGAAGACCTGGGTATGCGTTACGACATGGGCCCAAAACAAGTGATGATGATCTTTGTTTACCATTCTGTCTGTTTTTAACACTTGCAAGAGTCTTGAGTCTATCAGAACCAAGCTCAGCAAAAGGTTTGCGTTCGAAGAGAGCCATTTGGTGATAGACGTGAGGAAATCCGAAGGTACACGTGGATTGGGTTGAAGTCGAGGCTCAGAACTTGATTCAAGGTGGAAGGTCGTCAGAGCGCGTGAGTCGTCAGAGTCGTTAGTCGTCACAGCAACGAAGTATAGTTCCCAATGTTTAGCAATGAGGGCAACTCCCGAACTGCACAGGCACAAACAAAGGTCTGCAGGAAAACGACAAAGAGAGCCTCGGGGAGAAGCAAGCCTGAGTAAAGAGAGAGGAGAGGGTCAGCTCATGGGAGGGGCGTAGATGGTCTATTTGGTGGAGGGGAACACTCGACGCGTTCCTCATACGGTTAGCGTGTTTATCGCGAATCGCGTCCACCAAGTCGGCCTTGCAGCAGAACGCCGGGGTTGGTTCCGGTTTTCATACGGAATCTCACCTCGTCCCATATTCATGCACTACCCAATCTTCCCTCCCGTTGGCTGGTCAGCGGGCCCACAGAAACGCGGACGCGATGCGTGAAGTCGAACACACGTTCACGCTCCTGCAGCGCGTTGCTGATTTTAATATGGAGAGTTGCCTCGCAAACGAATCCTGGCGGCTTCGCCCAGCGCCTACGCGGAGTCCGAGAGCCAGTCACCAGAAAGACTCCAGCTGTTGTGCCGGAGTGTAGCCTCGCCGCTCGTTTCAAGCCCATGGTGTGGTGGTGGATGAAGCAGGACGCAGCCGAGTTTGTTGACTGTGTATGCGCTGTGTCTTGTGGTGGACTCTGTGTTTGCTATCTCGATATCGCCCTCGATGTAGATTGGCACTAGCCGCAAGGCGACGCACCTCTCTCATCCTATCCTGTCATACACACTTCTCCTCCCCGAAGAGCCGTCTGCCCATCAAGAACACAGCCTCCCAATTGGGCCTCCCCGCAATATCAGACTGACACATTACCAAACGGGCTCCCAGCTTCCGACGCGCACTGGAACACCGCCCCAGTTAGCATTACAGTACGTCTCGATTGGCTCGTCGTATCCGTTGAGGTACCTACTTTTTCCCTTCTCCGGTGTATTTGGTACACTCTCAACGGTAGGCGCCCGGTAGTTCGATCTGGCGTCCTCTGGACGACCGTTCTGCCAGGAATCAAGTGATGGAGCTTTGGATGCGAGTCCGAAGCCGCTAAGAAGGAAGTCTGGTACCGGGAGTGGCATGTCCGGTCCTTTTCCATCTTTTCCTGCCTCCTTGTCGCTCTTCTTCTTTTCAGAGTGTATCTCCTGTGATGCCTTTTGCTTCCGCTGTTGCCCTTCATTGTCCTTACTCTTATACCATTCCGGCTCCTTCACCGCCCCCTTCAACCTCTGCTCCAGCTCCGGAGGCGGCCGGGAATCAATCGGCTCCCCAGACCCATCAACAAGAATAACATGCCCATCCTTCCCATGAATCACAAAATCCGGAGGCGTAGGCGGAAGCCACATCTTCACCGCCTCACGAACAGGCCCACCTTCCACATTACACCCTTGCTCACTTTCAATCCTCCCATTCTCTTCCCCAGACGGAGCTCTGATACGAAAGTCCTCCGTCGCCCTCATACTCTCCAACGTATTCCTAATCTGCCCACCCACCGCCCTCTCCACTCCCTTATGAAAACCCCTCATCTGATTCCTCGGCCTCGGATCGTCATAGAACTTCGAATTCGCCCTGCCGAGCGTCGCCTTCGCAAGGCCAGATGTAGCTTCAAGTGCCTCGTTTCCCGAAACCAGCAGATCGGCGCCGTCGTCGAAGAAGCTGCCGCTCTCGCCGACGGTGGCCGAGTCCGAGGTGGGAATGTGGTCGAGCCATTTGGAGATGTCCCAGCTGGAAGATGAAGTGGGCATGCGGGTTGCGATGTCGACGCCGTCGTCGAAGAAGGAGGTGCTGGTTAACTCGCTCATTTTGTATGTGATAGGGATCACTGGGTGTGCAGCTGGGGATCCAGTGCGGTTGGGTTGATGTGAAGATGAGGTCCCAGGGAACTGATCAGGCAGGAACTGATCAGGCAGGACCCAGGTTTACTTCACTGATTTGCTGGCGTTAGTGGTAAATACGAAGGGACCGAGATCAAGGGGAAAGAAGAAAGGTGGACGTGGAAATGCGATGGGAGAGGAGTTGAGGATGAGGCTACTGTTAGGCATTTATGAATCAGAATTATGGCGTCAGGTGGCCGTTGTGGTGAATGAATCCCCATCGCACAGATTGTCGGCGGTGAACAATCGGCTTCGCAATCAACCCAAGCATCAAATTGGCAACCAACGAGCAATTCAGATACGAACAAGCAAGGATAAGACGGATATGAGGAAACTGAATAATTGGGGTGTCTTAATGTACTTGCCTTCCTTTCCCGCCCACATCTTCCTCACAACTTCGCCTTCTCCTTCCTCTTCTCCTCCTCCCAACTCTCCTGCACCTTCTTCATCTTATACCAGCTCACCAACCCGGCCATCGCCGCCAGCGGTGGACACACCCACAGTAAAAAACTCCACCACCCGGGACTCCTCCGCCTGATATCCTCCATCACCCGCTGCAGATTTCTCTCCAAGTCCTCCCTATCCCCATCATTCCACACGACAACTCCCCTCCCCTCACCCCGCCGCTCGCACCGCTTCGCCTTCTCCCTGATATCCCCCTGACTAAGGACGCGATTCCGCGCATCCTCCTCGGTGAGATGCGGATCCCGTGCTCGCAACCGCTGAATCTGGATCGCCGGATCCGACACCCCGACCACGAGAATCGTTCCGCAGTATCGCTCCCACCCGCTTTCAAACAGCAGCGGCACATCCAGAACGACGGCCCAGTGGCCCTTCAGATATGCCCAGATCATCTGTCTGTACATCTCTTTCCGCACGGCGGGGTGCACAATCCCATTGAGGACCTTCCTGTCTCGTTCGCGTTCCTCGCCCTGCCCAAAGACTCTCCTGCCCAGCGCCGGACGATTCAGTGGTCGGCCCTTGGGCCCCGCTTCCGGGAGGAGGAGGTCCGGCGTCGTGGGCGCGAAGTACCGGACTATGGCATTGTATCCGGCGGTGCCTGGCTCGACGACTTGGCGGGCAATGAGGTCGGCGTCAATGATGGGGAGCGAGTAGGGCGCTTTGGAGAGGATGGAGGAGACGGTGGACTTTCCCGTGGCTATGGAGCCGGTTAGGCCGAGGAGGAGCATGGTGGCTGGTTATTTGAGCGAGTGAATGGTCACATTGTGAGGAATGGAAACAGGGACGTAGAGCCCTGGAGGTGATGGTGGTGGGTGGGACGGCGGGGACCCTGGACGGGCAAGAGTTACCTCGGGTGGGCCAGGAGCTTGGGCCACTCGGACGATACTGTTAATCGTCAATTCACGTTGTCGTTCAGATTACTGCCCAGGTGCATAATTTCTAAAAGTGATTAATATTCTGTTTGTTGCTTTTGCCTAGATTTGGAGAGGTAGCAGTACCCATACCCAGGGACGCAAGTCTTTTCTGCCGACACCGAGGGACCATAAGTCCGCTATCGAGGTTATCCAACCCACTTGAACTCCCAACGCCGAACGTTCATTCTTTCGAGACACCGGGTGCTGCCTTGTCTTATGAGGCAGTCTGTCCGCTCTGGGTATCTCCATTCTGTTCCATCTTCACGTCCTCCCCGCCAGCCAGCACCTTGGTCTGCACATGCGTGCCTGCTTCTAGAGGTCCACCACCTGGCGTTACAGCTGCGACCTGTCCATTCTCGTCGACAAACTCAAAGTTGTAGCGAGATAATAGGTGTGGGATCGCGGAAAGTTGGGGACCGTAACGCGCTGAGTTGTCGTAGAGTTCGAAGAGGGGGACGGCGAGTAGCTTCATGTTTTTGGGTACGCTGAGGACTTCTGTCTTGGTGTTAGGGTTCCCGTCGCCAATTTTGCAGGTCTGTTTCACATACTGCTCCTGGGTAATTGTATGAAGTACAGCTTCTTGCACTCCTTGGGTCTTGTGACGTGCGCCGGGATGAACGGGTACATGAACGTCTCGAAGTTCGGTCTCCACCACTGCGCAAGAGTATCGCCAATCTGCCACTCATCGTTTACGCCCTCGCCTGTGAACTGCGTACCGACGGGCGCGAGGCGCTCGTTCAGCCGTGCCTTGAAGCCTTCAATCTCGTCGTCCTCGGGGCGGAGGTAGTCGCCAGGTCTGGGCTTGTCAGTATCAGGTCCAAGAATTTCGACGTCCTAGACGTACAGTTTGAAGAAGGCGTTCGCTATCTGCAGCATCAAAATGTGAGGGTGGTTGTGCTCATGGCAAACGAGGATGCCTTCGCACGTTCGCCGCATGCCATGCTCTTGGTAGTGCTCTTCTAGTCGCTTTAACCGCGCAATCACTGAGGGATCCTCCTCTGGCTGGCCATCCTTAGTCCCAAATGTGTAGTTGCTGAGCGGGTATAGGCGTATTGTTTTCGGTTGGTTTGCGTTGAAGTCCTTGGGGATGATGGGCCTGCGGACTGTTAGAGCGCATATATGACGCATATGGGAAGGAATCGCATACTGGTACGAGCTTTGGGACGCCTGGGTTGTGATAGTAGACATTGTGGCGTGGAGGTGGTACGGGGGAAAAAGACGTTTGGATGTTCTGTAACTCAGGGAAGCTTAGAGAGCCTCACTGCGGTGACAAGGGTGCGTGCGCACGTGCCCTCAACACCATCCACATCTCCGTATGGTTCACCCCTCCATGTCCTCTGCTTGATCCGCACTGCTGAGCTCGATTTGTTCGATCATGGCCAACAAGTCGGTTCTAGTCACTGGAGGTATAAATGCCCTCAAAAAATATACTCACGGCTAATCTTTGTGAAGCCAGCGGGTTGCTCGGCCGCGAAATTCTTCGGACGTTCCACTATGATTTGTGGAAAGCCGTAGGGACCGGCCTGAACCGGATCAATCCGCCTGAGATCATCAAACTCGACATACAGGATTCAAATGAGATTGCACGTTGTCTTGACCAAGTCAAGTAAGCTTTAATGAGTTTTATGCCTTTGAGGTACTGATTCCAGTAGGCCACATGCGATTGTCCATTGTGAGCTTAATTCACCGTTTTGAAAGAAAAGGCCATCACTAAAGCTGCTCAGGCGCAGCAAACCGCTTCCCGGACTCCTGCGAGGCCAACCCGGAAGCAGCGAGGAAGTTGAACGTAGAAGCTAGCCGAGCACTAGCGGAAGCTGCTATTGATAGGAATATCTTCCTCATCTATATATCCACTGACTATGTATTCCCTGGGAGGCCGGGCGATGCACCATACAAGGTCACAGATGCCACCAGACCTCCCAATATCTACGGCCAAACCAAGCTAGACGGCGAAAAAGCGGTGCTGGACGTAGCCAGGAAGCACGGAGTGAAGAACAAAATCGTCGTACTGCGTGTACCAGTGCTCTACGGAAAATGTGACGAGCCGTCTGAGAGCGCTGTAAACGTTCTACTATCACAGCTATGGGCCTCTCAAGAGATCAAAGACGGTGACAGAAAGATCAAAGTTGACAACTGGGCTCTGCGTTACCCGACAAACACGGCAGACGTAGGACGTGTGTGCCGCGATATATGCAAGCTGTACCTCGACGAAGCGAGTAGCGAGCGTCGATTGCCTGAGATTCTGCAGTTCAGCTCCGAGGATAAAATGACCAAGTGGGAAATCGTCAAAACCTTCAGCGAGATCATGGGTCTGCCACTTGATGGAATGGAGCCTACTAAACCGAACGAAAACCCTGCAGATGGCGTACAGCGGCCCTACGATTGTCATCTCGACACGACTGCTCTTAGGGACTTAGGTCTTAATGTTAGCACCACTGATTTCCTCGCATGGTGGTAAGTCCTCATATCCCCGAAGCATTATCGCTTTACTGAACCAACCCAGGAGGCGCGAAATTAGAGCTTTCCGTCATTGAATGATACCGAATACCCTAGGGTAGCTCTAAGATCTCCAAGCATCTACATTTGAAGCTGACAAGATGGTGCAGCTCGTCTACTGTGCCTGTGAGAATTTAAGAATTCTGAGTTCTCGAACTTGATTATGACGGAAACATCAGAATATCACGCAAGGGATGGGCAAGTAAAAATCAAACTGTTGGGATCTTAGACAACTTTTGAGCTGATCAGATTGCAATTGGTTCACTGGAGCGGCACAGTTAATCGCCCCGAAATCTGTTGTTATTCCTGTGCGCCTGGAACCTAGGTATCCCGTCCGCTTCTCATTGGTAGGGTAAAAGTTTGGCGATACTGGAACCGCGTCTATATGTTGGTCTTCAACATCTTTCCATATTGGGCTCTCCCTCGCTAAATGAGTGGTGGACGATTGTCCCTGCGGCACAGCCAGCGCTTAGTTGAGAACACGGATCGCCACAACAGGTATATGTATGACTTGAACCCCAAATGTAGGCGGAACTGTCTCATTTCAAATCTGATCCGACGTTAATTGTTTCATACTTCCTTTGCTTCTGTTATATCGCTGCGCGATTTCCTTGACAATTGCTGCGCATCTATGTTTGCCATTGACGGGAATCCCGAAAATCGCCCTTCAGCATCGTTACCAAAAGAAACAAAGTACAAGTCATTTCTGAGATTATTTGAACTGCGGCAAAATCGTACAAATATCTCCCGGTCGAGGACATGGAAGCCAAACGCTCTCCGGCCGTCTGTATTGATTTTTACGACACTCATCTGCTGGTCGTTAATAGCCATCCTTCAGGTACTCCTGGTCAAGAGTCGGCGCGATGGCGGAATACAATTCGCTCCCAGTATCAATGATCTTCCACTCTCGCGGACGTTCATGCATCAATACCTGCCGACAATTCTCGCGGTGCTACTCAGCATACTATGGAGTTGGATCGATTTGGAGACCAAGAGATTGGAGCCATATTACCAGATGAGTAGGAAGGATGGTGCCCTCGGAAAAGACTCACTGTTACTACATTATCCCTTCGACTTCATTCCGCTAGTCCCTGTGTCGGCTTTCAAGAATCGGTCAGTTCAAGCTTCCCCTTGCGTCCTATCATTCGGGATTTTTCTTGGGGTGTCTCAAAATACTACCTACATCGCTCATAAACTTATGCTGACTGCAACAGACATTGGAGCGTGTTCTGTGCATCCTTTGCAGTTGTTCTCGTCACCTGGGGGCTTGTACCCGTACAAGCCGGTATCTTTGCAGCCACGCAAGTCATCAAAACATATCCTACGCCCATAGCTGTCTCGGATAGCTATCTCCCGGCGGAAAGACAGCGATTTGAACTGACACAAGCCTACGCACAATCCGTTTACGCCATAGTCACACTCAACGAGACTCTGCCGCCTTTTATGACCACAGCCTACGCTTTGACACCTTTCAAACCGACAGATGCCGAGGAACGCGCGAAGGGTAACTTGACCGCTGTTACGACGCTATACAGCCTCGATATGGAGTGCCACGAATCCGTGCCATACATAGAAGGCCTGGATGTTACATATACCAGTAAAGATGGATGCAACACCATAGGGGGGGTAAAACCAAATGAGGTCTACGGGATGGATGTCTATGGAGAGGTTGATCTGAGCTTGCAGGGGAGGAGGAAATACACAATCAGATATGTTGGATACTGGAATGATGTTGGGATTGCCGACTACTCCCTGGACCAGACCTGCGACACAAAATACAACCACACGTTCTATGCCGGCATCATTCGAAACAAGGACCGTGCAAGCGATCCCGAAAACCATGGTGCCTCGGTGTTCTGCGAGGCTTCGTACTATCAACAAGAAGTGAACGCCACTGTCGACGCAAGCACGAAGAGTCCCCAACATATTGTTCCAATCGGACCGAAAATGCAACTTGCACCAGATGTTTTCAACACGACGCTTTTTGAATCTCAACTCAACGCTGGAGCAGGCATCGTGGAAACCAGAGGAGCGTTGCCGATTGCATCTTTGCCATCCTACGCGGGAAGGCTGGCAGACAGGAACATTTCCCTCTTGAGCGCACCGGTTCCCGGGTCACTGGAGGTGCATGCGGTTGCCGCGTTGGCCGTCTTGAGTGGAGGCCGACCTGTTGAAGACTATTTGGATGCTAAAGTTCTAGGAGAATCGTACCAGACGGCTTATCGACTGCTCTTCAGCCGCGCGATGGTCGAAGTCTTGAACCAGAACTTCACTTCGGTCAAACAAGTCATGGGTGAACACAAAATGCAAACACAGGCAGTAATTCTTGTGCCGGCTTTCACCTATATTGTGGTAGGACTTTTAGGTGCATTGTCAATTGCCAGCCTGGGATTATTGTACTTCTCCGTCGGGAGGAGTGTGTGTTTGCGTTCAGATCCAAGCACAATCGCGAGTGTCATGGCTCTTACTGCCGATGAAGAGCCAATCCTTACCCAGTTCGAGCGGCTTGATACACGGCCGATGAAGGCTATTCAAGATGCTGTCAGTAATAGACGTTACATGCTCGTCGACAACGACGTTCGGGCAGGGTGAGACTCAAGGACGCATGATTCTTCGTCAGCGCTGACAACCCACCTCAGTATCATCGAATCGGATAGGGATACGCATATTGAGGAGCCACCTACATCAGACATGGAAGAAGTCGCAAAGCCAGTAAGACCCGTAGAATTCCGCTCGTTCGTTGCGGTGCCTTTTGTTACGTTGCATCTTGGTCTAGCCGTCACACTTACCGTACTCTTCATCAAGGGGCGCATCAACGGTAAGTTCACTGGTGCTCTCTTCAAGGACTCCCGAAACGACTAGAGTTTCTCAATCACTGGCGCCTGGAGGTATCTTACTGAGCTGATCATCTACACGCTAGGCTTCCCCCTCCCCTCGACGAATAAGATTGTGCAGAATATTGTCCAGAAGTACATTCCCACCGCAACAGCTACTCTGATCGAACCAATGTGGATCCTTATCAATCGCCTCCTTTGCCTGCTTCAGCAACTCGAAGAGCTCCGCAGCGGACACGCTGTTGCCAAGCGGTCCATTGACCTCGACTACGCCTCGCTACCTCCACAACTCGTCATATTCAAAGCCCTCCGCTCCAGGCACTTCCTCCTGGCATCTGTATGCTCCATGGCGCTTCTCGCAAATGTCCTCTCAGTCGCCTTTGCAGACCTGTTCAGGCAGAATCCCGTTAACATCACAACAGCTTCGCAGTTCCAGATACCATTCGAATCGAAATTCGTCTATGTAAACGGCACCATGGGTCCACCGTACCGCTCGAGACTCGCCAGAGGTGAATCCATAGGGGAAGCTTCCGGAGCCTGGAGTGGCGGAAAAGGAGACGATCAGTTCCTGATCGCGAGATCAAACATCACAGGAGGAACCCCCCTCCCGCCTTGGACAGACGAAAAGATGGTGTATATGCCCTTCATCACGGGCAACGATAGTATCAGTTTGTACAGCGCTAGGACGACAGCTTTCGGTTCTACACTAGAGTGCAAACCATTGGTCGCCGGAGTCAACTGGACTGCAACATTGTATCCCTCCCCGCAGGATCCCAATGATCTTCTCATGAACTTCAGCACGATCGTGACGACAGCTTCAGGAGATCAAGTGCGTTGTGCAGACCAACACACCATCCGCCGGGGTCTGGTGGATTATCAGAACCGGCAGGCTGGTTATCTTTGTCAGGAAGGCCCCATCGCAGCGGAATTTACGTCCTTCTTGTTTGCAGAGAGAGATAATGCTACGAAGGCGGAGGAGGATGCTTGTGCTGGCGCACTTGCATTCGGCTGGACGAGAAATGCTACGGGGACCTGCGGACCGCTGGTAGAGAGGACGCTGAATGATGGTGACACGCTCTTCATTCAGTGCACTCCAAAGGTGCTGGTGGGAGAGGCAACGGTACTGGTAGATGCACAGGGGCGCCTGCAGCGGCCGGCTTCAGACATCAAGGTGCTTGAGGGCATGTCACCGAAAGAGCTGGCAACGTACTTCAGCAACGATCCGCTGGAACTCATCAAACAGTCCAAGAAATTCCTGTTCGACGCCGGCGCCATGTGGCACAACGACAAGTTCGCGAGCCATTTCATCAACTATTTCATCCGCGCAAGGAACGGATCCCGCGTTCTAGATCCACAGTTGCCGCCTCCGACGTTCACAGATGTGGAGGAGCCGATGGAGAGTGTGTACTCCTACCTATTTTCTATTTGGCTCGGGTCGAACAAGGAGAAGCTTTTTGTTCCTTACGACAAAGCCGCCGCTCCCTCACTGTCAGGATCCACAATCACGACGAGGGAGCGCCTATTCCTATCAACCACCATGTCCGCGATAGCACTTGGCATCCTCTGCTTATACGCCCTTGTTTCCGTGTTGGTATACCTTCGGCGTCCAGGACAATACCTGGCGAGACTGCCGACCTGCATCGCTTCCATTATTGCACTCTTCGCCGCGAGTGAAGCAGTGCGCGATTTCCAGGGTACGTCGCGGTATGGAAAGAAGGAGAGGGCGAGATACCTGGAAGGCCTGGGGCTGCACTACGGGTATGGAGGTTTCATCGGGAGGGATGGCAGAGTGCATGTTGGTATTGAGAAGAGTTCGCATTTGGCTACAAGGCGGACGACAACCTGGTGGGAGAAGGCATTGAATAATTATCGGAAGCGCTGAAGAGACGTGGAATTGAAGGTCGCGCAGGAGCAATTGGTTGACCAGCGCCATGTGAAATGAACCATTTCAGTCTTGGATGCTGTATGTTCCCCCGGCCAGCCGCGCAGGGTCACCCTCTTGTTCATCGCATCCCTACGGACGGCAGGTGACATCGACATCCAACTCCGTCAGGGGCAATCTCCGAGGGAATGACGGCGGAAAAGTTTGTTTGCAGTTGGCCTTAAAACAAAGGAATCGCCGATGGCTTTCACGCATGAAGAACATTTACAGGGGCTCATTTCACGTTACGAAGGTATATGTGTTCTAACCTTCATTCTGGCTTATGGCTTCGCTCATCTTGGTCAAAGGGTGGCAATGCGGATGTTCATGCGATGGAGAAAGGGGCGACGGTCTGGGCGAGATGTTTTGAATCCACACGAGGAAAGAAGAGCTGTACTGTGTACTGAGCGGAATGGCCAACAGGTCTGACCATGAACGACAAATAGATAAACATTGGCTTTTGTGCTCGATTGGGCATGCTTGAAGTCTTGAAATCCTGGTACCCGGCGTTCACCCATTGCTAGATGTATCTACTTGTGCCGTCCCCTGACATATGCAGATTCTTACTGCTCGCAGAGTTGGCTCAGTCGTGCCATCAACATATGTCGTTCGCAGTGGCGAGTTAGAGAAGTAAATGTACATCTGAATGATTGTACGTGACTGGACAAGGCAGTAGTCGCGCCACAGGGAAGGTGGATTACTAGTTTGGGAAACTCAATTCAAGACAAGCACTGCCTACGGAGATGGGGAAGCGTTTGGGAATGGAAACCGAGCTGGAAAAGGAGAGATGCCTGGTCTCGCGGGTACGAAGTGTAAAATGATGATGATAATGGGGACTAGCAGGATGTTACGTGACCCGGGAATGAAGGACCCCTGTTTCGGAGATGGAGGGATTGGGCCAGGGTGCTCGGTCTTCTTCAACCTCTCGCAGGATGCAAAGCGGACGGACTCCGAGTTGAAAGCAAGTTTTATGCTCCATAATCTAGGTAATCGCAATAATGTGTGCTGCGAAGCACAGTAACCATCGCGGGAGCAGGTACACACATTTCGAGTCGTCTTCGCCAATCCTCGACGGCAGACACGTTGAGGTGGAGGAAGGTTCCAGCGAGCTGTTTCAGACCCATCGACGTGGTTAAGCTTGAGTGCTGCGCCGCGTGGCGGCATAGCCGGCCACGAGACTGCCGAGCGAAGGAAGTGAGAACTACAATAATTTGCGTCCATATTGCCCTCCAGATTTGGAGCACAACGCACTCCGTATGGTACGGTAGTACAGAGTAATCAGTACTCCGTACTCCGTGCGAGGGAATCTATTGTAGGAAGGTCAGCGAACGGATAAAGGGGAGCCTAGAAATAGAGGGTGGGTTGTGTGCGAAACAGGGCCTCAGTCAACTTCTTTTGGAGTGCTGCATGCGTCCGTTGGCTATGGTTTGCGTCACATGCAGAGTGTCACAAGCGGCTTTAGGCGGGTTGAATAATAATGGTGTTGGAAGCTGAAGCGTTGCAAGTCCTCTGGGTCACAACAACTCGCAGCGGCTCGATGCTGTAGCACGCAAGCAAAGTCGTGCAGGCGCGCTGTCCCAACGATTCCACAGGCAGCTGAGGCCCGATGGGCGCACATTGAGCGCTGAAGCGTGAGCGAATCGGAGAGGGGATGTGAGGGGGATGCCAGAGGAGCCAGCCGTGGAAACCTGAAGCGGTCGGGCGGAGACGAGGCGGAGGTGCCGTGTTTCAGAATGAGAGGGATGAAAAGACGTCGTGGTGATCCCAGGCGAGGCTAAATTAGAGTTATCGATAGGGGGAAGGCATGCAGGGGTAATTCCACGTCGACGTTTGCGTAATCCCTGCTAGCGCAACTCCCCTTAGCGAGTCCCTGGCGACCGCAACGTTGGCCAGCCATCGTGAGTTGATCCTCCGGTGTTTCAAACAATCCGCTACTCTCCTCCCCACGCTCTCTCCACAGTCTCTCTATCCACAGCGAATCGAGGCCTCGATGTGCCTGCCCAGCCTGACAAGCCACGCTGGTCCTGTGCTCTGAAGCCCAGTCCTTGCTAAACCCCCTCGTCATGTCCATTCCGTGTCTGGGTCCGTTGTTTGATCCTCTCGGACTTCCCGCAGCATCATGCCCACCTCCCGACCAGTCACCTCACTCAATCTGCCATGATTCCTTGTGACACCACTTGGGATATCCGCCGGGGCGCGGCTGCCCGTGTAGGTTATTTCGCGAAGGCCTGGAGCTTGTGTGCGTTTGCCCCTGGACTACTAGCCTCTTGATGATATAAAGCAATGCGTTCCCCCTTCTTTCGCTTCCCATCTTCAACTCGTCGCCGTGTTCCATTCTTCCTTGTCTACTTTTGCATTTGTCCTCTTGCCTGTGGCAGAGCATTTCGTCTTCGGACATTACTCTCCTTAACATTTGTGATCCATCGTTGAAGCGTCGACGGTTGGCTACCGGACTGCGTCCTTTCACTCGACTACCACTGCATCCGTCCCTCCAAGTAAGTTACAAATCCGACTTTTTCTCTTGGCGTCCCGCTGGTCACCGTTTGCTGTTCCCTTCCTGGTCTTCACATCGTCTTTCTGTGCCAGTCCGTTACTGTGGACTACACATTCCTTTCTCGAGAGCTTTCCACGCCGTACACAAAGAACCAGTCGAATTTCTCCATTGTCCCCACAGTCTGACAGTTTCATCAGTTGCATCACTTCAACCCAGAGCAAACCGTTCGAATCCTCCAACAGCCTCTCGACCTTCAGCACTATCGCATAGCTGGTCTACGCGACATCGCACCACTCGACCCATTTCTTCAATCGATTCAAAACCGGCACCATGAAGTTCTCTTCGTCGATTCTGGCCTTTGCTGCCAGCGCTTCTGCCCATATGGTCATGGAGTATCCTAAGCCATATGGACATCCCAACAACTCGCCACTTGACAACAGTGGCGCAGACTTTCCTTGCAAGGCCACTGGACCCGAATCGTATAGCGTCACCGAGATGAACGTGTGGAATGCAGGAGAGAGCCGTGAGGTCGAATTCAAAGGCGGCGCAACTCACGGTGGTGGAAGCTGTCAATTCTCACTGACGCCTGGTACCGCCCCAACGAAAGAGAGCCAATGGAAGGTCATTCACACTGTCCATGGTGGATGCCCGGCGAATACCAAAGGCAACCTTAGCGGCAGTCCCGACAATAAGGACGGCCTAGCCAAGATCGCAGTCACTCTCCCGTCCGACCTCCCGCCTGGAGAGTATACCTTCGCGTGGACCTGGTTCAATAAAGTCGGCAACCGAGAGATGTACATGAACTGCGCACCCATCCAGGTTGGCGGCGGTGGTGGCAAGGTTGGTACCGCTGACGTCTCTGCGGTTTTGGGCAGCCTCCCGGATATGTTTGTGGCCAACATTCCCCGCGAACAATGCCACACCTCAGAGTCCGTCGACTTCCAGTTCCCCGACCCCGGTCAGAGCGTTGAGCAAGCTCCGAATGCCGAGCTGGGCTCCCAGCTTACTGGACCTGGGTGTGCCGCCATGACCAAACTGGGAGCTGGCAATGGCCAGCTTGGAACCCCTTCGCAACCCACTGGCTCTCCTGCCCCTCCCGCCGAATCCAAGGCCCCCACAGTCACCGCTGCTCCGTCTCCCACCGCGAACAATCCTGGTGGTATCTTCGCACCCGGCGCCTCTTCAGCCCTTCCCACCGAGAAGCCTGCTCCGACCGCAGTCCCCCCTCCTCCCGCGCCATCATCATCTCCTGCTCCCCCTGCGCTCTCCCCTCCGGCGAACAACACCCCTCCCGCTTCGGGCGATGCTGTGCCTTGCAATACCGATGGCGCTATTGTGTGCATTGGCAACAACCAGTTCGGTCTTTGCAACTTCGGCTTCGCCATCCCCCAGAGCCTGGCCGCTGGCACCGTCTGCTCAAATGGAGTCATCTCTGCAGCCGCCCAACGCCGTTCGATTCGCTTCCCTCGAGCGCACTTGGAGCGGGCACACCTGCATCGCCGCCATGACTCCGTGTTGTGATCGCTATGGAAGGCACCCTCTCCCTTTGCTCTACTGGCGCCAACAAAGTCAGTAAAAGTGAGCTTATGTACATACATTGGAGGATGCTGTGTCCCTTGACACCCCCTCCTTCCTTTCTGCCGTGATTCCCCTGCATTTTCGCATTTACCATTTCAAGGTCCTTGTCACTTGGAGTGACCTCAATTGGCTCTGTACTTATACTTTTTTTTCCTTATCTACTCTTTCGTTCGTGTCTAAGCTCGATATGGTTCAAGCTCAGCATGCCTTCTTTTCGCATAAAAGTTAGCATCGGGCGATATTCTTTTCCGCATCGACTGGTGTCATGTAGCAAGAAATGAACAAATGCCTCGGATAAGACAGTCCCATTCTGCAAGTGAAGGCTTGTTTCTCGACCCTCTATGATCTAGTTGAACCCATGTATACTCAGCCATCTTCCGATAACGCCGGGAAACTCTGTGTGCCCACGACTTGCAGCTTTTAACCTGCCCGGCTATCACCTTTTTGTTCGAATATTCAAGGGGATGGTTGCGGATATTTCCTGATGTGGAGCTTAGTCAGCTCTTCCCCTTCCCCTCGAGCTCGACCGCGCCCAGCCCAGGGCCCAGGTCCCACAGCTTCGAGCAAACAGCGCAGCCGCAGATGCAACCCACCCAGGCACACGACGACGACACCACCCGCAACACTTTATTGACAGTTCTCTCCTTCGCGCCAGCTATTAGTTCGCCCTAACGCACCTTGCATTGCTGCTTCGGCGCTCGTCCCGCCCACCACCACCAGGGTCTCTGTTACCCTCCCCGCCTCACCCCTCGTTGCCTTTCCCATTTTCGCCACTCCCCTTCACAATCAACATACGCAAGCTTCACAAAGGCAGCTCATCATGGAGAACAACCAGCAGGGTTTTGACCAGTCTGCGTATTTGGACAATGCTATCCGTGCCGTGAAGGATAAGAAGCCGCTTCCGGAGATCGACTTCACTTTACATACAATGGAAGATGGCACACAAGTCAGCACTTTAGAGCGCGTATGCAAAGGTACGGTGGATTTCTGCCACACACGTCTTCTCATCGCGTTTCACGCGCAGTACCCCGCTTCTTGGGTGCAGATACAACTAACACAGTGCTCGTTAGATGTCCAGGCTCCTGCCTTCCACCCGCCCACGCAAGAACAGTTTCTGTCGCCCCAAGACCGCACGAAACCAAATCTTCAATTTCTCAAGCAGCACTTCTATCGCGAGGGTCGCCTGACAGAGGACCAGGCGCTGTGGATCATAAGGAAAGGCACCGAGATTCTCAAGTCCGAGCCTAATTTGTTGGAGATGGATGCCCCCATTACCGTATGCGGCGATGTTCACGGACAGTACTACGACCTGATGAAGTTGTTCGAAGTCGGTGGAGATCCGGCCGAGACACGCTATCTGTTTCTGGGCGACTATGTCGATCGAGGGTATTTCAGCATTGAGGTGAGGAAGCACTGGCGTGATGTGGATTGAAACCCAGGCTGACATGCAAAGTGCGTCCTGTACCTCTGGTCACTGAAGATCTGGTATCCCAATACTCTTTGGTTGCTGAGAGGGAACCACGAGTGTCGGCACTTGACTGATTACTTCACCTTCAAGCTCGAGTGCAAGCACAAGTACTCAGAGGCCGTGTACGAGGCTTGCATGGAGTCCTTCTGCGCACTTCCCTTGGCCGCCGTCATGAACAAGCAATTCTTGTGTATACATGGCGGACTCAGCCCGGAACTGCATACTTTGGAAGACCTCAAGAGTGTAAAGCCGCACCTTGTCCCCCAATGTTGGCGGTGTACTGACATTTCCACCAGATTGATCGTTTCAGGGAACCTCCTACTCACGGATTGATGTGCGATATCCTATGGGCTGATCCACTTGAGGAGTTCGGGCAAGAGAAAACAAACGACTTCTTCGTACACAATCACGTCCGTGGATGCTCGTACTTCTTCTCGTACCCTGCGGCATGTGCCTTCCTCGAAAAGAACAACCTGCTTTCCATCATTCGTGCACATGAAGCCCAGGATGCAGGCTATCGCATGTACAGGAAAACTCGGACGACCGGTTTTCCAAGCGTCATGACCATCTTCAGTGCGCCGAACTACTTGGACGTATACAACAACAAGGCAGCCGTGTTGAAATATGAGAACAATGTGATGAATATCCGGCAATTCAGTAAGTCAATTGATCGATAACTCAGCTTTGCGCTAACCGACCTAGATTGTACTCCGCACCCCTACTGGCTCCCCAATTTCATGGACGTTTTCACGTGGTCTCTTCCTTTTGTGGGTGAAAAAAGTAAGATCCCTTTCCGACTGACAAAGTACATATCCTTACAGCTATAGTCACCGACATGCTCATCGCAATACTCAATACTTGTTCCAAGGAGGAGCTCGAAGAAGAGACCCCGAGCTCACTGTCTTCTGATGCGGCTTCTCCACCCCTACCAGAGAATATGGACCCGAATTCAACAGAGTTCAAGAGGCGTGCAATCAAGAACAAGATTCTTGCCATTGGCAGGCTCTCCCGCGTATTCCAAGTTTTGCGCGAAGAATCAGAGCGTGTAACTGAGTTGAAGACTGCTTCTGGAGGTCGGCTCCCAGCAGGAACTCTGATGCTCGGTGCAGAGGGCATCAAGCAGGCCATTCATAGCTTTGAAGACGCTCGGAAAGTCGACTTACAGAATGAGAGACTGCCACCAAGCCAAGAGGAGGTTCGGAGGTCTCAGGAATTGAGTCGAGAGCAGGCTCTCGAAAAGGCCACCAAAGAGGCCGAAAATGATCCAGGCCTTCAGACTGTGGCCAGAAGGATCAGCATGTGAGTGCTCTTTACGTGGATGCAATAGTGATCTGGTCTGACGCGAAAATCAGGTCCTCCGGCTCGGGACGCGGCAGGAAAGGCTGATAGGATCACGAAATATATGCCTCTGCTTGATGATGGGAACGAGTTCCTGTTTCCTTTGGATCGGCAGCTTCAGCACGTATACCCGACTCGGAGGATTTATTAACGTGTGTTTATGCTCGAGGTCAGGACTTAGAGTATACATACAATAAACGATAATGATGGCGGGTTGGAGACTTCCTTTAGGCAGCTTTGCACAAATTTTACATTTACTTGAGTCGTAGAATCCGATTCCTGGCATATTCATCTCTTTGAGTGGTAGCTGTCCCTGGGAGCTGTATAGATCATGTGACCCTCTCGGACCAAGCTTTTTCCGCTCCAGGGCTCTTTCCAACCTCTACATCATTCCCAATCACGACGAGGTATGGCAACGACCGCACCCGATGCCTCCATGGGTGGCCTCTGTGCCACGATGCTCATGTTTCCCACGGGGAAGAGCAATTGGAAGACCATTGCGATCTTTAGCCCCATACAACTGGCCCCAATTTAACACTCGCTTCCTTCGCCGACAGTATGCGACCACGCTCGTTTCTCCGACTGCTATCAATGCCCGTCCGGATGTACCGTCTCGAAACCAGGAGCTCTACAATGCGCTTACTGATCTTCATAAGACGGCCGAGCAGTATGTCAATCTTAGCAGAGTTCAATTGGCGTTGAGGGGCCTGGCTGCGCAAGAGCCTGTGATGAGAATTGCGGGTATGCATGTCCATGAATTTATCACGGAGCTCGGCGCTGATTGGTACTTTGGAGAATAGTGCTGTCAATGGATAGCCAGCTTCATGCGCAGAATCTTGCACGATTGCTACTCGCCGATCCGCTGGGTTCGGTCGCACAGTGGGAGAAGGAGCTGGAGAGGCTGGACATTGAAGAGAAACCGGTGCTGTTGCGGTATGGTCTTTATGCTCAGTTTCTGACGTGATACTAACCCCCGTGAAAGGTTCGGTGAGGAAACGGACGCCCCTTCCACGTCGCCCCTATATAAGGTCTTGATGGTTCCGTCGCCGACACTCAAATCGCATAATTTGGAAGTGTTGGTCTCGACTCTGAACGTCGAGGCGGTCGAGGGCCCATTGGCCACTACAAGAGAAAGCGCACAAGATGCTGTATTGGTTCCGAAGCTTCGGGCAACGTCAGCGAGAGGTCTGCCGGTTCCTTATCCAGTCCACAAGACCCTCGTCGCTGGCCAAGGCTTAGACAGAGCTGTGTCATATGGGAGGTTTACGGCCGATAGCCCTACCAATATGGGGAGTATGATCAAGGTAGCAATTGATCTGCCACCACTCAAGGAAGAACCACAATCGGACGCAGCCACCCAATACTCAGTGATCAATACAAACGTAGGGTCGAAAGCACTGACAAGCTTCCGCGAGTCCATTGCCAATTCGGCCATATACGAGCAAGGATGGTTCCGAAGCGGCCTACCCAATCTTACACAGTGGTTGACTCATGGTTTACAGCCATCGGAGCCAATCAAACCGGCGATGAAAGCGTTCATAGGCTCTATCTTAAATGACACGGAAGCAACAATCATGAAGGAGGATGCTCTGGAGCTGGAGAAACTTTCCCACTCACTTACACCCAAGGAAACGGCTTTGTCAATTCTGAATCACCTGGCCACCTGGGCGGAGCTGTCTCATACCGAGTTGCGCGATCAACTCGATGCGGCCTTTGTGGCGAGAAATTGGCATAAGCTATCTTGGTGGAAGCTGTTTTGGAGAGTCGACGATGTTACAATGATTACGAGCGAGATACTTGAACAACGATGGCTCGTCGGCGCAGAAAAGCGAGGTATTTTCCTTGCGGGCCGTATGGATGAAGCCAGTTACCCAAACATTCTGGAGTATCCTCAAAACGCCGTCCTAGAACAGGGGTTACCGGAACCCTATATTATCGAGTCATCAGTCTCTGAGAAACCGCCTCAGCAGTCTTCAGGAACAGTACAAACCGCCCTCTCCACCGAAGTCCGCCCTCTCCAGCCCTGGCACGCACAGATCTCCACTGCCCGTACCTCTCTCATTCAGGAAACCATTCCACCCCTCCAAGCCTTAGCACAACGTCTCGTTCTTAATACTCTCTCCACAACGTCACTGACGTCCGCGCTTTCAGCCCTCCTGTACGTCTCCATGCCGACCATATCCCTTTTCGAAGCTGGTGCTGTCGCTGCTCTCGGCCTCGTGTACTCGCTTCGCAGGATGCAGAAGCAGTGGGAAGATGCGCGAGAGATGTGGGCTGTATGTATACGGGAAGAGGGACGCAGGACACTAAAGGCGACTGAGGAGGGGGTGAGGTGGATTATCAAGAGTAAGGATGAAAAGAGTGCGGTCGACGATGAGGGGGTGAAGGAGAGAAAGGCAGCGAGAGAGGCCGTAAGGAGGGCTAGGGAAGCGCTGGGTAGGCTATAACTGCTTGTTGTATAACATTGGTCTGTATCATAGATATAGTGGGTTTCGGCGATGGATGTATGAGTTGCGTTTACCTATGAGCTTTCCCACTGTTTAGGCCGTGCGGGCCTGGTGGTTCTGGACAATTCATTCCGCCAGGGCATTCCCGCATTGTACTAGAATGTCTGCGTTTGGTCTCTGAGGATATTATATCGGCGCACATTGTCGCAGGGTTTGGTCGAAGAAGGATCTATTTCCACAGTTATACCAATAGCTGTCTAGTTCATCTATCTTCGGCTTTTTGTGTTTTTGTAACTCATAATTGCCCCTGTCTATCCGTTTTCATCTATACCACGTAGGCGTTGGCTGCGCCAAAAGACCCATCATCCAACCCACTTCTACTCATCTATCCAACCTTCTCCCCTTCCAACCACGCACTCCAAGCACAGATTACTCTCCACTAAGCCCACATAGCCCTAAACTTGGTATCAAACTCCTCCCTAAGCGCCTTAAACGCCTTCAACACATTCATGAGTCCCGCACCTTCCTCCCAAGTCGGCGCCTCGTCCCTCTCCGAATTCGCCCTCGCCCCGCCCTTCTTCTTCTTCTCCGCCAACAGCTCCTCCTGGAAATCCTCCTCATCGGCATCCGCATCCCACGAGTCCGCCACCTTCTTCTTCTTCTTCACCTGCGGCGGTACCTTCGCCCTGCTACCATTGGCATCGGCTCTGCCGGTAGCCATGGACGCCGTACTCGCCGTCTCGTAGCCTGAATCCTCGGGGAGAAGTCTATCTTCTGCGCGCTCTTCCTCCTCGTCCCCCTCGCCCCGCACCTCCGCGAAGCTGAGATCAGAGGCACTTGTTAGGTTCATGAAGTTGGATAGACTCGTGATGATGGTGGCGAGCACGAGACTGAAATCGTTGAGCACGAACCACACATCTCCAGAGCGGATGCGGTTCGCGGTGGCGAGGGCGTGGACATCGCCATGGTTGAAGAAGTCGTACAGGTAGGCGTTGAGAGGGAGGGAGCTTTCTTCCGGGTAGATGGTGACGTAGGGGACGACGGCTTCTTCGAGGAAGACGCCCGAGCGGGCCGTGTGGCAGAGGTCATGGATGGATTCAAAGGAATCTGTAGCACCGGAGAGGGCGACGAAGGGGGAGCGGACGGTTGTTGGAGGGCGGAACTGAAGTGTCTGTGCAGACTGCGGGAAGGAGTCGCCGCCGACCTTAATTCCGGTGAGGGGGAGGGAGTCATCCGGGTCGTGGACGTGCTGTTCTATGAAGGTCTGGACGTAGGCTCTGAAGACCTCAAGAGTATTTTTGTTGTGTGAGCGCAGGACCTCAGCTGCGCGGCTGGGAAGTGGCGGCAAGAAGACGATCGAGGGGCTTTTCTTGACGACCTCTTTGACGAACTCTTGATCAGAACGCCTGCAGTATATACGGCCGAAGAGGTGAGAGAGTGTAAGCATAAGTTCCTGCAGAACCTTTGTCGGGTTCTTCTCTATATCCGCGCAGAGCTCATGGAAAAAGCCGTCTTTTAATAGGGCGTGGAATGCGAATGCGGAGTTCTCTGCGAAGTATAAATGACTGACCAGTCCGGCGAGGTTAAGCGGTGCGCCACGTGCATCCAAAAGATATTGGCGGCGGAGGTATTCGATGGAGAATCGTAGGTGATGTAATACTGTCATCTTAGATTCTTCCCCGCCTAAGTAGAGTCGTGGCTGTGATAGCAGTGCGTTGATGGACCGAATAGCGAACGGAGAATTTTTCGACTCATGAAGAAGCGTGAATAACCGTAGAACAAGCGTAGTGGTGATGGGGAAATGCCCATTTAGGTCAGGAAGCCGCGAACTAAGTAGCCTCCGAACCTTGCTCGTCGATATGCCGTGGAAGACGACATTTCCAAGCATGTCGAAACCACGACGGCCAGCACGACCGGCAGCTTGGCGATAGTTGAGAGCAGTCAGGAAGACCGAGTCACCTGAGAAGACGACGGTCTTACAAGGCATGTTCTGTACAGTGGTCAGCAAGACTCTCCGCATTATGTGATTGGTATATACTTACGATACCAAGAGCAAGTGTTCCCGTGGCGATGACAACTCGCAGATACCCTTTCCGGAACAGAATCTCGACCACCTGGCGGTACTTGCGGTTCATACCAGCATGATGAACGCCAATACCGCGTTTCAAACTGTCCAGCAGGTATTCCGGCACTTGTCTCCGAATGAGCTCCTTCATATATTTGTAAATGTCATCTTGGGTCAGCTTCTTCCGGTCGGCGAAATGGAATCCTTCAACAGGATCATCAGGGTTGAAGGATGCCCATGGGCTGGCTTCACTATCGGCGTTGTCCTGTAAGAGGTCGGCTTTGCTTATGACTTCCTCATCCTTGCCCTTCTTTGATATCTTCTGGGGTCGACGCTTCTCTGCTTTCGTCATGGCTTTCTTCCAGGCATCCCAGGATTGCAGCATGGACTTCCACTTCGGGCTCGTCTCCTTCCATCTTGTTTCAGCTGAAACCAGCTGGCCCAAGAGCACTCGACACATCCGCTCACACATTCCTCTCTCGTAGTTGAAGACGATCCCGGGTAGTGCATCTTGCTCGTGGAGTGTGCTGAGCAAAGGCAGAATATCCTCCGGGTTATGCTCGTCAACATCGACGTCTTCAACTCCGTCTTCATCTGGTTTCTTTCCTTTGCCCGCCTCACGTTCAACCAATTCGCGGTTCAGATCGTTAAATACCGCCTCGAACGGTGACTGACTATCCGCCAGCCATCTGCGGAGAAGCGCCTTAAGCTTGTTCTCCCAGTTGATGACATCGATCTTCCTGATCAGCTCCGGAAGTGCATTTGCAGGGTCTAACGCCTTGTCGACTGGGTATTCCCGAGTCTGATGCTTTGTCATGCTTTGCCACAACGTGAAGCAATCGTGTGCTTCGAGGCTGAAGTCATCGGGCATTCCTCTTGCTCGGTGGATCAAGCTCGCTACCGGGTGAACAAATGTGAAATCATTACAACCATCTAGACCGAGCTGAGCGAAGGCACGCTTCTCGGACATCCCTTTGAAGTGGAAAGATCGAGGCGGAGTGTAAAGGAACTTCCGGAGATCTGAATACCTGTGGGGATGGGTAATCATTTTCAAGTCATTACCAATGGCCTTTTGGGTGGAGGCAAGCCAGTCGCTGAACTCCTGCGGATTTCCGATGGTTGCCGAAAGCGCGATTATGGGACAAGGCGCAAGCAACAAGAGCTGCTCCCAGATGAGACCATCCTCTGCTTGACTTATGCAGTGGACTTCATCGAAGATGATCCACTTAACACGCTCCGACCATGATTTCGCATTGCTCGGCGCGAGTAGCATAATCTGCAGAATATGAGGCACTGTCACGAGAATCTGGCATCCTATCGGATTGTTGATCCTGTAATCGCGGGTGTGAATGGCCCAGACAGAATTTCCTGCATATTGATAGGTCTTAGAATAACGAGCCTGGATTTCCGCAGCAATTTGATTGACGAGTGCCTTCGTTGGTGCAACATAGACTAAGACGTCTTCATTATTCGTTCTGAGCACCTGCTCCATGGCGTAGAATGAGATGAAGGTTTTACCCGCCGAAGTAGGGGCAATTACGAGTAAGCTCCGCCTGGCGTCAATCTCATCGAGGACCTTGCGTTGCCATGCATCAGGCTCAAATGGTACACGTGGGTCCGGAGCCGAGTCGATAGTTCGGTCAAAGTAAGGCCCACAATAAGCCAGTTGAAAGTCCTTTGACGGTAAACGAACACGTAGATCCAATGATGCAAGGTTTTGGAGTACGAATCTGAAGGCTAGCGGTCTGTCGCCTTCAGGCGCTGGAATGTCTAGGGGCGGCAAGCCCAGAAGCTCAACAGCAGTCTTCAAACAGTTGGCAATCGTTTTGGTGACAGTCAACCGTAGTCGCGAGAAGGAGTGGACGCTGTCGAAAATGAGGGCTGCAATGTTGAGATTCTTGTCTTTCGTCTTTTCACGACAACAATCGATCCAAATGGCCAATAGTGTGTTGAGCATGAACAAGCGCACTTCGGCCTCCAACGTCTCGCGCTTCAAAGGCGTATTGAGTGTCTTTAAAAACTGGTTGGCTTTGGCAAATTTTGCAACAGATTCCTTCTCCTTCTCCAGGGCAGTGCATGTTGCCCGCCAACCTTGCACCAATCTCTCGCTGGTTGCTTCTTCTTTACGCGACTTCGAAGCAGCGATTTCTGCCAACATAGCTTCCTTCTTTCCTACAGCTGCCTTTTTACCTCCTTTCGCCTGTCCCTTTGCACCCTTCGTCTCTGGCTTAGGCTTGACAGTATCGTCCTTCTTGGCAGGTGGAAGCTGTGCAGGAGTCCTTGCTTTGGGCCCGACCGTCACAATTTCTGGCTCCAGTGCCCTACCAACTGCATTCGTAAGACTGGCGGCATAGGCCATCATCTCGGCCATGAACCATTGGTTACGACGACGGGCAAAAAATTGCTGTTTCTGGGTGCGGGCCAGCTGTTCGTCTCTCAACTTCGGATCGATAGGGCGTTTGCTGTTGTGCCAATGGGAGACCTCACGAAATATCTTATCGGCCCTTGCATCAGGCTCATCTCCGAATCTGTCCACCGCGAGGTGGATGGGTGCGAGATGTTTCGCAATAACATCGTTTTCGAAGGGAAGCACCGCGTAGGGCCTGCTTTCTGTGGGTTGCGCGTGCGGCGCTGGCTTGTGTTTCGATCCACCCAGGTGCTCATTGGATGCCTGTTCCTTGATTGATGCGCCTAAGGCGTTCAAAGCACCACGCAAGAGCTCGTATCGTGGGCCAGCACCGCAGTGTTGGTCGTGAAGACATGCTGAGAACAGGTGACCATCCACGAGGTCGGCAATATCGCAGTGATTCACCTTGAAATCAGAGAATCTGGGGCCCCAGGCACCTGAATCGAGCACTCGGCGTGCTTCTTGAATGAACTTATGCAAGAATTCTTGGTCGGCCCCTAGAAGCGGCTCGCTCACAACAGATCGATTCGGAAGAGGAAGCTCAGTTAAGAGGGTGAGGTGCCTCAGAAAGGCGGACGCATGATAACCTGACGTATCTTCTTCACGCAGAAGTTTACTCAAGACCACAAGTGATAAGTATTCGCGTTCCGTAAGCGCGCTATTCTTTTCGTTCGTCTTGACCTTGTCGAGGGCCTCCCTGAGGCCCTCATGGAAAGGTGGCTCGGGGGTCGCCGATAGGTCCAAGTCGGATAACTATGGAGTGCAGTATTAGCATCGTAAAGATGGGGGCTGAGACGGAGAAACTGATTTACCAAACGTGTCAGTTCGTCATGCTTTGTGTGACGAGTGCTTTCTAAAACGGCTGTGATGACCTTGGTGTCCCTCCATTCCAGGTCGTTAATCAAGGCGACATTATACTCATGGATGAGAACCCAATGGATGAGTAAACGGAACATGGCCTTGGCCTTTGTTTTACTCTGCTTCCCTGGCTCTTCTACATCTCCAAGAGCATTGAAGGCCGTAGTCTGTTTGGAAAGTTCGTCAAGTTGGCTGGACGCTCCATCGTGGCACATCACGAAATACAGGTCCGTCGCGTCCAGATACCTTGCAAAGGCAGTGGAACGAACCGAAGGGAAAACATGGACCTCAATACCTGGGTGGACTCGTTGGAGGTTGACCTGCAAGTGGCGGATGATGACAGAGCGAGCAAGCAGGAACTTGTCCTTGTTGATGCCCTTTGCCCATGCTGGCACACAAGAGTTCCGATGTTGGTCGAAAAATGCAATGTGGAAATTACAACGTCGGTTTACGAGGCCTTGAAGAAAGCTCTCTACGGCATATGTAGCATGCAAAAGCTGGAATCCAGAATAGAAATCGAGATGCTCATCCGCGAGGCAATGAAGGAGAAGGCCGTCGCCTTCAATCAGGAATAGCTCATGGCCGGCATAATCGCCAACAACGTCAACCCTTCTGCTGTACAGTTTCGAGTAAAACTCAAAGACAGGGTCCAGAGTGACTGTCGAGTCGGAAAGAGTGGGATCGGCCATGTTGAAGGTGCGGGCGGCAGCCAGGAAGGCAGGCTAACCTTGGTATGATTCTCAAAAGAGTGACGGTGTCGTAAGCATTGGGTACCGGATAAGTCGCCCGTTCGAATGAATATCCTGTATACTAGAGCAGAAAGATATGTAGACCAGAGGGTTCGGATGGTTGGGGATAGGTTGTATAGAGGCAAACACTGAGTTTTCGGATCGTCCTGCACTGGCTGGGGAGGTGTGGCGCTTATCGATAAGTCTGTGGCGGGGTGGATGTGGCGCCTCATTTTTACACAGCACAGCAGGAATTTTCCTTTTCATGTGGATACCTTTTGCTGAAGTTCGAATTCACTCTAATTCCCTGTTCTCCACGCGTCCTCTTTTATAGACATTACAATCACGCAGTCCTGCGGGCAGGCATACACGCAATCACGTGAGAATTTCGGGCTAGTGAATTCACTCACAGCGTCTCCAACCTCAATCACAGCTCACACTGGAATATGCTCCGATAACGATAACAAATTCTCGAACGACTATACACCAAGCGCAGGGTGCGCATACGACATGTCGACCGACGCGCCAGTCCCGAATCTAAGCCACCTTCCCCCAGAAATGCTCGACTTCACGCTCAGCAAAACCTTCGGCGCGCTGGCTCCACGCCTTGGCCGCTTGACACTTCCCGGACGGAAACCTCTGCTGACCCCGGACTTTCTGGGAAACACATCTCGAGGCGCGGTACCGCATATTTCGCAGGATATCTACCGCAGTCGAGCGAATCTGGGGGGTGTTTATATAGCTCTGGAAGACTGTGTGTTCGCTCTTCCCCCTCTACCCTCCTCTGTATGCACGTTGGCTGATTGGATATCGCAGTTGTTGAGAAACATCCACAAAAAATACCTCCAGTACTCCAATATGACGTCCCCGAACCCCTACGCCGCTTCATTGCTCTCCCCGACGCTGCGCTTCTGGTCTTGGGTGCTCGGAGGATGCCGCCTTTACCCACTCCGATGTCCAACACGAACTCCGAAGTAGCATTACAAACGTCGGTTGGTTTCAAGACCATAAGCTTAGAGTACTACGCCGCAGCTGCGCGGAAACTGCAGCCAGATATTGTAATAGGCCTTGCAGACATACCCTTCGGCCAGGAGTCCGTCAGCACGAAGAGGAAAGACAAAATGAGCGACAGGACAGAGGCCTGGATGCGGGACATTATAGCCAAGCGGAACGGGATAGACAAAGGAGAACGGCGATTCAATATCTTTGCCCCCTTCTTGCCTCTAGACAAGGATTTACAGCAGTGGTACTTGGAGCACTTGGTCGACGAAATGGCAGACCACATCAGCGGCATCGCCATCTACGACGCCTACCTCCTCGACGACCTCCCCGAGGAACTGCACAAACTTCCGAGACTATCCCTCCACCCACCCGCCAGCCCTCAAGAGCTCCTCCGCCAAATCTCCCTAGGAATGGATATCTTCACCATCCCCTTCGTCAATGAAGCCACCGACGCCGGCATCGCCCTCGACTTCACCTTTCCCGCGCCCGAACCCAGAGAGGACACTAAGACTTCTCGCCGCTCTCTGGGCATCGACATGTGGCAGCCCGAGCACGCCACATCCCTCATACCCCTCAGCACGGGAACCTCTTGCTCCTGCTACGCCTGCTCTCACCACCACCGCGCATACCTCCAGCACCTCCTCAATGCCAAGGAGATGCTCGGCTGGGTCCTCCTCCAGCTCCACAACCACGCCATTCTCTCCTCCTTCTTCGCCGGCGTCCGCGCCTCCATCTCCGCTTCCACCTTCGCTGCCGACGTCGCCGCTTTCGAAGCTTACTACGAGCCCCAGTTACCCGAGAAAACCGGGCAAGGGCCCCGCGTCAGAGGGTACCAGTTCCGCAGCCAGGATCACGCCAAGGGGGAGAAGAAGAATCCGAAAGCGTATAGTAAGGATCTCGAAGGAAAGGTGAAGACGGTGAAGGTGTTTGCGGCGCATGGACAGGAACCGAAGGAGAAACCGGAGACGAGGAATCTGATTGATGATGAGGCGCTGGAGGGTCTTGTGGACCTGGAAAATCTAAGATTAGAGGACGGAAATGGCAATGGGAAGGGGGAGCTGGAGTTGGAGGATGATGAGAATGGGAGAGCGTCGTCGTCTTCTTCGTGACATCTTATGCAAACGCGTTTAGAAATAGAGTTAGAGGTCATGAGCGACAGCCACCTGATAGATGGTGAGTGGCTGGAAAGCGGTGCAGCTATCCCACCCATCACTCTTGGGTATCAATTCCCTCTTATGAACTACCCTGCCTATCTGCACTGCCATTTGCGGTCCTACTACTCTCCCCTGCACTCCCAGCTGCCCCTCTCTCTGCCAAATCTGCCGCAGCCATTTCATCCTCATCTCGTGAGGTTGCCCCACTCCTCCGCCCCCGCCCAATGTCCTCGTCATCATCATCATCGTCGTCCTCCTCATCATCCTCCGATTCCTCCGGTCCACTAGCCGGATACCGAAACGACGACCTCCCGCTCTGCGAACGCCCTACCTCAGGCTTCCTCTTGCGTTCAAAGTCCTTCGCGTGAGCATCCCGGAGTATAGTACCTACGCGGCTGAGGCCACGGGTTAGAGTAACGACTACTTCTGGTTCCGAGTTGGCGCGGCGCCGTATCGATGAACGGGTACGTTGGCGCAGGCGTTGCTCCTCGACCTCAGCTGGAGAAGCGAACGTCTGGGCGTGTGATAGAGGCGCCCCGGGTAAGGGGGCAGTTCCAGGACGTTGATCATGATAATAGCGCCCATGGCGGTCAAATACTTGGGGTATGTGATCAGCGACTTGTGGGTGACGATGTATTCTCTGTTCTTCAGTTTCTTCTTCTGGGGTGGGAATGTCATAGGGAAGAGGGACGTCTTTCGCTGCCCGGAAGAGTCCCACATTCGTGCAGTGTTCATTTTCGACGCGGAAGAGGGTCCACATGCCGCGTCTGAAGATCTCGGAGAGGGAGACGAGGAAAGAAGTTATGCCGGAATGTTGGAGCTGGATAGGAATGCTGGCGTACGGGATCCAGCTGAATCTGAGGATTGGGTCAGTGATCATGGCGACGTAGTAGGGCCAGACCCTCTTGTAGCCTAGGGTCGGGCGCAGGAATTTGTTTTTGGCATAGGGGTCTCCGAGACTCCAGTCCATAACTACGTCCCATATACCTGTCGTTGACATGAGCGACCGTATGCCATGTTTTCCAGACGTAGTAGTACTTACTGGTGTAAATCGAATTGATGATGGCGAATGTAATGAACACAGCTCGGTTGGTGTCGTCCTTCGTTATGCGGTAGATACTCAATGTCATGTAGAAGACGACACCGGCCACATATTTTCCGCAGTTCGCAAGATGTGGGAACACATCCCCGGTATCCCAATAACGGCGAATACATTGCAAAGCTCGCCATACGGAGGGTATGGCGGTCAAGACGCCGATAGCACGGGAATGGTTCGAATTGCATTGAGGTGGACTCCCCCAGTCGTTGCCATAGAGGCAGAAGAAAAGTGCAACATTCTGAGATCGGAAGTCAATGGGACGGCCCGGGAGACAGTGAACGACGATACTTACGCCCATTGCATATGTGAGTGAGCAAAACATGTCTCCCATGAAGAAGTCTCTGAACTCGACTGGATAGAGCCCAGCAAGGATTAGGCGCCACTAAGAGAGTTGAGCGCGAGAAATGATTCCACATAGCGAGGCTACTCACCATAGAGTATAGCAGCCACTGCCGACTGCGGAAATATAGAATGGGAAGCGGCAAGAACAAGAGGGAAGCCGTGACTGTAACCAAGATGAGCGGGTACCAGTGGTACATGGCGTCTCCACCGATCTCGTTGAAATTGAGGAACATGAACAGTCCCAGAAGAAAGAAACAGAAGCAAGGAAGCTTTGATCGTCAGCGTGGAAACACAACGCACCCAGTGTAAACCTACCTCTGACAGTTGCCTCCAATCCAAATGGTGGCGGGTATCGAACTCGAAAACAAAGACATAATTGATCTTTGACCGGTGCCAAACCCGGCAAGCTAGGCAAAATAAGAGAAATAAAAGGTTCATCAAGAAGTATCCACCATAAAGCTGGTTCCGAGTTCAGTGCAGGCAAGCCAGAGCGGACGTGGATGAACTCACCTGCATAAGAAAACTTGTGTTGGTGCGGTACTTGGGACTGTGCAGTAACTCGAAAGCATAGACCAATCCCTGAATACCCAGTACGAGTCCAGCGGCCAGAGTCAAACCATTACGGAATGCATGCTCTGTGTAGTCACCCGCTCGAGCCATCTTGATGCGAAGCTTCCCAATAGCGACTTTATGATTTCCCTTTTCAAAGTACCTTGCATAGAGATCTTCAACGGTGCGAATGTGCCCTTCAAGTACGTCGCTTTGCACAAAGTATGCTTTATCCACTTTTTCTGCCATGTACCGCATCGTAGGACGCGCGTTGACGGTCTTATCGTACTTTTTGTTAATCTTACGGAAAGCGGTCCGGTTCAATAAAGCATACGATTTCAGTAACTCCAATCCCCGGTAATATTCCTGCAGAGCGATTTTGAGTTTCTTCCTAGCCGTTTGGTAAGGGACATCATGTGCTTCAGGCCTCCGTACAAAGTCGCGATGTGACTCGGAGGGATGTTGAGGGAGCAATGCTGCCGGCGTTGCCAGAGCTGCCATAGCCTTTGTTGACTTGCCATATTTTCCTGACTTTACAGCTCTCAGCGCAGCGTCTATCGGGTTCAGCCATGCCTGTTTGAGAATCGCCCCTCTGCTACCAGATTGCCCCCGCTCATCATCAGAGCCTGTGAGTGGGCCTTTCAGAAGACCTTCGCTGGCAGCGGTTTTCTTCTTCTCCCTTGCCCTGTTCTTTGCTGCTTGGCGAGCAACCAATTCATGTAGGCGGCGATCGCGCATTGTATGCAATTGCTCTCGTAATATCTGCAGACGCTCCGTAGCCTCTTCCTCCTTCTGCATATAGAAAGTCTCGATCTTCTCTAATTCAAGGTCCAGGAAGTGGAAGAAGTCCGCCTGCCGCATGTCCAAATCGCGGTAGGCCTCAAGCGGAACATCGCCTGGTGTAGGCGGTCCTGGTTTACCGTTCAAAGAGAATACCCGTTTGTACAGAGGGCGCGAATCCTCGACTTGTTGAATCGTCGACGAAGAGTTCATGCGTTTGGGGTTCAATAGGCTCCTGTATCGAAATGGTAGACTGGACGACCTATGATGAGCCGAACTCTTGGTGCCGATCTCCAACGCATTCTCCGTCGCTGGAGGCAGCCGGACAGATTTGGGTTTTGCCCCATGGGTCACATCGGCAGCGGAGGGGCCCGGCAGCGGAGAGGGTTGTTCGGCATCCAATGCAGCGCCTGGCAGCTTCAGAGAAGGCGGAGCTCTGCCGCGTTCATCGTGGACATCGCCCGCGTGAGGCGAAGGCGCCCTCTCTATGCTCCCATATCTTGTGGCCCCAGGGATCTGCAGGTGTTGGACGCTATTTAAGGGTTCTTCCTCAGAAGAGGAGCCAGCGTTGAGTTTCGATCGCAAGCTGGAGGCGCTTTTGCCCAAGGCAAGCGTTCCCAACGCTTCTGAACCGTCCAGATCAGTCCGGTTGAGGAAGTCATATTGAGGCGTAGCATTATCGGGCGACGATCCGAATGCCCCTACACCACGGCGGCGCAGGCGAGGGGTCTGGTTTACGGCGCGGAGTGCGCGTTGGATAGCCTTGAGCTTCTTCTTGCCAGCCCGGTAGTCCAGATACTTGAGGCGCCACTCCGGGACAAGTTCGCGCTCCAGCTCCCTAGGTACGGTCGTCAGCAGAGAACAGAGGTGGTGGAATGGCGAGACATGTACTTGGCGAACTTCATGGCAGGGTGGACAGTGGGAACGCACGCACACAACGTCAAACATTTGAAGTTGAATGTTGTGAAAGTTGAGTGACAGTGACGAGTGGGTGGACCGTGCACGTAGATCATTCCATCATTCAGGAACAGTTTTGAACTTGCATCAGCATCTCGGGTTCATCAGCCGCCGCAACCACATTTCTGGAATGCATCCACCTCTCCTTATGCATCGCCCCTACAATCAGAGTGTCGAATAGTATCCATTGCGTCCTGGTTTCACGCTTCTCTAGGCAAGCGAATGGAGCTAGCGACACAGCATATGTTGCGTCAAACCCTTCCAGTAACACACAATATGTTCTCCATTAATATTCCGGCCCATTAAATTAAATCAGCTACGGTCTGAATAGGAACCCCTTTTGGGCGCTTGTCTGCATGGTGAGCGGTCTTAAAGCCATTTCCGGCCAATGCCAGCCTCCGACTGGAATAACTCCTACAACAACCTCCTTCAGTGAATGTACCGGTGCCCACCAAAGATTGGCGGCGGACCTCGCTCTCTAGGGTCGTACTTGTCCATGTTCTGCTGCTGAATATAGTACTCGTCGTACATTTTCCCTGCTTGCTCCTCTGCATGTCGCTTCGCTTTCTCATGATCAAACCACTCGTGCCCCTCCTGCTGACAAAACTTGTCAACTTCAGCCCCGGCGAATCCCGCGAGCATGTCTTTGGCCATGCCATGCGATATGGGTTTGCCTAGGTCGAGGGATAGTATACTTCAATGTCAGTAGGGAAGGATTCATCGACGGACCTTCTTTGCGCTGATGATCTTCAAATGCTTTGAAGCCTGCTAGCGCCATTCCGCCCGCAAGAAACTCCTGGCCACGATGATGTTTCTGTTCGTCGACATCTCCATTTTCGTAGACACGGCTGTATGCTTGACTGCAGCTGTCTGCCCTATTTGTGAGCTCTCATGATCAATACGGCGTGTGGAAAGGAGGCTAGGAAGTACCCCAGTCCATGGTTATAGTAAGGCGAAGATGTTGATGCTTCAGAAGCTCTGAATACAGGATCCATTTAAATCTCTTTGCAGGTTAAGATATAGGTATAACCCCCGCATTCCGATGACGAAATCATGAAATTGATACTGTGTAAGAACCCTTGGGAACCCCGCCATGAGGCCAGGATCGGCACTAAGTGCTCGGTTAGAGCCTGGTCAAAAGCTTAGTTTGATGTCGAGAGTGAACGTTGCTCTTTACCTGTACATTTACTACAATATCTTGGCAAATCATAGATCTGACCCAAACTCTGAAAGACGGCGGAAACGAGAAGCGGGAATCTCGCCGTTATGCCTGGACGACTTCCAACCAAAGACGACTTCCCCTCATCACTCACTCTTAGTATAACTCCTCGTAAGTATCCATCAAGGGGTGCGTGCTAGTACGCATATAGACAAGTCATCGTAACAACATAGCATAGCACCTTCGGCTCAGCACCCCACAAACATCCTCATTCTCCTACACGGCCTTGGAGATACCAATGCCTCCTTCACGAAGCTCGGCCAGCAATTATCGCTCCCAGAGACAGCATGTATCGCCTTGCAAGCGCCCAATCCACTTCCTTTCGACCTTGAGGGCTTCCATTGGGGAGATGACTTAATCTTCGATCAGCAGACCGGCGCCATGGACGTGGACACCGGCTTCAAAACATCGACTCGCATCGTCGTCGACAAGATCATCAAGGATGGCCTCATCTCCAAGTGCGGCTACAGAGCCCGCGAAATCATGATCTTCGGCTTCGCACAGGGCGGCATGGTTGCCGTGCAAGCAGCAGCTGAATATGATGGAGAGGAGTTAGGCGGTGTCATAAGCATTGGAGGTCCCTTATCACTATCCGCACCGCTCACCGCGCTGCAGAAGAAAAGCAAGACGCCTCTACTCGTTATCAAGAGCTCCAAAGGTTCGGCCATTACAGATGGAGCTATTGCAAGATTAAAAGATGCTTTTGAGTTCGTCGAGGTCAAGGAGTGGAGGAAGAACGGGGATGGGATGCCGAGCAGTCGGGAAGAGATGTTGCCTATCATGCAGTTCTTTGCGAGGAGACTGAGGAGTACGAGGGGTGTGCCTGCTGGTAGCGTTGAGCTTACTTGATGGATGTATCGGCGAGGTCGCTAATATAAGGGCTACATTCTCTCTTACATGGAACAAAGTTTGTAATCTGCATGTTTTCTACTTGCAGCTGGGATGTTGACCTGCGCAGAAACAGATGGGGAAGAGAGGGTTGCAGTAGAGTAGTTCTAGATTGCGGTAGGAAGGTGATTTGTTTGAGGAAGATGGACTGGTGGGGGAAGCGATAGATTATGGATGAGGAGAATCGGGGAATAATGGACGAGCTAATGATCAGAGGGTGCCCTTCGTTGGATGCGTGACCAAGAAAGAACGGTCATCAATTGGTATCAGGGAGCCGGAAGCCATCAGTGGTATGTACCCTTGAATATCATGGGAGAGTTACATCTGATTTATTACAGTGTACTGTGTTTGAGATGAATTGACTCCTCTCATATTGTCAACTGCGTTCAATAATCAACAGGGGTGAGCTCGAGCCCCCTGAAGCCGCTCGCACCGACCCACCCCTGCCCTTTGCTGACACTGCAGTGCGTCATAGGCAGGCTAGAAGCTCCATCACATAACGACTGCAACCAAAACTCCAGCACAAACCCGGCGTCCAGGCCACACACAACGTACTGCTGCAATGGCTATTCCAAGGACTTCTCTCCGCGGCTTCTTGACCCATGCCCGCAATGCTCTCCGCACGGCCATCAATTTAAACCAGAAGGTTACACTGGTAATCGGGAATGAATCGGCAGGTGTGTTACATCACCACCTCTACTTCGGATCTGTGCTCACCGCAGTTTACAGACCTAGACTCGATGACCAGTCCGGTCCTCTATGCATACCTCCGCTCACTGTACCCCCCACGGAATGCATTCACGCCGCTCTACATTCCAATCGTTAATCTCCCTGCAGCGGACATTGCGCTGCGACCCGAGTACCTGGCTGCCTTCCGCCATGCAAACATTGATCCGGAGCATTTGATTACGCTCGACGATCTCCCGGAGCTCGCCATCATACAGAAGAAGCTTCCCCCCGAGAACACTAAATGGATATTGGTGGACCATAATGCTCTGCAGGGTACCTTAGGGCAGGTGTACTCGTCAAGAGTTGGGGGCGTCATTGACCACCACGAAGACGAAGGGAAAGTGGCGGCTGAAACGGAGCCCGAGCCTCGAATCATTGAGAAGAGTGGGAGCTGTACAAGCCTAGTCACCGAGTACTGCCGGGAACACTGGGACGTGGTTTCTGCGTCTGCGCTCAGCACCGGCGCCGCACATGGGCAGGGGGAGAGCCTGCTAGACGATAGCGCGACTGTCAAGGTGTGGGATGCGCAGGTGGCGTTTCTGGGTCTGGCGAGCGTGTTGATCGATACCAATAACCTGAAGTCTAAGGATAAGACGACGGAACACGACAGGAAGGCAGTCGAGTACCTTGAGGCCAAAATTCTGGCGTGTCCCAAATTCGTCACAAGCTATGAGCGAAAAGACTTCTTTGACGAGATTGACCAGGCCAAGAAGAGCATTGATTCCCTGAAACTACACGATATCCTGCGGAAAGATTATAAGCTATGGGAAGAGAACGGATTGAAACTTGGCGTCAGCTCAGTGGTCAAGGATATCGGTTTTCTTGTACACAAAGCCGGGACGGAAGATGCGACTCGGACAGCGCAAGATGCATTTCTCGGTGGGCTTGAGGACTTTGCCAAGGAGCGTGACCTGGACGTGTATGGTCTCATGACGAGCTTCTCCTCCCCATCCGGACACCAGCGCGAGCTCCTCGTTTGGGCATTGAATGAATCCTCACTTCCTGGCGCAGAGAAATTCGCTCAAGAGGCAAAAGAAGAGTTGGGCCTTGAGCCATGGAGCGGTGTAGAGAGCCTGGTTACGGGCCAGCTACTGCGGGATAAGAGGGTGAAGATCTGGGTGCAACGGAACGTGCAACATAGCAGGAAACGGGTAGCGCCTCTGCTCCGGGAAGCTATGAGGTAAAAGGAAGCGCGACGATGCGGGAACTCGACCTGATTGAACAGCAACAGTCACCAGCTATAGACTAGTGTTTTATAGTAGCGCTCGCTCGCTGGTCAACATCGCCTTGAATGTAGCACACGGCTTTTTGAAGCGCTGCACACCGGGCATGGGACCTCGGACCAGCTTGGTGTCAAAGTGGGAAATGTTGCAGGTGGCTGATGTTGGAGGCCAAGCTCAGCACTCGAGAATGGAGAAGCGATCCAAGGTGGATAGCATTGACTCCTGATTTAAGATGGTAAACCCAATACCATGGCATCGGCCGTAGGGCAGTAGGGCACCAAGGGGCAGAGAAGGGCACGCAAGCGATAGAGGCCAAAAACAGACAAAGCATTCTTACGAGAACTGGAGGGAGTGGATGTAGTCGAGGACCAGCGGGTCGACAGAAGACCGGACGGCTCGTCGCCAGGACCGTCAGCCTCAACTGCAGACGGCTGGATTTGTATGCGCCGACGCGGAATTGAATATCTCACTCCAGCTGCGAGGCCTGGATATTCGTTGGGTGTTGTTGGACTAGTGGCAAGCAGAGTGAGCTGGGGAGGGAAAAGCGCGCAGGCACGACTGCAGGTGGCATCTATGGATCATTGGCCACAGCAGAGCAGGCAAGGTGTGGGAAATGCAGCAGAGAGGGGGTACCGCAGAATGATCTTGGACGGGCGATGATGTTATTAGACTCGATTTCTTTTCCATGGCTGTCTGGCGCGGGCAGCTTTGACCGACTGCCAGCGCATCATGACCATGGTGCATGCAGGAGCCGACGGTGCTGCCCGAAGGTCCACGGTCCACTTGATGGGCGTCACGTCAGGACGACTGCTCTTCTGTGATGGTGATGCGGCCGTCTCGCACGATTGCAGTGCTACATGGAATGGACCGTGTGGGAGAAGAGGAATATTTGCTGAGGAGGCGTGCACATGTGGGATGTTGGTGTGCTTTATGAAGACGACTTTTTGCTGTCTGGGATTCTGTGAGGGTGTGGTGTGGTGCAGGGAGGGACAAGGGGGGGTCCGGTCGCAGTGAAGGTCCGCATCGAATCAGAAGATCAACCAGGCTTTTCTCAGGCCTTTCGCCATCGCCCAGATGTGCGAGTGTGCTGGCCCGCTCGATCGCAAATCTTTCAGCCTTCGACCCCTTTGCGCGAACGCTCCAGCACGAGGATTCACCTCGCAGGCTTTCGGCGTCGCCCGACATGTGGAAAAAGCGTGGCCAGCAGCGACTTGTTGGAGGTGTGCAGTTGGGACTCGATGACGCTGGGCCAATCACAGCCCATGTCTTTCTCGCTTGGGTTGAACCCTTTTGGTTATCGATAACCGTGCCAAGACAGGTTGCAAGGCCGGGGGTGAGCGTGCCCCCGTCTTCCTCCCTCCTTCTCGAGCCGCCGCGCCGCCGCCGCCGCTGCTGCGTTGCCAGCTCACCACGCTTTCTGTCCGCCCTCCCCCAGATCTCCTCCATACAGTAGACCGCTAGACAGCAGAGAGACCCAAGCAAGAAAAGACAACAGCGCCGCCTCTGCGCCCAACCCGCCTCTCCTCGCTGATCCTCCATTCTCCTCTGTTGACGCCCGCCCCCTTCCTCCCCCTCTGCCCCTCGTCACCAAGTGCCAGCTATGCCCCGGTAGACAACAGAGCTCACTCCGAGCTGCCACAGGGACAACAACACCTGGATGGAGCCGTCGCCATGAGGAGAAGCGTGCACTCAGCCTCTCCGGCTGCCCACGTCTCGTCCTCGACTCCTCCCCGTATGTAGCCTCCGCCTCTCTGCTCACCCAGCAATCGTCCGCCTTGCCTACCAATCGCTTCGCTGCGCCCATCAGTGCGCCTGTACGATGAGTTGGCAGCCTCATGCTCAACCACCTATTGTCTCTTGTCCGTCCGACTGACTTTTGCCGCTAGCTGTGTCCCCAACCATCACACACGTCTCGTCTCGAAGCCATACCCCTTCACATACAACTGCCCGCCATGGCCCTCCTGTAGACGCCCCGCCCCGTCCCTCCAGTCCGCCCAGGTCGCCTTCGCCCCCGTCCTTGAACCCCCTTGAGCCAACTATGGGAAGTCGACCTGGCGGATCGCAAGACCATAATCCTAATAATGAGAGACCGCCGCCCGGCGCTCAGCGGCCTCAACTTCCCGCCTCCATGTCTGCTCCTGCCGGCCGCCTTCCCCGTCTCCTCCCCGCAGACACTTCGCAGTACGCAGACGCTTACGTCCCCACTGCTGCTATTCCCACTTCCTCCACCTCGCTCGCCGAGCTCGCCCACCTGATCCGCCTGCAGAGCTACCAGGAGCAACGGAAGGCGCACGCTCGCGTCCGGCTGCACCGATGGCTCGTCTCGAGCGCCTTGTCTGCGCGTTTGGTACACTGCGGAGAGCTGGCCCACCGTACCCTGGTTGACAATTTCAGGTCGGATGACAAGAGAAGCTTTGCTACCTTATACAATGCCTTTCACGACGTTCGGAACTCATGCGATGCTACCAGGCGCTATGCGCTCCTCGAGCCGGACTTGGACTTTGGGAGGCCCAAAGGCCTCAAGCATGACAAGATGCACTCCTTTCCCACCTTCATCAACGACATCCCCACCAAGGTCGTTGATGATCTCTTGGCTTTTGTTTCCGAGATTCGCACCAAACCCGATTTCCTTGCCACTCGCATTCTGAATCTGTCCCAGCAAGAACTCGCTTCGTTGACTTCTTTTCGTCAAGCTTTGGATCCCATTGATTCCGTCATGGCCATTCAGGCAAGGGGTAAGACGACAGCTGCTGCCCAGAAATCAAACCAGGCCCATGGTCCCAGCCCTGTAGAGCGCCTCCTGTCCTTCCAACGTCATGATCCTCTTTCCGCGCTTGTCTATACCATCTTTGCAAATTCTTCCGGACCTGATTCCGCAGAGGACCTCCGCCGGACGGACGTCTTTGCTACCACATGCGCCAAGCTAATCATGGAACAGCCTCCCAAGCAGGGAATGGAGAAGTTCATCAAGACTGTTCTTGATGTATGGGCCGGAATGAGAGAATGGCCGGGAAAGTCGAATCTGGAGTTGTATCTGATGCAGGTGTTGCAGGATGGCCAGTTTTTGCTTGAAAAGGCCGAAGAGCGTCCTGGTTCACAACCGGTCCCGCGAAGTAACAAGGATACCATTGCATCCGAAGATTTCTTCGACAAGGCGGTGAAGCGCTTGTTTGAAGTGGTCGATGATGAGCCCAGCGCAGGCGGTATCCCTGAGGGCGTCCTGGAAATTGGAAACGCCATTCTTCGCAAGTTGGACGAGTCCAGGAACCTTCGGAAAGGTGCCCAGAACTTCTTTGTATCGCGTTGGCTGTTTTCGACTTTCCTTCTCAATGCCATTATCCATCCAGAGGCATGTCCAATGTTACATTTTAGTCTTCTGTGTACTGACCAGATGCAGACTCACGGGATTATGATTGGGTACCATATCAGTGAACATGCTCGCCAGAAGATTCTCAAGGAAATTGCTATTCGTGCTCAGAAGCATGTTCTCGACATGACGTACAATTGGTATGTTTTCTGGGTGGCTTTGCTGAACGGTCCATATTGACATACAATTAGGCGGCAGCAAGTGCCCATTCTTCCGGAGATCCGCACGCATATTGAGAACATTCTGGCGAGGTTTAAGCATACCAAGTCGAATGCGAAACCCGTCCTGCTACCGGCAAAGGCCATCACTTCTCCGCGGGAAACCGTAGAAGTGCAGCCCTTCATCGTTGTGTGTCCGTCCGACCTGATCACCTTGGTAAACGCGCTATTCCCAGAACGTCGTCCACCGTCGAGCCATATGGACAAGGAAATGCCCCGTCGAGCAGGACTTGTTTCTTCGGCATCATCCATGTCTGGTGTCTCAATGCCCTTCCGGACAGCTTCTACGTCCGCCGGCGATGCAAGTTCTATTCTCAGCGCCAGCGCCTCCTCAATGACCAGCGATACCACATCCCGAGAACCCCTGCTAGATCCGGTGCAACCCATCACACTACCTCTACAGGAGCCCTACTCGGAGAAGATAGCGCCTACTGAAGCGTACGGAAGAAGCCTGAGAATGGCTTGCTCAGAGATGACGCGCATATTGGGCGTTGAGGCTACATCGGGATCCTGTCACCCATGCGCCGAACGCTGGGCTGTCCTCTACATCTCTCCTGATGGGAAGCAACTGAAGACACGCATGCGCAAAGATTCGGACGATGAAGACGAGCGTGACGAGGATTCCCCCGAGAGCGAAAGCAGTGACGATGACGACGGACCTGCTGACAAGCTCGACCTGGAGACTGATTATCATCAGCTGAAGGAAGCAATTGCCAAGTTGGTCGAGGAATACGAGATACCCAAAGAACTCGCCCCAGAGAGCGAGTCCAAGAGCTTCAGCAACCGCACTTCGACTCACAGGCGCGATGCTCGAGGTGGTCGTATGGCGAGGCAAAGCAATGAAGTCTTGGGTTCGAGGAACCCCTACAATAATCAGAGCCAGAGCCAATTGACCTCCCTCATTGCGAGTCAAAGGAGCATACCCACTCGTCACCGATCGCCTCAACACCCCAGGAGCAACAGCAACCCGCAGCCAGCCGACAAGCAGGAGAACAGCTCAGTTCTCGTCACGATGCTTGAGGCGGCTATGCAACAATGTCAAGCGCGGTCCGACTTTGTCAACGCGCATCTGTACTACAAAACCTTGCAGACTCTGAAAAGGCTGACGTCTCCGTCCCTTACAAAGAATGGTTACGCCGCGTTGCTGAACTACTTCTCCCGTGGGCCGCGAGACTCTCTGGGCAAATCCGCGAATGCAATCGAAGAATTTGAGGCATGGTTCGTGTGGCTGAAGCAGTCGCAGGAACGTCACGATGCCGCCATAGAAGACATGATTCAGTCTTTCAAAAATCTACGGGATAAGATGTGGTACATTACCGACGTGCGCAATTCCGCAAACTACGAGGAAGCGAGGAATGTTGCCATCGCGCTCAAGCTTATGGGCCAACCTCCAAAGATGCTTGATGGGAAGCCTGCCCAAGGCCAGCGGGTGAGGAATTACTCAAAATCGTCATCGAATAACTTCACGATGAAGACGGAAGCCCAGATGGTGGACATCATGGCAGCACCGCCTGATTTCGGCGGGCCCAATAAGCTTTCCGATGAGCAGTCTGAGATGACGATGAAGTGGCTCAATGACTATGGCGTCGAGAACTTCTGCAAGGGCGAAGAGAGAATCCACCGCTTCTGTTTAGAGATTGACAAGTGCGTTAACAAGCTTGTCGGCGACGGCATGATGGAGAGTCCTGTGCTCTGGTCGAGCGAGCTCTATCGACGGGATAAGGAGATCCTCGACAGTGGGCGGCAAAAAGGGGATCTCTTCCTTACTGGAGTGGGTACTCTCTCGATCGCCGGCGATGAAGAATATGAGATACATGGCCGATCGGGCTCTCGCGGTCTTGATTTTGCGCAGCGACCGAGCCATGGTAGCCTCAGAGCCATGTCCAACAGGAATGGTTCTCAACAGAGCGTCGACACGAACCCCTGGGCGCGGTCTGGAGCGGGTGACACGCATGATTATCTCGGAGGGTCCAGCCCAGTATTGTCGATTGATCCAACTGTGACTTTCTGGTCACCATTCCAGACGCAAGCGCAATCTCCAACGAGCGCAACCAGCATCCGGCCCAGAACCGCTTCTTCCTCCAAGGGCACAGTCATGCTTAAGCAGTCTGCGGCTGTCAATGAAGACAAACGCAGGTTCTTATTGGATCTGAAACAAGCACTCACTGGTCTGCTGCTCAGCGATCTGGGTACCCTAGTTTTTGGCTCCGGTAGTGAGACCGACGCCTGGTTCTCGGGTGACTTGGGCGAAGATTGCATTCAGCGGAGAGAAGAGGAAGACCGTCGCCGCAAGAAGCAGCTGGCGCGGAAGAAGAGCATGAAGACGATGCGCAACTCGACCCGGCATGACCATCGCAGTGGTCCTCTAGACACTCTCGGTCGCAATGAGCGGAGTCAGGTCGCACCTCCTGTTGCGACATTGCAGCATGCCGCGGCGTCTGATGCTCACCAATCCGCAGGAGAGCACTCTTCGACGTCGAGCGATGCTACCTCGCGCTCGTCAGGGATGGCAGCGGCGAAGAAGGCGGGTCTGCTCGAGTTCCCTTACAATGTCGCCTTCCGCCGCCTGCTGAACAGGTTCGCCACGCATCCGAACCCCTTTTCGAAGCTGCACGCCTTGTATGAGCTCGAGCTGCTCATTGTCGCTTCGTTATCTTCGCGTGCTGGCAAGCAGTACAGTAACCGCCGCGACACGCTGCCTGCTGTTCCGCAATCACCCACGCTTGGGGCCATACCTGAGCTTAGCTCACGCGAACCGGCAACGCAGACAGCACGGGCGAAGAACCTGGAAGAGGCCATTGCAAACTGCGAGGAGCGAAGATCCCATACGCTGAGCCAGGAAAGAATGAACTCCCCGCAGCCTCCCCGTAGTGGCGCCCGCTCTCCCGCCGGACCCCCAAGCACCGACATGATTGTCGATGTCATCCAGAGCCTCTTCCGCGACGCAGACATCCGCCCCAAGACGCTGTTCCGAGACCTGCAATACATCGCCTCTTTCGTCCCCGCGCAAATGCTCGACAAGACGGCCCGCGGCAAAGCGTTCTGGGACGTCAGTCTCGCGGCACTGGGGCTCAAGCAGGACGTCTGCCGCATCATGGTCGAAATCGTGGATGATATCGTAGCCCAGCACTCCAACCGCGACCCAGTCTTTCAACGCGCCGCTGGACGCCCTGTTCCTCGCCAGGGTAACGGCACCACTCCCACACCAGAGGACTCCAGCCCACCAGCACCCGCGCCAGGCCCCAACGCCAAGTACACCATGGAAGACGCCGCGCGGATGCTGCTCATCACGGCCAAGGAAGGCGACGCGGTGGCCGAGCGCGAACTCGCCATCTTCTACCTGACGAGCCCGGAGCTGGTGCAAAGGGCGATTCTGCCGCTGACGAAGCCTCGCGAGGTGTTCAAGACGGAGCTGCTGAACCGGGAGAGGAGGGCGAACCAGGACCCGGCGAGGAGCGATCCGATGACCATGTGCGTGGCACAGCATTGGATGGAGCAGAGCAAAAAGGGGGGCGATGGGTTGGCGGGCAAGTATTTGCGGAGTCGGGGGGAGAATGATTTGTAGGGAGGATGGGGAGGAACATGCGGGAGTTGGTTTTGCTGTATACCCCTTGTTCGTTTTTTATTTTTGGCTGGGGTGGAAGGACGTGGAGTGGAGTGTGGGTGGATTGTTTGCATAGCGAGGAGTCTGTTTCTTGTCATGCTTTTTGGTTTCGTTATCTATTTTTCTTGTTCGATCAAGACTTGCGCTTTTCATGTCTTGCTTTGGATCGGGATTTTTGGGATATGGGAATGGATGGGTATTTGGGTATGGATAGGGATCGGGATGGGGATATGTGTACACGAATGACAGACAAACTATATACCTACCAGTATTATTTGATGGCGCCTTTCCGCATGCAGTTGGGGAGTGCTGTCCAATGTACTTGCATTCTTTTCTTTCGAGATTGTCGTCGACATGTATGTACTTGCTGCGACCCGCAAGGTACCACCTAAGAAGGAGAAAGTCCAAATGCTTGGCGGTGGCAGCAGCAGACGCTTGCTTGGCTATAGGTATAGGTATAAGTATATGGGATAGCTATAGCTATAGGGTTGTCACGAACCCAAGCGGTATCGGTCCTTCTGGAGGTCAAGCTTCATCTCAAGCTCCATTCCTCAAAAAGCGCGCCTCGTTCGCCACCAGCACCAGCCTGTATGCGGGTACCTCCTCCCGCCCTGGATCGACTGAAACACCCCAAAGTCCACCAAAAGTCCACCACAAGGCAAAAAGACACGGAAAGATAAGGTGATGATTGAATACCTCTCTCTCTGAACCCATCATCCATCTCTCGTGCAAGAGAGACAGAGCTCCGGGCTCGCTTTGAAAAACGACGAACGGACTTGTCTCATTCCAATCTACCTAGTTGCCTGTGCCTTCCTTCCTACCTACAGGGGACTTTCCCCTCCCTCCCTCTTTCTTTTCTCATTCTGTTTCCCGCAATGGTCTCATGCACCTTCCTTCCTCCACGTCGTTCCTCCGCCCCCTGACGTGACCTGACCCCTCTTCTTTTCTTTTGTTTTGCCTCATCATCGCCTCCCTCCCTCTTACTCCACTCCAGTCTCTCATTGCATCGATATATTCATCCATCCAAACCTTCCTGCTTATCACCACTTCCCTCCATACATGCCCAATTACATCACCTACATTTGGAGATCAAACACGCAAGGACTCTAAGGAGGGTGTTGGCCGGGGAGATATCCAGAGGAGGAAATCCAAACCCGACCCAAATGAATTTTCCATTTTCCTCCGCCATTACCCAGGGTAACATTTACAGAAAATGTCCTGTCAAACGGAGAGGCAGAGGGGGAGAGAGGAAGGTTGTGAGACCCAGAACCACACCGAAAGAAGATCCGTCCGATTAGGATAGGACCAAAAGGAGGAAAGAAAACAGAGACCAGATATCCAGCCAGACGCAATGCGACAACGACGACAATCTATATGGTTCGTCCCTTGTCCAAACCCACTTATTATCCGCCTCGCATCTTGTGTCCAACCATGATCCCGTCACGTAACACCATCACAAGACTAGTCATGACACGGCCCTAAACTGCATCCGCCTCCTTGCCGGCCTGAGCCACCTCCTCATGCACGGCGACGGCGTCGCCCGGTTTCCGGCTGTCATCCACGCCCTCGAAATGGTACAGGACCGGCTTCTTCAAGCCCTTCCTGCGCATGATGTACGTCTCGAAAGCCCAAGGGAGCTGCTTCCGGAGCTGGAAGTTCATGTGCGTGCGTGTGGGGACGGCGAAGACGTAGTCGAGCTCTTCAAGCGTGCGCTGCTTGGTTTCGGGCATCCAGAGGAAGCTGCATAAGCTGTCAGTACCCCCCTACCCGAGAAAAGAGATGGGGAAGAGGCAGCAACTTACATCATGATGAGAGCAATGACGTTCAGTCCAGCGTAGAAGCCAAACACACCCTGGGGCTTGAACGCCTTCAACATACTTGGCAGCGTCAAGCTCAACACACTGGCCCAGAAGTTGTTGGTCGCGACGGCCCAGCTCATACCCACCTCACGGTGAGACAGCGGGAAGACCTCGGCAGAGTAGGTAAAAGGCACAGGACCTTCGCCGGGAGAATAGAAAGCGCCGAAGAGGTAGACGAAGAAGGCGATCAAACCCAGGTGCGCCTTGCTCTCCTTGGGGATGTAGTACGACATGCCAGCCGCCAGAAGCGTCCAGAACATGTTGGGGAACGTGAACAGCAGCAAGTTACGGCGACCAAAGGTATCGATTGTCCAGACTGCAGGCCAGGCGAAGGCGAAGTTGACGAGACCGAAGCCGAAAGAGGCGATGAGAGCCTCCTTGGTACCGAACCCTCCCTCCTTGAAGATGGTGGAGCTGTAGAAGGCGATGATGTTGATGCCACACATTTGCTGACCGATCATGACAATACCGGAGGCCTGGGTGGCGCGACGCACGCGGGGGATGGTGAAGAGCTGGAAGAAGCGGGTGAAGAAGTTGGATTCGGGACTGACCCCAAGCGCCTTGGCGGCTTCCTTTTCCTGCTTGAGGAGCGCGTCCGTGTAGTACAGATCACGGGCGGCTTGGAGCGGCGTGTTGCGCAGGCGTTGGAAGGATTTGAAGGCTTCCTTGTAGCGGCCCTTTGACATGAGCCAGCGGGGCGACTCGGGACAGAAGTAGATGCCAATGACGAGTGGAACGGCGGGGATGAAGGCGGAGCCGAACTGAAGACGCCAGGAGATATCGCCCGTGTTCTGCAGAAAACCAGTCAGCAAGGAAGAGATGGCAGGATGGGAAGAAGGCATTCGACACGCACCATGACAGCAATGTTGGCGACGGTGCCCAGGAAGATGCCAAAGGCGGTCCAAATCTGCCAGGACATGACCAGGCCGCCACGGATGGAGGCAGGCGTATTCTCGGCCGAGAAGACGGGGACCGTGACCTCCTTGAGACCCATACCGATACCGAGTAGGACGCGGCAGACGGCGAGCTGGCCCCAGGTCTGGGAGAGGCCCATACCAAAGGGAGACAGAAGAGAGAAGATGGCGGCAACGAAGATGGTATGCCGACGGCCGACGAGGTGGTTGATGGGATCCGAGATCCATGCGCAGAAGAGTGCAATGGCGATGTAGGGGCAGGCGTTGATGAAGCCGATGATCCAGGCGTTCTTCTCGCAGGTGCCTGCAGCCTCGCACTCGGGGCCACTGTCGGGGATGCCGAGAGCTTGACCGAAGGTCAGGTTTGCGCCGTTGGAGCCCGTCTGATCCCAGCCTTGGATGGCAGCAGCGATGGAGTTCATGATGATGGTGAAGTAGAGGATGAAGGGCTGCTTGAAGCGGTGGGTGTGTTCCTCCTCGAGAGCTTTCTTATCGGCTGCATCCAGCTCGGGGATCTCCTGGTAGAGGGCGGGAGACTGGGCGACCAGGGCAGCCTTGCGGAGGAGAGGCAGGTGCTCCTCGAGACCGTGGTCGCGGGCAAAGTCGTCGACATCGGCCAGGAGCTCCTCCTTGGAGAAGTCAACGAGGGGATTGCGGATCCTGGCGGGTTGGTTAGAGGTGTGGCAGACACACGAAGCTAACGAGAAGGAAAGAGAAGGGGCGAGATTCTGGGATGGACAAGAGTCGGGAAGAGGAGAGGAGGGTACATACTCGCCCTCGACATTGGCGGTCATATGGGTGATGCTCGCTCGACGCTTCTCCTCGGCGTCGGCGACAGAGCTGCCCCGAGGCCCATTTTGGGCGGGAGGAGGATGCGTCGAGGCTATGGGCCTGAGGTACAGAGTCAGCTTCGGGATTGCAAAGAGAGAGAGGGGGGCGCATGGAGAGCCTTACTCGATGGCGGTGGAGGGGTCCTTGGAAGGATCAGCCATGGCTGCAGCAGCGGGGAGGTTGTCGTTGTCGCAGTGCAGTCGGTCAAGCTGAGGAGGTTGTGGTGATGGTGGGGGGAAGGAAGGGTCAAAAGAGCTTGGGGGAGCTCGGTGGAGTTTATATTAGAGGGGTGGGTCCTAGCGCCTGGGGAAGGACTGGGGAAGGACAAGACCAAGACCGGGGCGCCGGTGAAGGGTCGGCTGGGGGCAGGGCGAGGCGACGCTTGGGGCGTTCAGCAGTCTCCGACACTCGTTGAAAGGGCTAGGGATTTGTCGATCACGCTGAGGATCGAGCAGAGGAGCCGGGGTATGAGGTTGCGGTAGCACCGTGGCGCTTCTTTTTCTCCAAAATGTTGGGAGAAGAGGGAGAAGGGAGAGGGGAGAGGGGAGAGAGGAAAATGGGAAAGGGGAAGGGGCAGAGGCAGGTTCAGTGATGTTTTGGTGTCTGTGGGTGGCCTTGATTACAATGGTACGAAGAATGGCTTCCTTGGCCATGGGGGGAGGGTCATCACGCGCTACGCGAACCAGCAAAGGGAACCCCCCAGGAGTTGGAAATGATGATGGAGCGAATCTCACTTGGGAGCCAATGGGGCGTTTGCATGGCGGTGAGATCACTCGCACACGAGTTGCCGTTTTTCTTGCCTAGTCGAGGTACTCGGGCCTTTGTTGTTGTTCCCAGCCCCGATCGAAGCCTTTCACAACAACGGCTAACCATCATGTACATTGTTCTTTATCTTTTTTGTGCTCGCACACCCACACCTGTCGTGGTCAGGTCAGACGTGCCCCAGACACGACGTCGGTGGTCCCCCATGAAGATAGTCAACGAGGTGGATCCAGCAGCGGGTGGCTGCACAGAGGCGTCGTCCGAGGAACATGGCAGACTTTGGGGCCGAGGGGAGGGGTCCAAGCTTCCCAAAGCAAAACCCCGCTTCGGAGTGCCCGCCTTTGGCCCACTTGGAGCCTTGGCAACACCCCGGATCGGACCTCATCATCTTCGAGCACTTGACGAGAGGGACCGGTGACGGCCAAGTTGCGGCGTTTGAGAGAGGAAGGCTAAAGAATCCCAAGTGCTGCAACGCTGACTTGCTTGTCTACAAATACATGTGATGCGGCCCCATGTGCGTCGCGCTGCTCCTGTTGTCTGTACATTATTTGTACTGCGAGTGAGGCCACAATTTCCGCAGAGCTCAACAGCGATTCCCCCGCACCCCGCACCCCGGTCTAACCTTGCCGCCTTTTTTTCTGCCAGGGCCATGTCCAAGGATTTTGACGGAATGCCGACGGAATGCGACAGGCCGGCACGCGGGAAAACACGAGGCGTTTCAAAACAGGCTGTTGGGCCTTATCAGTGTTCGGAAATCCTTGTGCGGCGGGAATAACCTGCCTCAACAATTGTTTTTTGGCTTTCTGTAGAAAAAGTGTGTTGGTGAATGTGTAGGCATGACGTCCAGTCAAGCTTCGTTTCATCGGCGCTAGTCTAGCACAAATCTTCCCCCATGTGAAACTTCGGCGAGGGGAAAAGGCGCCGGGCGTGCGCCGAGATGATGGCGTCGTGCCTGACTGCTTACCTAATAATTCAGTTTTGTGCGGGACAGCCTTGTGCTAGCCCCGACTTATTCAGCGTCCAACACGTGAGGATGGCTTTCGAAAGGACAAATCGATTGTAATGCGTCTAGATGCATTGTATGATGCGCTGTAAGGAAATGCTATATAATAAACTATGCGTGGGCTATGCCGATGGTGTTGCCAAAGGAATCAGATCATGTATGGTGACGATGACGGCAACTTCCGCCATGGAGTTTTCAACAGGTATGCTCCGCTTCTATCAGCATAGTTCCTGGCCGAGGCAGTCCGACTCAAAACTACCAGGTACAGCTGCTGCACCTGCCAATGCCCACGACAACCTTTGTCTATCCACTTCCTAAATATAACGTCATGGTTAGATATACCTGAGCCCCAAGGATGACAGGTCCAGACGCCGTTGCTCTGGAGCAAGTCTACTCACTAAGACAAAAGAGAAGGAGGATAGCGCCCGGTCCTGGCCTCTGCCTGTGGGAGGAGAGTGGGAGAGTGGAACATCGATACTAGCGCCATGCCTATGCTGTTCTTGAGACAGGGTTCTTGCAATCTCGGCGACTCACGGCGCTTCATGTGAAGAATCTCTCCATATGTCCCATTCTCCAAGTCTCCCCTTGACCCACTCTCACACCCTCTTCCCCTTCCCCGCAATCGGATACTCGCCGCCAACCTCCAGCCTATGACCCTCCTTGCCCTTCTCCATCTCCAACTTCCTCCCATCCACCTTCTTCCCGATAGCCGGCAAGTTGAATCGCTCGCTTACGCCCCCCTCCAGCGCCTTCCACATCCCAAAGTCCCGTTTATTCTCCCACACCAGCGCTCCTACCCACGGCTGCACGTTCCACCCCAGCTCCAGGCGCACAGAGGTGCGGTTCGCCAGCTTCCCCGAGAAGTCGGTGATCTGGTACTTGGGCCGCTGGTTCGTGAGGTGCAGGATTCCCTGGCCGTGCGGCCACGCCTCCGCTTGCGATTTACCCTTGTTGTCCTTGCTGTTCTTCTTCGGCTTCTTCTGGCTGCCCTTGGGCGAGGGGTGGATGTAGTGGTTCTGGTGCCAGGGCGCCGACGCCGAGGGCAGGATGGCGTCCCAGATGATGGCTTCCGAGTCTGGGAGACCCGGTTTGTGCGAGGGATAGACGGCTTTGACGTACACGAAGACTTGCTTTGTGTTCCAGTTGAAAAGGGTAGAGAGATCTGCATCATCATGTTATCAACTGCATCTGTGAAGTGCGCGTAAAACTCGGGGATAAATGTTTCTTAGGGAAAGGGGACGCACCCGCGTCGAGATCGAAGCTCATGTACGCATACTCCTCCTTCTTCTGGCTGTAGTAGAAGGGCCTGCCCTTCCGCCTACACTTGTCGTTAGCCCCAGTGCACACGCTCCAGGCCCTCCCTCCTGGACCAATTGAACACATACACCTGCACATCTCTCAACCGTATGCTCGCCGTCGGAACCTGCGGATTGATGAACGACGACAGCGCAATCACGGCCGCCACGCAGAAGGCTACCGTCGTGAAGAAGCTGAAAACATTTTGCAGTCGGACCACCGTCGAATGCATCGTGATGGGTGGGGTGCGACCGTCGCGAAAGGAGGAATGGGGAGGAGGTGAGCTTTCCGAAGACGTGGCGCTATCGCTCGGGAAGGCTCAGGCTCAGCCCTACGGCGGTGCGCTAGGTAGATCTTGGCTTTGATGAAATGCGGACATCGTGGTGGTAGCACTAGACAGTATGCACCCGCACATAATCATTTAATACAGCACTCCGTTTATCGAATCAGTCATCACGCAGAGTATAATAAACAGTCACAAGCGGCGTCCAAGATTCCATTCTCCGAGCCAGGCGCTCTCCAAAACTTCTACATACCAACCCAGGACTGTAACGGTGGGTATCCCACCATCTAATTCCACAGATGCCCATGCTCCAGAGAGCTAACCCTAGGGATATCCGGCACAAAGCCTACGATACAGGAGAAATAAATGAATATGCTCCAACCGCAGACACGATACCAGGCCTTTGCAGAAACCCCCAGTTACGCCAGACACATGACGCCTCGGAACACCATTTCACCACGTATAACAATGGCCGTGCCAGGTTGCTGGTCCCGGCGCATACTAAGCACCGGGACCTACACCTGCGCCTGCGTTCGCTCCACCCCTGGATCCTCCACGCCCGCGGAATCCGCCCCGTCCACCACGTCCGCGACCCCTGGATCCACCACGCGAAGCGTCCAGACTCGTCGGCGGAGGTACGTTGTTGTACGACTGAGGCCGGAAATTGGGGTTGTTCTCAACTACCCCAGCCGTCGGGTCATTCATGTCTGTGATGGTAAAGCCGCCGCGGTTCGGCTTGGGCGCACCCCTTCCTCGTGGCGCCGTGGGAGCGCCGCCCCGAGAGGTGCCGTTTGAATGACTGTGCTGGTCGTGACCCAGGGTACCATTAGGCGGGCCGCGCGGTGCAGATCCGCCACGGCCACCTCGAGGAGGCCCGTTGCGGATGGGAAGTTGCTGCTGTTGTTGCTGTTGCTGCTGTGGGGGCGCATGATGCGGCTGTGAGACGCCTCGAGGTGCCATTCCCCCGCCGCGTCCCCCGCGGAATGCGCCGTTAGGTTGTCCACCCCCGAAAGCTCCACGGTAGGAGCCACGAAGAGGCGGAGGGGTGCTGGCCGGAACGAGCTGAGGTCCATTAGAGGCTCCGATACTGCGGGCCATCAGAGGCTGAGGAGCCTGCTGAGGCTTTCGAGATGCGCCGGCGGTCGACATGGAGATGACCTGCTTGTCCGTAAGGTTGAGAACCGCATGGGCAGGAACAGTAGAGCCTCGGAAAGGGGAGCAGCGGTCACCAAGGGAGGATCCGCTCATGAAGGTGACGTCGAACACAATATCCAGCAGTGTCGTCCTAGCGGTGCGCGTCTTGCCAATTACGGTACCGCAAGATCCTATTGGAACGCGTCCCGAGTCTTGCACATAAACCACTCTATCCCCAAGGGAGAACCTTTGGTGGCCAAGACGCTGTTCTGCATCCGAAGGCTTCAAAAGGGCATTGCGAGGAACTTTGCCCAACTTCTTCGGTTCGAAGTCTTGCGTCAGCGGAAAGTTAGCGTCAGCAGCTTGCTCAATGAGCTTCACCGCTTCTGAATCCAACTGCTCCGCGTCCAAGGGGACCTTCTCGAAGCTCTTGGACTCAATTTCCTTGAGCCAAGCAACAACCTCCTTGATCTTCTGCTTTGCCACCTCGGCAGGGTAAAAGTCCGTATCTTCCCACCTGTCGCCTGTCGGATTGTTGATGATGCCGGCGAAGAATTCCGGGAACTTGGTCATGTACTGAGCGAGCAATTCAACGGCCTTCTGACTGTATTCCCATCCACTGTCCCGTTTTCTTGAATAACCCAGCACCTTCAGTTTCTTGGCCTCAAATTTCAGGTTCAGCCCAAGGTTGAGTGACAAGCCACTAGAGTTGACCTTGAAGGACGATGTGATCTTGGACAATGCCAGGGGAGGCATGCGTAGTTGCCGCGCAACCACGTATGATGGATAGTAGGGCGTCAATCGCTCCGCATTGCGAGCTATCTCTCGTCCAAAGTCCGGTTCTGTGCGTCGCAACTTGGCCACTAGGATCGTGGCCCGCTTGTCTGCGTGCCCAACCACCTGCAACGGCCGGCCGTATGCGTAGTCTCCGAGGAAGAAAGCCCGTGAACCCTCGGGAAATTCTTCTTCTATGGGGACCGCGGCTTTCTCAAGGAAGCGTGGATCTTCGCTTATTACCCTGTCCACGATTGTCTGCGTTGCATATTCGGCCTCCATACCAGGTATCTCCCCATACTCTTTGACCGTTGCGCCCTCATCGGTCTTCCTAAGACCCTTGAGCATTTCCACGTGCACAAGTGTTTCAACTTCCCCAATATTCATTCCCAAGCGCTTGCTATAGTTTTTCTCGATGCGATCCGCCTTCTTCTTCCAAGCAGCAATCCCGGAAGCATCGTGCGGGATGGCCAAAGGCGGGCTCGGCCCAGACTCCGGAAGAACGTAGTCAAACATCTCATCAGACACCTTCACAATCTTTGCTTCGTGGAGGAATGGATAGCCAACGTGCACCGCCTTGCCCAATCTATCTTGAGCGTGAGCCAACGAGGACCGAACGTCTGTCTCCAGGAGGGTGACAATCATGCTCTCATTTCGACTGTCTTGCTGGAATACGTTGACACCAGCAAAGTCCAGCTTGCCATAAAACGGCAGGGTCTTCAAACTGGGGAAGCTCGCAAGAGATTCCACTCCAAGCTTGACATCTGGCATCAAGCCAATATAGACCTCCAAGCCATCCATCGTGGGAAGTTCGAAGATATTCTCGACACAGTGACAATGGGGCAAGTCCGGGAAGATTCCTGGAAGAGACGACGGATAGACAAAATCGATCTCCGGCGAGTATGTGAATTTCAGGGAAACACCGAAACTGTTTCGTGCCTTCTCCTCTTCGCTCAATAAATGCTCTTTTGTCGCCATAGCCGCAAGGAGACGTTTCTCGTCGATGAAAGGGATCTTCACTACAGCCTCCCAATCCATCTTCTTTCCGTTCATGTCGAGCTCGAAGTCTCGTGGATAGAAGTCAATGATCGGAGAATCGGGATTTGTCATCAAATCATGGTAAGGTGTCGGAACAATCTTTTTACTGCGGTCGGGAAGTACGCCCATGAGTTGCTGGTACGGCTTGAACGGCTGGCCGAGCTTGAAGTTGATATCAGCTCCTAGTCCCTTCTTCACGTCGGAGATCATTGGGGAGTAATGATATCCGTAGAACCAAGGCCACGACGCTACTCCGCGATAGTAGTAATATAGGACCCATTGCAAGCCTTGAACGTAGTTCTCCGTAAGTTTCCGCAGCTCTTCTTCGTTGCTTCTATCCCATCCAAATTTCTTCTGATAATACTCATTCTTCCAGGCATCAAATTTCTCATCATATTTCTTCTGCATTGCGGATTGGGCTTCTTCCGGGGAGATGTCAACGACCTTCGCGTTGTCGTACTTTTGCAATACACGCAGTACTGCTTTTGTCGACTCGTCCTCCATAACATCTTCAGAGTCTTCGTCTTCGTCGTCGATAATATCTTCCACAAGCCGCGGAGGGAATGAGAGCTGCATATGACGGTCGCCATCCTCGTCTTGCACAGTCTTCCATTGCAGGTGGAGGCTGTCGGCGAGCTCTTCCACGAACTTCCGGTCGGCAGCTTTCAAACTCGGCGGCAGGTCGTATGGGGCGGCGTCCTTTGTTTTGAGGTTTTTACCAACAAATTCCTTGATTTTCAGGAAGATCTCGCGTTGCTCTGTGGTCAACACGGGAACTCCCCGCTTTTTCGTCCTCTCCATGACATCTTCCTTCTCCAGCCTCTTGCCTTTGAACCAGGCAGCGTCGGCGTTTTCCGACTCGAAATGCCGATATTCCACGTGCGAAAGCTCATCCAGCAGCATCGCAAGCCTCTCCATGTTAATAACCCCACGTTCGTTGATGTAACCTTTGGCCTTGGGTAATACTGTCTTGTAAACGTTGAACATTAGAGCAAGAGCGCCTTCGTTGATATGCAAATGCGGAAGATTGGGAAGGAAATCGTTTCCAACAAAGAAAGCCATAAGAATGAAATCGTCAATGACTCGTTCCATGTCGAACGGAAAACTCAGAGCGCCGGGCTCTTCCAGTTCCTGGAATTCCAGCTCCAGGTATTCACGCACAATGCATAGGTGCATAAGATAGAAGTTCTGGTGTTCGAGTTCCTTGGACTTCTTGTGGTTCTGTCGACCGAATGTGACCTCCTCTCGAAGCAGACAGAAATGAGGGTCGTGACTCAGCAACCCAAGCATGATGAGGTCAGCATCAAGGCCATATAAACAATGTCGGCGATTAGGGTCGTAGCCCGGCTGGGATTTCGCGAGACGGATGTATTCCATGATCTTGTGCTCTCCCTCTCCGGGAACCTCATGTCCCGAAAGGACGATCTCCACACCTTGCCAATCCAGGTCCTCCGAGACTTTCTTGTTGATGAAATATCTGAGCTGCTGGCTAAGCTTTGCCATGAACTCGGTGCCCGGGGTGATGCAGTTGCTGTCAAAAGCGTCTTCCTTCGGCATTTCCACGCCTTCCGCAATGGCTTTCTCTCGAGCCTTTTCAGCATCGAGTGCGGTGCGGAATCGTCGGGCGCGCTGTTGGTTCATCTTGGCTCGGGGTGCGACGCCATCAATCGCCATGAAGAAGAGTTGTTTCGGCTTAATCTTCCCAAACAGATGCTCGATGTAGTTGAATATGGCAATGAACATCTTGTCCTCTGTCATGCGGAAGGTGGGAGAGTCGGAGTCTTTGTGAGTGCAGTTATGGATGATGCCGTTCATGTCAAGCTAGCACATCTGTCAGCTTTCACCTGCTCTACCACTCAATAGGCAGATACACACATAGAGACAGTCGAATTCCGGGATAAGATTTTCCGCTATAAGCTGAGATATAGCGGGATATCGCTCCGACATCCATCTGAAAAACTTGGGAACACCCATGACGGCGGTCTATCGTAGTAATAGAGGGGAGTTGAAGCTTGACAACGCGGTGAGGGAAAGCGCGCAAGCGAAGAACGCCGCAAATGATGGGGCAAGGAGGGAGAGTGTAGGTGGAGTGGTGAGAGCGCCCGTAGCGCTGCGGTCCGGCTGTGCCGTAGATTGGTGGGTTAGATCACGACACGGAGTCTTCGAGGTTTGTGATAGGAACGGCATGGATCGCCTCCATGTACCAATTCACAAATGCCAAGAGCGCCAAGCTACCCCGGTCGTGGGAAACCAACAATACACGTGATGCGAGTTCTTTGGACGGGTGACGCGTGAATCTGTCAAGGATTTCGAAGCCTGGGCACGCGTCTTGCTGCATCCATCCCACTCCCGTTTCCGACGTCCCATAGAACAACACCACCCTATTTCACAAGACTTCGTTTGGAAGAACAGAGTTATGGACGACTCCATGAGCGGTACCTCCCCACCCAACCCCCCTCAACTTCGTGGCGGTGCTAACTCCAGCATACAGATGCCGTAGACGGCGCCAACTACGAGGAGCAGGAGAAAGCGATTGCCGAACAGAAGGCGATCAACGAAGAATACAAGATCTGGAAGAAGAACAGCCCGTTTCTATACGACCTTATGTACGGCCGGGCACTTGAATGGCCCTCTCTTACCGCGCAATGGTTGCCCGACAAGAAACCGTGCGTCCTCCCCATTCCAGTCGATTGCTAAGGCTAACAGAACCAAGGGTGGAAGGAACCCACATGAGCGCCCACCGCATTCTCTTGGGCACCCATACATCGGACCAGGCGCAAAACTACGTCCAAATCGCCCAGATTGAGATCCCCGACCCCCCAAATCCCGACCTCGCAGAGCTGGATGAGGACAGGGGCGAGATTGGAGGCTACGGCAACGCTAAGAAGCCTTTTGACTTCAAAATCATACAAAAGATCAACCATCCTGGCGAAGTTAACAAGGCCCGTTACCAGCCCCAAAACCCCGACATCATCGCCTCACTATGTGTAGACGGCAGGGTACTCATATTCGACCGCACGAAGCATTCAATTGAGCCCAAGCCCGATGGTTCTATAAAAACCGAAGCGCAGCTCATTGGCCACCAACAGGAAGGTTTTGGGCTCTGCTGGAGCCCTCTGCTGGAAGGACACGTCGTTACGGGCAATCACGACACCACTGTACGAACTTGGGATGTTAAGGCTGGATACAGCAAAGGAAACAGCGACATTGAGCCCACTGCCACATACACGGTTCATAGCGCCCCCGTGAACGACGTGCAGTATCACCCAATACACAACTTTCTGATTGGAACAGCCTCTGATGACCTCACGTGGCAAATCATCGACACACGCCAAGCGACACATAAGAAGGCCTTGTTCAGGAAAGAAGCCCATATTGATGCCGTCAACACCATCGCATTCCACCCTGAGTTTGAAGTAACATTGGCATCCGGGTCAGCAGATAAGACCATTGGCTTGTGGGACCTGCGGAACTTCGACAAGAAGATCCACTCTCTGCAGCACCATTTGGACCAGGTTATAGGCCTGCAATGGCACCCGCACGACTCGGCCATTTTGGCAAGCTCTAGCTACGATCGCCGCATCTGCATGTGGGATATCAGCAAGGTTGGCGAAGAGCAAACCCCAGAAGAAGCGGAGGACGGTCCTCCCGAACTGTGAGTGGTATAACCGCCTTCACCTGCCGATCAATACTGACTGGACTGATAGACTGTTCATGCATGGTGGTTTTACTAACAGAATTTCCGACTTCGACTGGAACAAGAACGATGAGTGGGTCATGCTCGGAGCGGCCGAAGACAACCAGATGCAGATATTCCGTCCTGCGCGCAAGATTGTCGAGCCAATCAAGAAGAACTCCGACCATGAACAGGTTTCTCCTTGAAATGCCTTGACATTCGAGGTACGAACATGCTGATTGAGCCCTAAGCAGACCTCACGGTCACCAGCTCGGAATTACGATGACGAATTAGACGAGGCGGCCTGGTTTGCGGATGAAGGTCAGTCGTTCAGCGATGAAAATGCCTCATTGAAAGCTATCGCGAAGCCGCTGTTGAACCTTTCATCAGAAATCCGTCACTCAATAATGAAAGCTCTGGAACCTCCTGTTCGATCTATCTTGTTCCCTTCCAACGAAATTCACTCCGCGCAAGAGGACCCCGACAAGGCTCGCTATCGTGCCCGTCCGTGGCTCCTTTGATCATGAAGCGACGTGGCTTTGGGTTTGAATTTCGCTTCTGGGACGAAAGTTGTTCCATCCATGCTTGTGGCGTCGGCTCGGGAGTTGGTTTGATTTTGGGTTTCCGACCCTTCTTCCATCCATGTATAAAGAACATCGGTTATTCCTTTGCGGAGGACTAGGCAATGAGCCGCTGTGCCATGAGGGCAGATCCATAGTAAACAACTGTATCATCTATACTCATGCGCTGTTACTTCTTAGTCTTCTTCCTCCCATCCCCTGCGCCAGCCTCTTTGCCCTCTTTCGCAAAGCCACCCAAGACCAGCGCCTCTCTCGCGGCAGAGTTTATTATGCGAAATCGATCGGGCCCCAAGAGTATGCCGCCATACCATCTGGTGACGACCACCATGACGTCCCACACATCCATCAATTGCATCAGATGCAGTACTCTCCCACCGGCCGCCGTCTCCCCATCGTCATCACAGTCTTGGTATGTAGCTCCGTTTGCGCCGCGGATCCGCCACGCCGTGATGTTGTGCGTCGCCCTCGCGACCTTCTTATCCGTAGCAAGCAGATGCTTGACATAGTCTCGAGCCTCCGAGGGCGACGAGACACGGGCCGCGCGCGCAATGAAGACTGACTTCTTCTCCGTGATCGGGGGAGCAATCACCCAAGGCGGTTCCGGCCCCAGTAGTGATGCGTCCGCCATCCCATCATTCTGCGTGACCTCCTCCTCATCATCGCGCGTAGAGCTTTCCAACTGAGAGCCTCGCTGTTCCTCGCTCTGCGAGTACAACACCAGCGTCCCCTCCTCCTCAGCCCTTTCCAGCGCTTCCCTCACTTCCTCGAGGAGCGAGAACACGCATGGTAGACCCGGCGTATACACTTCTGCTAGCACGCGTCGCACGATGTCGACGACGTGGGTCCCGGCGCCCTTTGGGAGGTCGTCGCCGACGGTTTCGGTGCCGAGGATGCTGGGGGGTGCGTCCGGGTAGGCTGGGGGGAAGTGGATGCGGAGGGTGATGGAGGGGAGGGAGGGGAGGCGGAGGGAGTAGGTTTGGGATGAGGAGGAGGAGGAGGGGGACGAGGGGACGAGGGTTGTCGGGGTGTAGATGGAGTTTATGGTTAGGAGTTCGTCGGAGAGGGATTCGTTTGGTGGAGTGGCAGTGGTGGACATGGTGGTAGAGAAGGTGGATGCGGGAGGTTGAGGGAGTTGGAATTCGGGTTGGAGATTGGTTGGAGGGGTAGTGGGGTGGGGTGACCAGAGGATCCATATAAAAATTGAAATGATTGAGGGTTGGGTTTGCTGCTTTAGAGTAAATAGTGGCTAAGCGTGTGCTTGGGATATTGTTTCTTAGGAAATGCATTTTTCGTGGGCAGCGCGTATTGGGAAATCTGTACGGTAACGTCATGTCAATCTACAGGTTTCCAAGTCTAAGTATCAAATCTTCCTTACGGAGATACAAGTCTATAACAAATCTCTTTCCTATCTTGACCCTTGTACCGCTCACAACTTGCTGCTCTGTCTCTGTCTCTTCTCCTTCTCCAACCTCTCCAGCACCTCTTCCACCTTGGCGAACTGATAGTAAAACTTCAAGCTCTCGGGATTCGCCAACGTCCCGCTAGGCTTGATGGTTCGACCCGAGACAATCTGCTTAACGGGCAATTCGACCTTCTTCAGATTCACCGTCGTCTGTATCGTTGTCAGTTCCCTTCTCACCCACATCTCCCATATGATAGCAATCACTTACCGGAATCTCCCAAGTCTGAAACACATACTTGGGCACATGCCTCCTACTCCTCTCCTCCGCAATCTTCCCCTTGATCCTCTGAACCAACTCCTCCGTAAACGCAAACCCGTCATTCATCTTCAGGAACAAAATGACAGACTCATCCTGATCCTGCGGCCTCCTCTGTCCCACACACAACGAATCTTGCACCTCGGGGAAATGCGTCTCCACGACGCTGTAGATATCGCTGGACCCGAACCGCACACCCGACGGATTCAACACGCCGTCCGCGCGGCCCAAGAACAGGATCTGCCGGGTGACGGGGTGGATCTGGATGAAGTCGCCATGGGTCCAGACGCGCGGCGACGAGTACCGCGTGTAATACGCGTTCTGGTACTTCTCGCCCGTCTCGTCTCCCCAGAAGAAGACGGGTTGATTGGGAAAGCTGGCCGTGGCGACGAGTTCGCCGGGTTCGCCGTCGGGAAGTGCACGACCGGGTCCGGATTCGATGGTGGAGTCATAGACTTCGACTTTGGTGCCTAGACACGGGCCCTGGCAGCCGCCGACGTAGACGGGGTCGAGCGGGTTGTCGATGCCGAAGCAGCCCGCTAGGTCGGTGCCGCCGGAGATGTTTTTCAGGTGGACCGTGGGAGGGAAGCCGGTGTCGTAGAACCACTCGAAGAGCGAGTCGGAGAGCACCATGCCTGTTGTGACGACGGCTTTAAGGGCGGAGAGGTCGACGACCTTGCGGGGGACGATGCTGTTCTTTTGCAGCTCGTGGAGGTAGCGGGGGGAGGTGCCGAAGTCGGTGACGCGTTGCTCGGACACGATTTCGAGGAGGCGGGTGAGGTTGGGGATGAACGGGGAGCCGTCGTAAAGAATGGTGCGGCAGCCGAAGAGAAGCGCTTGGACGGAGGCGAGGTACATGATCCAGCCAGTCTAAAGGTCGAAGTCAGGACCAGAAGGATCGATGTGGAAGGGAAAAGGGGGATGGGAACTTACGGTGGTGTATTGCAGAACCACGGTCTCAGGGCCCCATTCCCTATGCAACCTCCCCTCCTTCATGACACTGATGAGCACGCCGCCTACAGAGTGCACGATACATTTGGGCACTCCAGTTGTTCCCGAAGAGTACACGATGAGGAACGGATCTCTGAAATCCACCCTTTCAAACACCAACTCATGATTTCCTCTCGCCCCCTCCAAAAACCTTTCCAACGTAACCGTCCTCTCAATCCCCTCAAGTCCTGCCGGTTTTCCAGGAAACCTCGGCTGAGACACCATGCCCTGGAACTCCTCCACATCTCTCATGCCGGCCACAATCTCCCTCATCTTAGGTCTCAGGTCGATCGTCTTGCCGTTATACACTGCCCAGTCATCCATAAACACCCACTTGGGCCGTATCTGCAGCAACCTCTCCAATATCCCCTTGGTCCCCATGTCCGTAGAACTACTGGAGAACAGGCCTCCCAGGGACGTAATCGCCATGAAGCAGATGAAGGTATCGAAACTCGTGCTGGCGACAATGGCGACGCGATCCCCCTTCTTCACCCCGCGAGCACGCATCGCATTTGCCAGAAGGCCCACGCGACGGCGTACCTGGCCCCAGGTAAGGTGGGCGACTTCGGTATTTCCTTCGCGGATTTCCGTCACGCAGATCTTGTCGTCTTCCTTGCCGTACATCGCTCTCTTCTCGTGATCTGCAGGGTCCACGGAATATAGAATGTTCTCTGCGAAATTCAACCTCGTGCCGTCGAACCACTTGGGAATCGTCTCCATGGGCGCCGACGTGTCGACCACGGTTGTGTAAGAGCCCGAGTAGATGAGGCCGGCGTGGCGCCACATGAGGTTCCAGAAGTCGGTGCGGGAGGGGCCGACGCTCCAGTTGTAGAGATCGGTGAAGGTGCGGAGGGAGAGGTTGTAGGTGCGGTTTGCGGTTTGCAGGAATTTGTACATGGATGTGGATTCGGGAGAAGGGTGTTGCCAGAGTTTGCGGGGGATGGGGAGTTGGGAGGCCATGGTCGTGGATGTGGTGTTGAGTTCGGTTTCCACCTGATGTATAGCTCTTACTGTGACTATGGGTGGATTGGATGCTGACGAGGAATCGGGAGGCGGGGTGTATAACCTTTGAAAATGAGAGAGGAGAGGATATCCAGGGAAAGGAGAAAGAAAGGCAGCCGATTGGCAAGAGGATGTCTAGATCTCGATATATGTACCTATCCCCAGCACAGCAGGAGCTCCCCCGCGTACCGGGCGGCAGATGGGCTTGTTACCGAATGCCGCGCCTTACCTGTGTGGGGAAGTACCGAGCTTGAAGTTCCGAGGGCTTTGATATGTATACAAGTATACCCCAAATCGAGGTTGTCCCTTCTTCTCCGAATGCATCATTTCAAGCATCCTGAGAATGCCATTTGCGATGTCGTCCCTCGACGCCAGGGCTTGGTCACTTGGTCAATTGTTTGGGGATGGACATCTTTCCATCTCCTGGGTCGCTGCTGTAGGTATTTAGGTGCACAACTCCGCTCGGCTCGTTCGGCTTTAACAGAACCAATGGGGAGCTCCAATTGGTCCGTGGACAGTTTGGAGCTTAGGGTATACTCTGGTCTATTGCAATCACAAGAGACATTATCGATCGAAAGGTCCAGCCAGAAGGAGGTCGCATTATCCTTCTTGTCTCTGCTGTCTGTCCATGGAGTGCTCAAGTGGCTATTAGTGTGAACTCTTCAAACGTCCTTTCGCTCGGAGTGCTTCCACGGAGGTACCCACATCTCACCTAGAGTTAGTCTCTCCAACACTACGGAGTACGGAGTACTGACACGCTTCCCTATAACCTACCTGACCTATAGACACATCTCCCTCCATCCCGTCCCATCCCATATTCCATACCGACCACGTAACCCACAACCATCCCTTCCATCAATACGAAACACCATATACAAACCAACCCAACCTAAGCAACACCCCAGATCCCCGCCTCACCCACCCCACCCATGTGACCGAGCCCATCCAATAATCCCCGCCAGCACGTCAACGCTCGCCGATTCGTTTCGAAACAACTGCGCGTCATCCCCATGATACCCCACAATGCCATGACAAACGTACCAGGAATTGAGGACCGCGAGGACGAGGTGACGGGCATAGCCCTGTAAAGATGACAATACGAGGAGGAAGGGATGGCCTGGTGAAGTGTTATCGATAGCGTTGTCGCATAATCGCCTTTGCGAATTTCGACGAAGGGCCAGTAGAATTTAGACGTCTTCCCTAGAACCTGGGCACCGGATTGTACTAGGTAGGATCTGGGGAAATGGGATTCGGGAGTAAGAGGTATGATAATAGCGATGCGATGGCGATGGGTTCATCATTCATAGTTTGCATGAAAGAAGAGAAGAGAAGGGGTGATTTATCTATCAGGCTCTACTGAGCTCTGTGAGGCAGAAGTCGCTGGATTGGAATACGTAAAACTCAAAATGTCGTGATATCATCATCGCTCGCTACGGGAAGACAAGATTTGCTAAAATAACAACAAAAAATTCCCAAATGGGGGTATCGCAACATCGCAACATGCAGACAAAACACAACCCGGGATGGTGTAGAACCCAAACATCATCAAAGCAAGTCCATCAAACTCTTCCTCTTCCGTATCCTCCTTGACGACTTCACCGAAGCTGCGGACCCCTGGCCAGACCTCCCCGCATCCTCAGGCTCGTCCGGGCAAGGCGGTAGCTCTAGAATCGGTTCCCGCTCATCGGCTCCCCTTGGCACCAACTTCTGCATCGATGGCCGCTGCGTCGTCGTTGGTGGAAGCCTCGCGCTCTGCGGCACGGGCGGAATCTCCGGGGACGGGTCCCGCACCGAAGTCGGCCGTGACAATCTCGAGTGCCTACGCAGACCCTTTGGCGGTGAGAATGATGACGAGGAGGCGGCGATGGGCGCGGTTTGCGGGGTCATGGGCGTGTAAGGGGTTGCCGGGGTGGGAGGGAGGGGGTTGGGACGGCCATTGATGCGCGTGTCCCATTTGCGGGTGGAAGGGGTGATTGCGATTTTGGCGAGGGCGAGGCGCTGCGATATGGAGCGGAGGCGCTTGTGCGTCGAGGATTTGATAATAGGTGAAGCGGCGGAGGTGGTGGAGGATTCGTAGGGGTCGGAGCTGAGGAAGGAGGGAGTCTCTGGGGATAGAGGCGTGAGCGGTGGAAAGGGTCTGGTTTGGGAAGAGGATGAGGGGACGTAGAGGGAGGAGCGGTGTTGCATTAGGGCTGGAGGACGATGCGTTGAGACGCTGGCTGGAGGATTGACGACTTCTGATACGGCGGGAGAGTTGCTGCGAGTGGAGCCGTCTGTGAAGGATGAGGACGACGCGGATATTCGCAGTGAACTGCTGTTGTTTGACGAGGGAACATAGGTTGTGGAAGGTCGCCGTGAGGCTGGTCTGCTTGAGGCTGGCGAAACCGGACGGCTGATTGTCGAAGGAGCTGACGACGAGAGTTGTGACGACTGCTCCATCTTCTTGAGCTTGCTGATGGAGTCCATTGGCAATTGCGCCAGCGACGCTGACCTTTGAGGCAGGTCACGAACGGGCGAAGCCAATGCTGCCAGATCGATGACTTTTGGTCTCCCGGCTGAGACATACGACACCAAGACGGCCATATCACAACTCTTTCCTCTCTCATACCGAGACACGCTCATCTTCCTCGCTTGACAACACGCCTGCTCGGCCTCGTGGATGCTGGCGACCTCGTCTTCCGCGTCCGACATCTCCATTGGTGACAGATCCTCCTCGGATGAAAGGTAGCGGTCCTGAAGGTCAACGGAGAGGGCCTTTTTGGATTCTGGAGAAGTGGAGTCGTCTACGGTAGGCGCATCTACATGTAAGCGTAGCGTCTCGCTTTCGGCGTGGCACAATTGTGGAGACGATGCGGAGCTGTCAGGGTGCTGGGCTCGAGACTTGTTATCGAATGCCCATTGTTCGAGCTGCGCCGACACTGCAACGTCGACCATGGCTTTCTTCGAGGGTTTGTCCTTTTGAAAGGGGTCGGGTTAGGGCAATGGAGGCGCAGGGCTCAGGAGGTCGCGAGGGACGGGAACGGTCGCAGACTATTATTATTATGTAGGCGTGGCGTTGAGACGGCGGAGTGATGAAACGGCGAGGCGCTCAGCGGCGGCTTGTCGTGCGATGGAAGTGACGGTGCTGCAGCGGGCGGCGTGCAAAGCACCTGCAGGATAATGGTAAATTATGCCGCTCTGTGATAAGGTAACAGACTGTGGGGATAGATAGGAGAGAGGAATAGTATATGTATGCCCAGGAGCAGACGGACGTCGGGTGCGCAAAGGTGCACGTCGATGCTATTTACATAGATTGCGGACGAACAGGGGGCCTCTGCGGGCGGTCCACGACTGGGCCGCAAGCAACTTCAAGTTTCAACTAGCAGCGGACGCTTGCTGGATATGTATTGAGAGAGGCCAGCAAAGGCTCGTCTAGGGGATCGCTAGGGGCATGGGAATCTAGTTTAGCGGTGCTGAGCCCTTCACCGCTGCTGGCAATCCCCAGCGGAGGAGAAGGGCTCTCATGCCACTCGTCCCGTGTCATCAACCGTGACAACCGTGTCAACCGTGTTCAAGCGAACCAGCAGAGCCTTCTCGAATTTCGAGTTTCCAGGTGGGCGGGTTCCCGTCGTGGTTGGCCAACACGGCCGTGTGTTTCAGCGTCTGTTCGGCGCGGACGCCGTGTGCCTGGTGACTTTGCCAGAGAGCTGGGAGTGCCTGAGTGCATGGACGTGCTGTGTGAGTCTCTGAGACGAGGACCACGGCGGCTTCCCCCTTGTAGCCATATATAACCTGCACTCCCTCGATTACGGCAATGCCGAACATTCACCCTCTACTACCTTTGAGCTTTGCCCATACACAACAGGCGGAAACCTCCGCTTCCGGCTCATGAACTTCCAAGGGTTATTAGGAGAAGAATCTATCTTCAAGACCGACATGCTGAGATGTTCGACTTATGTGGACCCCACGGGCTCATCCGCCCTAGGGTTGCACAAGGAAGCTCCAGCGCAGACCACCCACGTGCCCTCCGCTATAGACGAATTCCGCAGCTTACAATACATAGTATAAGGTTAGAAAAGCTGTATTTACACAGTAATGAAGACCCAACATCCCCGCCGCCCCGGACATCTTTTATTAATATCCCTCCCATCACCCGCCTCGCGGAAACACCCATTCAGCGCTCGATCCTATATCAACGTTTGCATCAATTTCGAGGCCATTCACAGCTCCCCGGGTCCCGTCGGTCAGGAGTGAAGACCTGACCTCATCTCAGACTTCAGTCCTACTTGTAAGGAACAGCAATCCCCTCAATAATAATCAGTGGTCTCCCCGTCCGGAAAACATCAAAATTTCCGTCCCTCGCCACTGATAATCTCCCCCGCATCCTCCGGGGTCTGCCTTCCCCTTGACCTTTTCACTCCCTCCGCTGCCACAGGAGTTTATTGATCCCCTTGCCCTCTGCCCACCCTAACGTCTCCTGCCCTAACGCGACCCAATGACCACCCAGAAACAAACCCATCCCATCCCATCCCATCCCATCCCATCACCACCTGCTCCGCCGCCCACTTTTACTGCACAGTATCATCCACCAATCGCATCGCATCGCCTGCACCACACCTGCGGCACATTTTCAATGTCAATCTAGTATAAACCACTCAAGTTCTGTATCTCAAATAGATGAAGTGCAGACGGTATAGGTAGAGAGTGGCGGGAGGACGTAAGATGGTGTTGCCGCTTTGGGCGTCGACGATGGTGATCGGTGGGCAGTTTCGGGTTGGTGATGATGGTGATGGTGGGGGCCAGAGTGTGGGTGTTGGATGCCCTCCTGTCCGTAGGCAAGCTGCGGATAGACGGTAGACGAGTGTACCGTGGTTTCTTCTCATCAGCATTGCCTGAGACCAGGAGTCTCATCAGTAACGTCGCCTCTCACAACAGCAGATGTATCAAACGTCCTCATTCAGCAGCGTTACTTCGGCCTGCTGATCGACTGCCAATAATCCCCATCTCACCACCTTCACTCCCATTCATTCTACCCATCCTTTCCACCATTCCATCACCCACAAACAGAATCATACAGCCACCAAATCCTCCATCGCACATCTCCGCCAAAGGCAAGGGATTCGTATTCGATGATCCCCCAAGATCTGACGATCCCAACAAAATCCCCGAATCCTGATCCTTTGCTGACAGTGACGCTGCAACACACTCCAACTCCGCCATCCTCGTCTACCTGACGCAAGCTTACTTGTAACCTCCGTCTGAATCACCGTAACATACATCCTCACACACATTGTCCGCCCGCACACACTTGCACTGCTGCTGCAAGTCCGTCAACAGTCCCAGCCCTTCGTCATCCTTTTGCTCTTCCCTCAGCACCTGCAGGAGGGGACCTGCGGCTGAAGCAGAAGCGCTCGTACTCCCTTCCCCTCGTGCTTGTGAACCGTGGTGCAACTGTAAAAAGTCAGGACTCGACGCGATGGATGCGCCCTGTGCTACCATACCCTACGAGACCGCTCGTTTACGGAGTACTACCAACACAAAACCACCGGCGCCACGGACAAAAGGTCGTGTGTGGTACCTAGGTACGTACGTAAACATCGGGTCCCGATGTGCAGAAAACCCTCACCACCAAAGCAGTCCATTGGCGAATGCGGGCTATTCCGATTCAAGCTCTCAAAATTACAGCGCCAGATCCTTAACCACGCTCGATTGCAACTTACAACCTCCAAAATCTAGACTATTGCTCCTAGCTCTGCCCTGTCGACGTACGAGCACCAGCACCACCACTGGTGCTAGCTCCCTTCACCCTTTTCGCCTCCCTCTCACTCTCGGCCGCCACTTCGGCCCTTCTCTTCTCCCCTTCTCTCGCCGCTCTTCTGGCCTCCTTGTCCTGCTTCTCCTTTTCCTTCCTCAGGGCCTTACTCTCAAACTCGTGCCAATCCCCTTCCAGCTCTTTCAGCTCCACGGCGCGCTTCGGCGCCGGCTCCTCAGCCGTGAAGTACGGATGCTCCAAGACGTCCGACGCGCTAGGCCGAGCGGCAGGATCATACGCGAACATGGCGACAAGGAGCCCAAACGCAGCAGGCGTGACGCGGTCTTTATACTTCTCCGCAAAGGTGCTGACTTTGCGTTCGCTGGGTCGGAGAAGCTCGAACCATTGCATGTCGACAATGCCGGGCCAGTCTTGCACCGTCGGCGTGCCGAGGACATTGTATATCTTGTCCAGCTGGTTGATTTCACCGCCGTCGCCGGGGAAGATGGCGTGTTTGGTGAATATCTCGACCAGGACGCAAGCTGCGGACCAGATGTCGACAGCAGGGCCGTACTGCGTTTCGCCTAGTAGCAGCTCTGGCGACCGGTACCATATCGTAATGACACGGTTGGTATAGTCAATGTTTCTGTGCTTGGAGTAGAAGCGTGCGAGGCCAAAGTCAGCCAACTTCAGTTGACCCGTGTTGCTGACAAGAATATTAGCGGCCTTGATGTCGCGGTGCAGTACCCCGCGTCGGTGGAGATATTCAAGCCCTTCGAAGAGCTGTTTGGCAAGGTCCTTCTTCATAGCTTGATCCAATCGGAAGGTGGGGTGGTTTAGGAGGCCAGTCAAGTCATGAGACAAGTACTCAAAAACCATGAAGCAGTCGTGCTTCTCTACCATGACTTCTTGCAGGCGTACTATGTTCGGGTGATTTAGCGACTGCAAGAGCTTGATTTCGCGGATTGCTGTAACCGGGAACCCGTCTCGTTCGCCCTCCATCCTGATCTTCTTGAGTGCGACCATGTCCTTCGTATAGACATGTACGCCTTTAAACACCTTGCCATAGGTACCTGAACCGACAACCGACTCATTCCCAGGCTTCCTGTAGTATACCGAATCGGACGCTGCAAACTCAGGCGGGAGCTTGGGGAGAGGCTTCTTTCTTTTTCTTATGACTGTCTTTGTTTTCGTAACTTCCGTCGGCCCACCCTTAGCATCCGCACGACTTCCCCTCCGAGTATCAGCACGAGGTTCTGGGCGCGCCTCTGAGCGAGGCTCTGGGCGGCGAGATGGCGGGTAAGGAGATCTCCGCGTTGACTCTCGATCCCGAGGATCACGCGTATCTCTGGCGGCTCGAGGTTCGTGCGAATCCCGAGAGTCTCGGTACTGGCTTTCTCGAAATTGTCTGTCTCCATATTCCCGATCCCGATATTCCCTATCGCGGTAATACGATGATTCGCGCGCAGTTCTATCATCGCGAGAATCGCGGTAGCCGTATTTTCTGTCTTGATAACTGCTGTAGGACTTGTCGTACGGGTCCGGTCGACGGTCTTTCTCGTAATATGCGCGATCTCGCTCCCGGTCACGTTCCCGCTCATGCTCTCGGTGGCGCTCACGCTCTCTGTCTTTGTCCCTTTCTCTCCCCAAGTCTTGCTCCCGGGCTCTGTCTCTGTCCCTTTCCTTGTCTCTGCCTCGGTCTCTGTCCCTCTCCTTCTCTTTCTCCCCGTCCCTCCCCCTGTCCCTTTCTCTATCTCTCTCTCGGTCTCTATCTCGATCCCTCTCCGTCTTCGACTCTGTGCTCTGGCGCGTCGTAGTATCTCGGGTCGACGTAGACTTGGGCCCAGGATCAAGGATGGACGCTTTCGCGGTGGTCGTGGCAGAATCTGTCTTCGAGGTCATTGCAGGCAGCGGCGTCTTCGTCTTCAACGAAAAACTGAACCCCTTGGGCTCCTTGGGCTTGGTTGATGTGGATTCCGTCTTTGCGGTGGGCGGCATCTTCTTCTCGTCTCTACTACCTTCATCCTCGACACGAAGGTCTTTAGAAGGACGGAAAGGATTATCATCTGCGTCGACTGCGTTGCTGGATGTCTCTGCATTCGCCTGCGGAGAAGATCTCTCCCAAGTCGGACGAGGAGCTTCAGTTGCCTGACGGCCACCACGGGTGCCAGAAGACGGTGTCCATGACAGGTTGGAAAACATCGTGGGACCACGGCCACGTTGACCCTGTTGCGCCGGCGGATATCCTGTTGTTGGCGCTGTATTGATGGCTCGACGGTCAAGTCCGCCATAGTGGTTTCCCCGGAAGCCTCGATAAGACCCTGTAGGTGGCCCATGATTGGACGGCCCGGGGTAGTGTTGCGCAGGAGGATACTGGCCATGTTGAGCAGGAGGATAGTTGTAACTGTTATTGTGAGGGAAAGGTGACTGGTTAGGGGAAAACCCATGTGTGGGAGATCTGGCTTGTAAGCGAAAGGAAAACCAAAGAGGGGTGAATACTAACCCATGACTTGGGTATGGATGCTGCCCAGGCTGTCCCGACCATCCACTTCGCACAGAGTGGTACGGAGAGTGACCAGGTGGTGAGTATTGAGAATGGGGATAGGCGCTGTTGCCCCTGCCCTGGTGATAGGGCCCACCTCCTCTCATCGTAGCGTCGTCTTTGTGGTTTTGGCTATCGGATATGCTGGAATCAGCTAGAGAGCCTCGCCTCGACTTACTAATGCTTGGCTTTTTCGAGGAATGAGTTCCGTGGCTTTTATCAACCGCTTGCGAATCTCTTCTATCAAAAGGAGTAGAAGAGCGAGAAGCTCGGTGTGTAGAACGGGTAAGGGTTAGGGTCTCTCGAGTTGGCGAGTCCTGTGCACGTCTTTCACGTGAGCGCCGTCTTCTCACCGGAGTGGCTGACCTTCTCCTTCGCGGAGACCGCGAACGAAGATGTCCTTTACGACTGCGGCTGCCGCTGCGGCTCCTGTCCCTGGCCTTCTTGTGCGAATAATTGTGCGCCCTATCCTTATCTTCGGCTGATGGCGTACGATGTCGTCGGTGATGAGCTTTCGGAGAGTGCCTCCTAGGCGAATCTTCTCTCCTGGATCTCCTGTCCGATACAACAGACCTCTCGCGTCTTTTATCGGAATGAGTGTGATAGTCGGCGTTCGGTGATCGAGAACGACGTCGAGACGATGAAGAGGGGATATAGGTGTCGCGGTCACGGTCAGATCGAGACTGCCGCGGCGAGTATGCCCTATCTAGAGGTTTTTGGGAGGTCTCTGGGCGCTTGGACCTAGGCGTCGACCGTTCCTTGCTGCGGCTACGATGCCGCTTCGTCCTTTTGTGAGAGTCGCGCTGTGGTGTTGGCGAACGACTGCGGTAACGTTTGGTTGATGGAGAGACGTCCCGATGATGGCGGTGGTGGTGATGTCGCGAAAGCGAGGTCCTGTCTGCACTGGGCACCCTGCCCCTCGAAGGTCGATACCTATCGTCCTCCCTCGAATCCTCACGGCTGCGCCGACGCGCCCGGTCCCTGCTCCGACTCCTCTCGCGTGAACGGCCTCTCCGGTCCCTCGTCGATGCTGGTGGATCCGCGGGTCGTGTCTCCCTTCTGCTGTCTCGCGCACCGCGTGGCGCCGCCGAGTCCGTACCTCTGTTGCTGCCTATGCGGTCTTCCGAACGCTCCTTCTCGCGATGCCTTATTGACGGTTCCTCTGGTCTCCACTGGTCTATGTCCTGGGTTCGTCGCGCCCCAGCCATGTAGACGAGAATATCAGGCGGTAGATGGCATCAAGAGAGTTGCGGGTCTGAGTGTCACGACCTAGCCGAGCGGCAGCAACCTCAGGCCTGCAATGCAATGCCGGACAATGAATAGGAGAAAATAACAGGCAGGAAGGGATCGAGGGCAATGCGCGTATCGGGGAGAATTCGAGAAGCTGTCCTGCCTGAATCGCTGGTGTCAGTGGGTAGCGGGCTGCCATCCGCCGTGCAGCCTTCCTCTCATCATCCTGGCTTGGCCCGCCTCAACCTCACCCATGCCAAGACTGTTCCCGTGATGCGTTCTGGTCGATGAGTGACGCCGCAGCTCAATCTTTCCCCATTCATAGCAGAGCTGCTGTTCTTGGGTCTGGATGTTAACCCCAAACAACCACCCAGCCTAGCAGCGTTTCCCAGTAGAACCAGGAATTGCTTCTCACCACCCACGCTCTTGAATTCCTCCAGTATGCGCCGGTGTAGCTTTCGTGCCTCTCCAACCGCAATCTGAGCTCATGCTAGCCCTGCATGACCCGACGGTGGACTAAAAAGCTATCTAATGGTACAGGGCAATCCAAACTACAGTGAAGAGGCCTCCAAGTAATGCGTGAGACGATCGGCGATAGACCGGGAAGGAGTAGATGAGCGAGCAAAGTCGTGGAGCTTTCGTGCAAAAGAGCGCTACCAAGCCTGTAGGCGCTTATACCTGGCTCATTTGATAACGCTCCATCGACGAACGTCTTTTGAAGGGGAATTTGGCCCTAGTTTCGGATTGAGATCATTTGGGTGTTGAGACGGACTGCCACTGCTGTAACCCACCGCTGAGACGACGTCCGCCGCGAATTTGCAAACCAATTCCGACGAAGAGCGTCCTTTGCCAGGAAGCAGAAGGCAACCAAAGATCTCTGGCTGTGTGAGCCTTTCAGATTTTGGTCGACCTCCATCGATCACCGAGAGTGTTGGTTCGGTACTCCTCATAGCACAGGAGCCATTCCCATGCACGGGTAGGACACCTCGGCACATCGCCAACAACATCGAGCAAGCGGCAGCATCAAGAAAACAACCGTAAATGCTTCCGCAAAGAAGGCTGGCGTGTAGGAACGAACACAAGTGAGTCGACTTCAGCCAGGTGAGTGGCGGATGGCTAAGATGCGGGCCCTCTACCCGCAAAAGGCGGAAAAGCGTCGCAAATGTCTGCCCTGGATATTCCGCCCAACAAGCTTTAGCCATTCCTGTTGTTTGGGGAGTGCGAAGCAACCGGGTCCAGTCCTTCTCCCTAGATAACCCCCCGCATGTTGTTTGCTGCCTTGGGCCCCACGCCCACGAGTGCGATGACCCGCATTTAAACTGCGTCTTCGAGTTTCTGAAAAAGGTCTGTCATGCGGCTGACAGAGGTACCTGCAATAAGAGTATAGCGCGGAGGAGGTAAAAATGCGCGGTCCGGGTTGGAAATGGATGGTTCGCGGTCGAGCGCTTCAGGGTGAGGCTATCCCGCACCGCCGCTCAGCGCGGACAGCAGCCTCCCTGATCGAGACTGGCTGAGATCGAAGCAAGAAAACCTATCTGATTGTCGCATGGTGTTGCTGTTGATGAATGTGGGAACGTAGTGATGAGGTTGAGGTTGCAAGCCTCCAGCTTGCTCCCAAGCGCGTAGTCCAACCTTGGAACATTGAAAGGGTGGGCAGATGGACTGTGCACTGAAATCACGTGATTAGCTGTTGCGCGCCCGCAACGCCGGGCGGACGCTCCATTCCACAGCTGACTTGACCGAAAAATCTATTGCCCGCAGTCGTCAAATTCGCCGCGCAACGGCCAGATTCGCCGCTAGAAGCTGTCTTTTTGCGGTGCCGACCATTCTTCTCACGAACCTTGTAAATAGCCATGTCCTCTCGCCAGAATTTTAAGGCGATCGGGGCCTTTGCCAGTTTGTAGCGTTAGAAGAATATCAACTCCGGTCCCTGTCATCCTGTCCCCGCAGTCATCACACATACAATACCTCCGTACACCCTCTCCGTCATGGATTCTCCTCCGGCGAAACCAAAAAGCGCAGTACCGCCTCATATGGCCAATGGCCCTTCCCCCCTCAGTCCCTCCCCACTCAGTCTCTCGACCGAAGCGCGCCGGAAGCAAGAGAGGGAACATCTCTTTGCCGCAATAGAAAACTCCAACCGCGGGCGTTCGGTGGTAGATTTTGGCGCTTCGGACAGTTTCTTCCCTGAAGGCTCATCGCACGCCACATCCGACAAACGCGACGCGATGCACACCGAGGTTGATTCAGAAGGTTGGAGGCACATTGCAAGTGCTGCGACACCATTGGCAACAAGTCGTGCACTCAGCCCATACACCCAACACCCCACCATCGACTTCGATGGCTTGAGCTGGCCAAGTAGGTGAGACAGGAAGCCACTGCTGTGGACCAAGCTAACATGAAAAGGCGTCGGCACGCGGGAAAGAAAAGAAGCGACCGAAGAACAGAAGGAACAGACATTGGCCAAAATTAGCGGTGCAGTCAGAACTATATTGGAATGTCTCGGAGAAGACCCTGATCGCGAGGGATTGCTGCAGACGCCCGAGCGATATGCGAAAGCGCTTCTGTTCTTCACAAAGGGATATGAGGAGAACCTCCGTGATATTGTCAACGGCGCTGTTTTCCACGAGGACCATGACGAGCTTGTCATAGTGAAGGACATTGAGATCTTCTCCTTGTGCGAGCACCATCTGGTGCCGTTCACAGGAAAGGTAAGGACTTGGGCATCCGACAGGCATCAATAAAGGCTCACACGTGGGTAGATGCACATAGGGTACATTCCGAACCGCCGCGTCATAGGCCTCTCTAAACTCGCGCGCATAGCCGAAATGTTCTCGCGGAGACTCCAAGTCCAGGAACGCTTGACGAAGCAAGTTGCGCTCGCGCTCTCAGAGATGCTCCAACCCCAAGGAGTCGCCGTAGTTGTAGAGTCCAGTCACCTCTGCATGGTCATGAGAGGGGTACAAAAAACTACGGCCACAACTACAACTAGCTGCATGCTTGGATGTATGAGGTCAAGAGCGAAGACTCGAGAAGAGTTCTTGAACTTGATAAATCGGAGGTGACATAAACAGTCATAAATACGGATCATATTTGGGCGGGCACCAAGTTTGTGATTTACAGGCGTTCAGGTTGGTGCTCATCCACGGAGGCAAGCGTCATGATTTCAGATATCTGCATTAGAATAGGTGTCCCCCGCCTTCAACAGGCCAGTATGGTTATCGCGACTTCTTCCTTTCTTCAGCTTTTTCTCTCTACAGGTGCTCTTCCTTGCCTACGAAGTTCCCTCGACTCCCTGTCTTTCACTCACTCGCGCGGGTCAACCGCCACTGCTATTGTTTGTTTACACCCCAGTAAAACCTCCTACCTTTCCTAGGAACTCGTGCTTTTCGTCTAGCCGCTATTATACCTATTGTGCCCTAACAGCAAACGACCGATAGAGGTAACGCGACGCGCAAAGTTCTTGCCATCGCCTCTCCCACCGACCACCGCCACCGCCGTTAACGCGTATATACCTGCAACCGCCATTCTCGTCGACGCAATACCCCGAGATACTTTCCACAATGAAAGGCCTGAAGCGACCAGTCGACTATCTAGACGAAGATGAAGATGAAGATGAAGACCAAGACCTCGAAACCGAACACTACGACAGTTATAGCGCCTTCATCATCGCCTCAGCGCCGCGCGTCATTGGGCGACACCGTCACCGACTCAGGCACTGGCGTGGGCCATCGGCTACCAAAGGACAGGACGGCCAAAAGAAGGCGGAATTCAACATCTTCAAAGCGATTGTGCGCCATCCCAATATTTTCTTCCAGTTTGCCATGCGCCTGTCGCCAGACACAATGATGGATCTGTATGCCATTGACAAGGAGTTTCACTGGCGCCTCAACAAATACAGCACATCCATCATCCACGACCACGCGAGGTACCACGCCCCAGACGCCACCGACATCTTCACTTGGGACCAATTCTCCCGGTTATGTATCAGCGACCCAACACTCAAGCCCATGGACGGACGCCCGCATTTGGCACGAGACGCGCCTTCTCTCCGCTGGACAAAAATGGTTTTTTTTCGCGACGCCGTTGTTAGGGAGATCCTTACACTCCTCGCCGCTGAAGGACACCGCTTCCCACGCGCCGTGAAAAGAGTGCTTATGAAATACTGGGTCCTAATGGAAGTCCAGCACCAAAAGGAAAGAGAGGCCTTCGTCATGGCCAGGGCGCCGCATTACTGGACCGACGTCGACATCTACCTCTTCCAGATGTTCCTCGTTAAGCTGGACTTGCACTTCTCGCATCCAATTCATGGGAGGGGTATATGCGGACTAGGACACTTGCTTTTAACCCAGAAGTCGCTAACGACGCTAAGAGACCTGCTGAACGGCAGCTTTACCATCTGCTACGATCGGCTTGCCGAAATTGTCCTTCGAACATACCCAAATGAGATGATGAATCTCGATGATCATCCATGGTTGGCCCCAGGGGAAGATAACCCTTTGCCTGAATCCGAGTTGGGGCTTCTGTCCCACGAGGAGTGGGATAATACGAAGCCGCATATGGACTCTGGTGTAGACCATGTCATTCGGGAGGGCATTAGGAGGGGTTTGGACGTGCAGAGGTACTACCTTGATTTCGCTCTCTACGGGTATGTAGATAGGAAGACTAGGAAGAACATTCCATTCGCGAGGTTGTATCGGGGAAGAAGGGACATGGTTGTTGCAGAAGACGGATGGCCGACTGAGGAAGAGGAGAACGCGCAGGTGCGGAAGTTGAATGAGCGGTTTCTGGGGGAGTCGAATCATGATGAGGAGGCACCAGTGCTGTAATATATTCCACTTCGGAGCATCCGAATGTATATAAAGTCCTGTTTCTATTAGGAACTCTCTGTTCCAACTGGATATCTGACGCCAATGTGAGTTGATATGAGTCCAAGTAATGCGGGAATTCATTCAATAGTTTTGCAATTGCATGTTCAAATGGATTTCGAGGTACCTCGATCCAACACTTTTGAAGATGCCCTACGCGTCTCTTGTACCGGTCACAACATTATATGTCAAAGAAACTGTTCGCATTTAAAAGTTTGTGACAATTATACCGGTAAGAGGCATACGTAAGTCGAACATATTTGGGTCTTGGCAGGAACCTCCGCCCACCTCCGCTTCCGAACGACCACATTTTCTCCCAGTTGCACATACTGTACGTTCCCTCGCCATGGCCCCGGACCTGTCCGAGTGACTGGGATGAACTGTGCGACTCCGTCCAGTATGATGCTCGACAACAAGCGCCGACGATGGATCACTGGGCCGACCCTTGGGCCGACGATGTGGACACAGATACCAAGCCGTCGCCAAAGCCGGATATCCCAACGCCGCAGCCAGGAGCACCTCCGACCGTGCTGAGTGAATTCTTGGACGATGCGCAATGGGGTAGCGTGAGCCAAGATGAAGGTTGGGGAGAATGGACAGTGGAGCCTAGTAGCAGGACGCCTGGCGAACTCCCCGAGAGGAGCTCTCCACACCCGGAAGTGAACGAGCCATGGAGGGCGGCTGAGGAAAGGGAGGACACTGAGGAACATGGGAATGGTATTTCGGAGGCTTCAGAGTCAGGCACAACGGTACACCCGGACGACAACCATGAATTTCCCCCTCCGGAGCAAGACAATGATATCTCCACACGTCCCTCTGTGTCCACTTCGGAGGCAAGCCACACCGAATCTGTTGCAGAGTCGCCGCGAACTTCTTTCGAGGAAGAACGATCCGCGGGAAAGACTGCCCAGAACGCCCCGCCAACGGAGCATCCACCGGAGACGGTCGCAGAACCTGGCCCTGGTGCAACAGAAGATGCATTGGAAAACAGGTCAGAGCCACAACAACGTGCACTACAGCCCGACAAGGAGCCAAAGGAGGCATCGCGGCCTTCTGCATTGGCAACTACCCCCATCGGCCCCCTTCTGTCGGAACTATTCCCGACACTAAAAAAGCATGCAGAACCGCCGCCAGCTCAAGATGACCCGATATTTTCGACTTCTGCACGGAAAGCATGGTACCGTTTGACAAGACAAGAAACAATGCGAGAGTACAACAGCGGAGGCGAAGACAATAACTATGTGCGCGTAACATGGGCAACCTCAAAGATCAGAGAAGATGTGAACAAAATCGTATCAAGGTGGGCCACCGAGGATCGGATAGCTGGGCGCAGCCATGGTGGGAGAGTCTCTTTCTACTGGGATCAGCCCACAGAGCTTCCGGGCAAAATCGCTGCTATTCATGTTGCAAGGAAGGCGAGCGCATCGGCACCCATCGCCAAACAGGAAATACAGTCGCCTGTCTCGGATGCTCCGGTTGCGTTCAGTTGGAGCTCCGCTCCTGCAGAACAAGATACGGGGGAGAAAAGGAAGTCGGGCATGCTCCAAAGTCAAGCGCCACTTATAGCCCCGCCTGTCCCTGCACCTACCACAGCAATAAAGGAGGCGAGCCGTCACTCACTAGAGCAGAGTGCCCATGATGTCCCTGCGCTAGAGTCCGCGCAGGCTCTGAGACCGGTATCACCGTCAGCCAGCGAGCAAGGTTCCCTTCCCCATGAGATCGATGCCCCTCGCGCAAGCATACAGGAAGACAACCAGCAGGAGCAGAGACAGGCTTTAGATCTAGATCAAATAAGGCGCTCAACGGATACTTCCCCACCTGATATAAGCGATGATGAAGACTGGGGTGAGATGGTTCAGTCGCCGACTCAGACGAATCCGCCTCCTAATGCCTCCTTCTTTGAGTCCACCATTCCGTCCGAAACCGGCGCAACGCCCTCAACAGGATCATCAGGGTCTACACCTACAATATCGAGACACGCAGCGCCCATTGTTCGTCTTCAAGGAATTGTTTCGCCCACCTCTGCAGTGTTTGGCGCGAAGCCTTTGATTCCGCTTCACGCAGAGCAAGGCCCAATTGGACCACATATACTCCGGAAGACGAAGGATGTTCCCCTTGCGACACCTGAAAAGCCGAAGGCCAGCCGTGCAGAGCCCAGCCAACCTGCTGCAGATGCATGGGCAGATGCCGATTTCTCCATATTTGATTCCGCGCCAGCACGAACACCACCAGTGGTAGCACCTCGTCAACCAGTTCCATCCGTTCCTCCAGCTAGAGGTCTCCCATCTCGATCAGACACGCCATCAGCGATCTCACCTCTCCCTCCACAATCCAGAAGATCAGAAGATGACGAGGTCGTTCGAAGCATCATATCCGGTTTGCCGGACCTGAGCTACATGTTGAAAAAATGACATGGATTATGAAAGAGTTATGACGTTCTGTCTTACCTTGCTCTCAGTTGCATTTCTCGGGCGTTTCTCTGGGACTTGGAAGCATAGGTTCAGGCGTGATGCATTGGTCGTTCTTATGTTGTTGAATGTACAGAGATATGCACATGTCATGCTAGTTATTCTTTCCGCATACCAAAAATGTGACTTGAGCTATCTTCTCTTTTCTTTTTATGTGCACGCTCCCTACTACTGGGAGGAATGGCAAGGATCAGACGCGCCTGATGGACGCGTCGCAGAACGCGACGGGTTGATATTGTTTGACCACCACAAGTCTCCCACTGTCTCGCACTTGAACGTACGGCTCAACTCTATCTTACTCAGATTGCTCAGGAAAGGCGAACAAGGATCCGAATACGGATTATATCGCGCGAACATGGATTCTCGATCCCTCCTGGACGAAGCTATCGAATGTGCGACGATTACACGCTTGCAAAGGACCATTCGCGAGATGTGCGACCGATCTGATGAAGCTCTTCAGGTAGCTCGGGAGGCGCTGCTAGTGAGGAACGAAGATGAGCAGAAGAAAGAGGACGTAGCGAAAGACCTAGGACCTTCGAGCACAAACAAGCGCAAGAGAGCATCGGGTGAGATGATGAAGCGCTATGAAATCTGCAAGCAGTGTAAGCAAGAGTACGATGTTACGAAAAATTGGCCGGAATCTTGTGTTTGGCACCGCGGTACGTTTCCTCCCTAATGGCCCTTCCGCTTCTAGCCTGATGAGTTTCCTCAGGTCTTCTATTCGTTGATAACGAGCATGAAACCTGGGTTGACTGGCCTGATTTTATGGACATGTACTCCGAAGAAACCCAGAACGAGTACCCTGAAGGATTCATATGGGACTGCTGTGAGAAAAGAGGTACCGAGCCAGGTTGTCAAAAGAGTATTCATCGACCGAAGGATGCCAAGAGGGCTAGACGGGAGGTATGAGGATGAAAAGGCGGATGGTTCAGGTTGATTACGTCTCCACGGTATGAAGTTCGTCATTGTGGACGCTATAAATTTATGATACTGGTATCCATATGATCTATGTGTCTCATCAATCGATGCCGATATGGGCTTTCGATCCTTCCTATCATCTTCACTCTGATCCTCTCCTGAAGCAACCCTCCCCTCTACACCTCAAACAAAAGAAATCCAACACCACATCCGCCTGATTGGGAATGTCATGCGTCACCCCCTCGGCCTCATACGCCTCGAACTTCGACCCATACCGTCTCCTCGTCCACCCCTTCAATGGTGTATCCAGTGCAACCTCTGTCGGCGTCGTACTGACTCCAAAAACGCTCGTCCACTGCTTAACCTGCTCTTCCAAATTCTGCGGATACAGCACATTGTCCTTAGTGCCATGGAACGTCTGCAACTTCGGCCGCCACCCGGTGTAACCTGGGTACGCATTCCTCACAAGACTATCCCACTCGCTACCATTTCGAATAATCTTGCCCGTTGCACAGGCATCGCTCCACACTGCGAAACCGTCCCCCGCAAAGCAACCAAAGGGCACGCCGGCGAAAGCGCTTCCACCGGCAAAGACATCCGGATAAGAGCCCAATAGGACATTCGTCATCATCGCGCCGGAACTCGTCCCCGTGACGAACACTCTTCCCGCATCGCCCTTATACTTCTCCAACGCCCATCGTACCATTGATACAATCCCTTGTGCATCACCACCTCCCTCGTGCGTCAGTGTCTCCTTGCTGCTGACATCCCAGCATTGATCGGCCTTGTTGGGTGAATCGGGATAGATGCTGATGAAGCCGTATGTATCGCCTTGGGAGGCGTAGGGTCTGTACTGGAAGGCTTGTTGCGCGGTGCCGTGGCACCAGTGAGGCACGACGAGGATTGGAGAGTTGGGTGGCAGAGGCGAGGGAACGTAGATGTAGAAGGAGACGTTTCGGGGGTTGGGGCCGAATGGGGTGGTTATTTGGGTGAGGGTGGAAGTGAGGGTTTGGGAGGAGGTGAGGGAGAGGGTTGAGGCGAGGGCTAGGAGGGTGGGGAGATGCATGGTGGATGTGATGGTCGGTGTAGTCGAAACGAATTGTTTGCGAATGCGGAATCCATGTGTTATATCGTATTCTGTTGGCTTCCAAGTTGCCTAGTGCATATATTCTCCGTTCTTCATTTACCAACCCGAGTCTATGGTAGATGGATGTTCGATCAACGACCTGGTTATTTGTTGAGTTACCCTGGTTCTCGTCTCCGCGGTCTCGCAAGACAGGGTTCTATAGAGGGTTATAGATGAGGCTATACCATCCCTGACACGGAGGCGGAGAGCGTTTCCGACCATATATCTATCTCTCAGGATATTGTTCTTTCCATGATCGTGCAAAGGTATGGAGAGGTGGACTACCTCCCCTCTCTACCTACACGAAGACTTGTGATACGATTCACCGAAGGCGTTGATCCCCGCGGTCTATGCAAGCTATCGCGGGGACTCCCAGTTGGTGATACTCATAGTCCTATACAAAGGTATATTGGATCAGGTTGCAAAAACCGATGCACCACTTTCCATACAGTCCACGGGTCTTTTTCCTATCGAAACCAATCGTGATTTTCGGCGCTCTCGTCTTGTGCATGCCATGACGGATTCCTAATTTCTCGCACATGGATAACTGTAGCCTCACCGGCGGGCGAGATCCCCTGATTTATATGGGAAGATGTAAGGACATATATAGATGGTGGAAATCAAATATGTGGCGCAAAACCACAATAAAGAAATTTGTCAAAGAAGTGTGATATTCGTGTGCCAGGACCAGTTAGTTGCCATTATGGACATCGAAACTTGCCCTATACACAATTCTCGTGTTATTTGAGATTCTGCCTAGTCGATGAAGCGAACTCTACCTTAGAAGGAAACTGAATGATTGGACATCGAGTATTGTACAGGTTATGTACTGTGGTTGTGCACCACTTGGAAGTGGCATACCACGGTAGGCGAATATAACGTTTGGCGTATGATGGCACGAGAAGGTATTTGCAATCCTCTTTGGGCAGCAACAACTGTGGAATTATTGCTGCATTGCATAATTGCTATATAGACCATTAATCGCAACTTTTTGTCATCAATCCACATAGGCACTTTGGCGGAGTGGTTAACGCGCGGGCCTGCTAAGCCCGTTCCTTCGGGAGCGTGAGTTCGAATCTCACAGGTGTCGCATAACAACCCGAATCCTTTTTTACCATCAGATTGAACCCGAATTCTTTTTGCACATGCAAGTCATCAGTAGCTTTCAGGTGGTCGCTTTTTTTTATACCATTTCTTTTGCGCAGTGGACATCAGTCCTTTTTGTGGAGGGGGCTGTTCAACGAAGGAAATGGATTCGTCTACAGTCATGGCTCATAAGATATATCTATGGAGGGTATTGAAATGAACACAGCGAGAGAAGCCCATCAGTCGCTACCGCAGATGCAATGCCCTCATCCCCTATCCATTCCGCAACTCGCCTTCCCTCCGCCCAGTCAATTCTGCGGCGCATATTTCATCTGCGCCGGCGCCGTATACACTTCGGCACTCGCCGGACCCGCCCACCTCCTCGAACTCTCCTCCCTCCCTCTAACCTCCCTCTCATTCTGAATCGCCACGCAACAGCAACAACAACACCCCTTCAAGATATCACTTCCCAACCCTCCCTTGACCTTGTACAAATGCCGAATGCGTGTGCGCTGCAGCATGGGAAACAACCACCACAGACCGCACGACACGCTCATGAGGAGACAGTGGCCGTTAACCGCTTTGTAGCCGAGCATATCCGTGGGGTCCTTTTTGTCCGATTTGCGAGACAGGCGGTACGAGGTGCGGCCGTAGAGGACGCAGGGGCAGAAGAGGCCCGTTAGGCAGGTTCCGATGTCGCTTGTGCATTCGCAGAGGGAGTGCTTGAATTCGTGGGTGGAGCCTTTCTGGGCGATGTCCATGTTGGGATGGGCGATTTGGCCGGGCTGGTGGAGGGCGAAGTCCAGTCCATTGGGGCCGTGGGCGGCGTGGGGAGAGAAGACGGCGTGTGAGGGCGTGGTGGGGAAGCCGTGCGGAGAGTAGGGCTCTGCGGGGAATGATTTGCGGTTGTTTTGGTGCTGGGAGAGGTTGCCGTCGTTGATGATGGGGCCGGCGGAGATTGGGGATATGGGAGTTTTGTAGGGGAGGGGATCGGCTTCGGTTTGGTGGGTTTGCGGGATCATGGGAACGGGGGGAGCGTTGTGCGGGCGGAGGTTCGTGTCCAGTGGAGATAGATAGCTGAGCTTTCTGGCGTGGTTGGTTTGCGGATCCGCCCTAGTGTGGGTAGGAATGGAATCCGCGGAGAACGACGGCGCATGTCCATCGTCATGAGGTGACGCTGGAGATGGTGGCGATATTGGCCTGGTTTCTGCTGGTTGAATTGGTGCGCTGGCTTGAACGGATGCGCCTGGTAGAGGTGGATGGCTGAGCGATGACGAGTGGTAGGGATCGCGGAGTTCAATGGGTGTTTGGGCGTAGGAGAAGGCTCGATTGTGCGAAGTCTGAGCTGTTTCAATGTGCGGCAAAGGCTGTTGGGGTGGCTCGTAAGGCGGCGCCTCTTCCTCTGGAACTGCCGTTTGCCATGAAAAGCGTTGGTGGTGCCGCTCATGGCCTGGTTGGAGATGTTGATGTCCATGTCCGTTGTTGGGGTACCTAGAATCCATTTCTCTGTCGTCAAGTTGGGAGTATCAATCGTTGGATCCGGGTAACAGCTTTGGCTCCTTTTGACGGTTTTGCGTTGAGCTGAAATGGTTGGGTCGTCTTCTATGTGTATCGCCTTGCACTCAGCACCCGTCAGCAGGTGTTTCAATCAACATGCAGCTACCCAAGGTGGTCTCTATATTGGCAGCGAATACGTCGTCGCCTCCGTGACGACTAAAGGTATTGTCCGAGGATATCAGGGCGTAGAGAAGCGAGCGTATTTGTTAGTGAAAATGCCCCAGGACTCCAGCCGGATTTATCACATCGCGACAAAGGCGACAGCGCCCGCGCCTCTGGACGGCCCTGGTGGTGGCCCGCAGCGGATTCGCAGACTTGTTGCTTTCTGGACATGTTTTTAGCTCGACGTGCATGGCGGCGCACTGCAGACTGGCATCGAGCCTCCAATTGCGGAGGGTGAAAGGTGTGACAACGTGGTGGGGGTCTCGCGAATTCCATCCCCGGCGCTTAACGCCTTCGAACAGGGGCCGTGAGTGGCTCCTCCGTGAAACTGCGGGTACCAATCAGCTCTGCTTACGACGGAATTGTTCCTTTCGCTCTGGATCAGATGGGAATAATAAATCCTCCGAACCGCTGTCATGTGCTGACTATAAAGAGGGTGATGGCGCAGGCCTCTTGATAAGTCCAATAGTCTATTTATTCCTTAACCTAGCTCGCTCTTTCAACTACAAATCATTGTAATGGTCAAGCATGTACTCCGTAAGGATATTTGGATTGCTGTGATGGAGAACAGGGACTACTATGCATGAGATTACCGGTCGTGCGCACTGTACACATTTTCGAGCACGCCAATCTGGAGTTGAGAAGGTCTGCTGAGCCAGACAAATCGTCGTCACCTCTACGCATTCTTGTCCACCTCCGTCTTGCCCTGCTCCTCCTTGTTCTCGGCCTAGGAAAAGATTAGTTTGAGACCACACTCCTCAAAGCGGACTTCCACACTCACCGGGGGTCTTTCCGGAGAGACAGTACCCTTGAGTTTGGCCGTCTCCGCAGCACCTTCTCCCTTCTTGCTTTTATCCTCGCTGCCAGTAACATCCTGCCCCGGGGGGTGGTGAGCATCCTGGTTGGAGTACGTGGCATCCTGCTTTCCAGATTGCTCGTTCGTGCTCGCGGGCTCTTTGCTGGGATGGGGCTGCACCAGTTAGCACGAAGCCGCCCCGAGAAACCCCTTTGCACCAACCTTGTCGGTATCAGAAGGCTTCTTCGTCGCCTCGCCCACCTCCTCCTTTTCCTCCTTGGGAGTCTCCTCCTCCTTCTCCTCAGCCGCCGGCTCCTCTTTCTCTTCCTTGGCCTCCTCAACAGCAGGAGCCTCCTCTTCGTGGCCCGCCTTGATCTTGTCATGGGGGTCATGGTGCTGGCCATGGCCTCCGTGGCCTTCCCCATGGCTGGTATCCTGGCTCATCACGAGATACAGGCCACCCGCTGTGGCAGCGACGGCTCCGATCATCCTAGCCGGTATCAGTAGCAGCCTCAGCAGAACCATTGGGCGTCGGTGATAGTAAGGCTGGCCCATCGAGCAATGCTTACCAGGGCATGTCGCTCTGCTTTGATAGTCCGGATGAGCTGAGTCGGGACGCATATGTCCTCTTCTGAAGCATTCGTTGCCCTGGCTGGAACTCGGCAGCGCGGATGTGTCTCGCGGGACGAGCATAACGGGCGAAGGTCGATGCGCGAAGCGCCGTAGGTCGAGGGAGAACCATGGTGAAGCTTACGAGATGTCAATTGACCAGACGAGGAGGCAATTGAATGACCGGTTGATGGAGAAGGCCGGGAACCGGAAGATCAGTTTACTCTGGCTGGGCGATGTCGTCAGTGGAAAGACCTCTGAGCTTAGTAACCAAGTTTTTGGCCCAAGCTCCTCCCGCACGTGATGGTCACCTTGCGGCGCATGGGTTCCTTCGAGGCGGAAGCTCAGGCAGCACAACTCCTCGTCACTCTCTCCTTCAACTTGATTTTACACTTCTGCCTTATATTTCTGCGAGGAGAAGGGTTGTCTCGAGGTCCTGCGCCCTCACCCCCTCCGCCGTAGTCGCTTGCTATTACAGCCCCGCCAATTGCCCCTCCGCATACACGATTCCCTACTGTTTCCTTGTGCCGCCGTACAACGCCAATCTTTGAGCACCATGGCAGCCGCTGCCTCACGTCATGGACGAAACACGGCAATTCTTCCTCCCCCTACCCCTCAGAATGTCGGGGCGCTCCTCGCAAAGATACACGACAATGATCCCGACTATCGGTTCATGGCTCTGAGCGATCTACGAGACCTACTAGAGGCTGGCCAACCGGGCTTTCTTTCCGATCAGCCCCAGATATGTGCTCGGACTGTCGATGGTCTGGTGCGGACCCTAGCCGATAACAATGGCGAAGTGCAAAACATGGCGCTCAAGTGCCTTGGGCCTTTCGTCAATAAGATACCTGAAAGCATTCTGGCTCCCATGATCGAACGTCTGTCAAATATCGAAACAGGGAACGCAGTCGATCAGTCGATACCCGCGCTTTCGCTTCGTGAGGTTGTAGTGTCCCTCCCTCGCCCAGTTTCCGGCATGGTTCGGTCGAAGGCAGTACACGAAGCATACACTGCAATCAGCAAAGTCCTGATACCGCGGCTTGTTGGCTACAATGTCATCTCTCCATCCCAGAAGAACCTCCCTCGTGTCCCTAAAGGGATGCTGGAATCAGATCTTGAAAAAGGGACTGATAGTAATGCTATCGATGTCCTGACGGAGGTTGCTCGGTGTTTCGGGCCCCTATTACAGGACGTTGAAATCCAGGCGCTGCAGAAGATCACCTTAGAGATATTGGAGAAAGACCGCACAAGCTCCATGATGAAAAAGAAGGCCGTCACGGCCCTGGCTGCACTTTCCATACACTTCCCGGACCAGTTATTGAGCTCCTTGCTCTCGCGAATCATCGAACATCTAAGAGACGTGCATGTGACCAGGAGCCAGCGGAAAATCTACATGACTGTGTTGGGCTCGATGGCACGCTCTATCCCGAGGAAGTTTGGCCCGTATCTGAAGACACTGGCGCCTTTCGTTTTTGGGTGTCTCAGCTCGGAAGAGGCTGCTGAAACCATGGACCTGTCTGACGATGAAGAGGGGCGCGATCCAGAAGTTGATGAAGTCCTAGAAGCGGGGTTGATAGCCCTGGACGCCTTTCTTGCTTCGTGCTCCCAGGATATGCGAATGTATACCAAGGAAACCATTGAAGCTGCAACCCGGCTGCTAAAGTACGACCCGAACCTTGCCAACGACGATGACGACGATGAAGAAGCTGTGGAAGAGGAGAACGAAGACGAGCTTCTTGAAGATGAGGATTTCGAGGAAGAGACCGGGTATGACGATGACGAGGACGCAAGCTGGAAGATCCGCCGATGTGCGGCCAAAGTTCTCTATACTCTCATCTCAACCCGAGGCCATGGTGATCTCCTGGACGACGGAACTCTATATGACCGAGTAGCGCCTGCACTTGTTAGCCGTTTCAAAGAACGGGAAGAGAACGTACGTGTCGAAATAATTTCCGCCCTCGCAAAACTGGTCAGCGTCTCCGGTGACGGTCCCACACCGGTGCTGGGTTTACCTGATGAGCAAACCCAAGGGACAATGGCCCCGCCCCCGAGCCGTAAGCGTCGCCGTGGTGGCAGTGATGCGAGCATGTTCGACCTCCAGGCTCACTCTTCATTGTCGCTGGGCTATTCTTCTCCAGCGCCCGCAGTGACCCCGCCTGTGGGACCTCGGGCCAGTCTTGCTAAACTGGTCCCTGACATCATCACTGCAGTTGCTCAACTGCTCAGGGGAACCTCTCCACCAGCAACCAAGGAGGCGGCAATCATTTTGACCAAGGATGTCGTGGTTGTCCAACGCGGAGGTATCGATACATTCCTTGACCAGATAATGGAGCCCGTGCTGGACATTGCAAAGCTTAATATTCAGGGATCGATTGGCAGTGCATCTGCCTCTGCCAACAGTCTACGGATACAGGCCTTGCAACTCATCGGCGCCATTGCAGACACGCACTCCTCTGCGAATATACAGCCCTACCTACCACAGACGATACCGGCCTTACTCGCCGGCATCCGAGACAAGTACAGCAAACTCTCGATTGAAGCTCTCGCCGCCTCCGAGCAGATCATAAAGGCTCTGACCCCTCCTCGTTCCGCTTCTTCTGGGTCTCAGAATCAGCAATATCTGGACGATCTGGCGGAATCGCTTCTGACCGCGATCCGTTCCAATGAGTTGGAACTAGACGTACGAAAAACGGCTATCCATGTCCTAGGTCTCCTCCTTGGCCGCAGTTCTGGGACTCAGGGTCTTTTATCTCCACAGAAACGAGCGGAGGGTTTGGTTGTCTTGGCCGATCGGCTGAGGAATGAACTCACACGTCTCGCCTGTACGCGCGCAATTGACACCATAGTCGCACTTGCCAAGCCCCCAGCCGATTTCACAGAGATATGGGTACGTATGGTCGCCCTTGAGCTAGGCGCCCAGCTGCGTAAGGCAAGTCGTGTACTCCGCGGCGCTAGTTTGACAGCTCTACGGGCCATTTGTTTAAATCCGGCCACCCGTCAGCAATTAGACCGCCAGAGCAGAACAGAGATTGTTGGGTTACTACTGCCACTCCTCGATCCTGCTGACTTGCATCTTCTCGGCCCTGCGCTGATTATTCTTGCAACCTTTGCCAAAGACGACGCAGGTCCTGTAGCAACGCCTGAGCTTAATGAGGCACTCTGCCGTGTTGTATGCGGTTCGGTCAGCGGCAGCTCCCTAGAGGCTCTGCTGGTACTCGTTCGCACCCTTGGAGAGAAAGGTGTGGGCTCTGCGCTAATGCAAGCATTGCTGAAAACTGTTGGCATTTCTGGCAACCCCGATGTGGTCGGAAAAGTCGAGGGCAATCTTCTGGTCTACGGCGGCCAAAGTATCGGTGTTACAATGGAACAGTTCGTTACTGAGCTTCAAACGACGAACGATAATCGGCGCAGATGTCTGGCTTTAGCCGTGCTTGGAGAGGCTGCCCTCCGTTTGGGAACTCAGTCCACCCTGCGTCCACAACTCTTCATGGACTTCTTCAACGCCACAAATCAAGAAGTTCCCCTTGCGGCTGCTGTGGCTCTGGGACGAGCTGGTGCCGGTAATGTGTCCGAATACCTCCCAGTCATTCTCTCAACAATGGGCAAGTCTTCGAGCCCACAGTATCTCCTATTGCATTCAATCAAGGAGATACTTCAACAGGAAGGGACCGAATCAGATATTATACCATTCGCTGAGCCATTGTGGCAGAGTCTCATTGCGGCATCACAAGCGGAAGACAACAAGGCCATCGGTGCCGAGTGCATAGGACGCCTCGCCATCATCGACCCCAAGACTTACCTTCCGCAGCTTCAGGTGCGTAGACCAAGCCGCTTACTTCCGGTAGCACGTAAAGCTGACAAATATAGTCGTTCCTCAGTGACCGGAAGAGTAGCGTGCGTGGGATGGTCATATCGGCGCTTCGATTTACGCTTTCAGACACCGACGAATCCTATGACGACTATCTCAAACCGACTGTTATCCCCATGCTTGTCCAGATGCTCAGTGAGCCGGATCTTGAGAACCGCCGATTAGCCTTGACAACTTTCAACTCTGCCATGCATAACAAGCCCCATATCATCCTGCCTGCCCTGGATCAGCTGCTGCCTCTGGCTATGAAAGAGACACAGATCAAGCCCGAGTTGATTCGGGAAGTTCCGATGGGTCCGTTCAAGATGAAGGTCGACGAGGGTCTCGAACTTCGTAAAAGCGCTTATGAGACCCTGTACTCATTGCTCGAGTCAGCTTTCCCGCAGATGTCGGCGACCGACGTTTCGGACTGTTTCGACCGGGTGGTTGCCGGAATCGGCGACGAGAACGACATTCGAATTATCTGCAACCTCATGCTGTTGAAACTCATGGTCCTCGCCCCCGATCAGACGCATTCGCGCCTTCACTCAATTGCAGAGAATTTCCGTGCTGTCCTCTCCACTAAGCCTAAGGAGAACGCCGTCAAGCAAGAGATTGAGAAGCAGAACGAGGTCGACAAGAGTGTGCTCAAGGTGTCGATCCAGCTCAACAAGCGCCTAGGTTCCGACAGCGGTGCACACGAGGACTCCCAAATCCGGGCTTGGAATGAGTATTGGAAGTGGATCAATACTGACTTACAAAACTTGATGAAAGCTGTTCAGGACGAGGTTAAGGAGAGGGACACGTAGGTATTGGGCACTTCTTGGGCACTTCTTGTGGAGTTGACCTGTTCTTGGGTCATGATCTTCTCAATCAAAACTGACCATGAAGCGTGCATGCGCTTTGTGGCATGGTCAGGGACTTAGGGACTTGGATGGGGAAGGTCAAAGGAGGATCTTGAAGCAGTTCTGTCCCAACGTAACGTCACCTGAGGGACAAACTCGACTCCGATCATGGTGTATGCAGCTCCTGATAGAGCCATGAATGAAGGATAAATCACCGGACTGAACATTGCAAGAGCTTGTATGCCGTGCAAGGTCCTTCTATGGTCGGTATTCTATCGTGATGTTTGTCCATGAGGATAATCACCTCTGACCGCCCGCACGAACAAACCATCTTTTCCCTCTGAACATGCTCACTATCCAACACCGTCACGCAGCCAATCCTTCAAACACACTCATCCTCCTCTGCTAAGCCAAGTGCACACCACTCGTACACTCCAACCCACACTCCCCGCAAACCCACCACCTCAACGCACCCCTCACATCCTTCTTACACATTACACAGCTGTTCATCCCCTCCCTCGCCTCCGGATGCATCAACTCCCACATCGCCCTCCTATCCCACTTCTTCGTCAGTTCCCGATCATTGAGTGTGTTGCACTGCCTACACACATGTCTACGCTCTTGAGTATTCTCAGTTTCTAGATACTCTGCACGGTACAGATAATCCCATAGCCATTGTAGACGCGAAGGCTCGGGATGGCATTCACACGTAGTCGCCATGAGCTCATTCCCGTCATACGTGTGCGGATCTCGGTGGATGTGCGTGATGTAGCATCCATGGCAGTAGGGCCTGCAGCTCTCGAGGTGGAATGGAAGGGGTGATTGGCGGATAGGAGTGAATGTGCAGCAGGACGTGCAGCAGGGGATGTCGCACAGAAAGCAGCGGATGCGGCCTGTCCTTTCGTCCGGGTGGCAGGTGTACCGGATGTAGTGATCTGGGGGAAGGCGGTGGAGGGCGGCGTGGCGCACGTGGCGGGACGCGAGGGTTAGGTTGCGGAAGTCGGAGTAGTGGAGGTTGGCTGCGATGAGGAGGAGGATGTCGTAGGTGGAGAGGAGGGAGGCTAATGGTGGTTTTGGCGTGTTGGGGAGTGGCGTGAGATCGAGAAGTTCGGTCGCGGCATTGGCAGGACGTTTTTGTGCTTCGGCGCGCTGTGCCAAACGCTGATATATCTTGAGAGCGAGGCGCGGAGGGTAGCGCAGGAGTGCCTGGACATCCCTATGGACGATGGTGCGGAATAGAACAAGTGGGAAGTAGTAGATCGGTAGTGCGAAGATCCAGAATATCCACCTCGGTACTTGAACGATGTGGACGGCAAAGCGGAGGAAGTTCCCCTCTATGTCGTAGTATACACATGACCAGCCAAGTTCAAATCCGGAAAACACAAGGATAAGATTCCAGATGTGGATGGCAAGATAAACGATGCCTGTGGCCGCCATGAAGGCATAGACGGTGGAGATGCTTATGCCGTATCGGTATTGGATTGCATAACTTTTGCAAATTTCGTGGAAGTTGTCTTGGTTCGAGGCAACTCCTGCAACATGACTGGAGAAGCTCGGCTTAAGTAATGGAAGATTGGCCCTGTATTCCACGATTCCAGGCTCGCTGCAGGAACGGGGATTGAGGGGAGCATACTTGGATTGGAGGTAAGTGGTGCGGATAAGTTGGACTGAGACAAAAAGGTCGATAAAACCCGTTGCAAAGGAGAATGATGGGGTGAAGGACAACGTGAGGATGAGGGCGACGAGAGTCCACCAGAAACGGAAAGTCCCCTACGTATATTAGGTGCTGGCCATTAAGTCGCTGAGATAGCTTTCGGGAAAGCGCAAAGAGTAAGTAGAATCGGCTTGCCATTGTTTCGTGCACCGCTGCCCTATAACAATCGATGCATTGTAGATCCCAAACCCATGTCTGCTAATAGCGTCGCAGATATCGTTCTTGAGGATCTCTCCGAATGATCTGTAGATACCGAAGGGTATAATGACGCCAACTCGTAGGACAGTGGGAAAGTATAGGAAAAGTTCTGCATGAATGTGAGCTCTATCAATCCCGATGGAAAAGGTTCCAAAATACCTGGAATCTTCTCACAGTTAGACAACCAGATCATCACCTTGTTGGACACTCCCATAACCGGGACCCGGTGCTTTAACAGTACATGAAGCTCTCGGTGCTTACAGAGAACTTCGGTGCTTACATAGAACTCCGCAAAGTAGAGTGGGCCGAGACAGCAGCGAGGAAAGCCGATATATAAGCCCAGGGAGCCGGAAAGTCTGGAGGGAGCTCAGAGGCACTGGCACAAAGCGCCTGTATGTAGCTCATGTATAGAAGTATAGAAGGATGATGGGAACGGTGAAAAATCATCTTCTCAGGCTAGAGGGTCCGACCGTGGTACGAGGTGCGAGCTTGCCCAGGGTGCTGTATCAGCCCCGTAAAAGTGACCGAAGGCCCACCCAGGCAGCACACTGGAGATATAAACATTTATCCTAGCTTGTGACATCGTGGCTATTACATCTCGCTGTGTGTAGGATAGAAGCCAACCTTGCGTATGGCTCGATGTTGTCTCACGGGATGAGCTCATTGGCATAGCGAAATCGGCACCCGCCGTACAGCAATCGGCCAGACTCATTTCTCGCACTGCAAGCGGTGGACGGGCTACAGGAGAGCGAGTATGAAGATTTTGAAATGGTGGAGCTATATGCATCTCTGGTCTGTGGATGGAGGTGCAATTCGGCCTACCAAATGCGGTTGGCCGCTTGGCACAAGCCTCACCACAGCAACGCCATGGTTTGTGTCATTCGCCAATGCCATCATCGCTCCCACCTGGCCCGATCCCGCAAGCTTCAACGGCCATCCATCTTGAGGCCCACAAAAGTCCCAAAGTTGTGCCTGCATCTCCACATTCCAAAGGCTCCGATTCCCCATTAGATATTCCACGTGCCTTCACGCGGTACTTCCAAGGTTGGTACTTACTTGGCCATCTCTACGCGACACAGTGCCTGCCTATTCGGATCAGCTGCTCACCGCCTTTCGAGGCACAACAATCTTCACAGGGCTTCCATCCCAAGCCCTTTACAACATAACCATGGAGGCGCTGCTGTCGCTCGCCTTTGACAATATCGCATCCAAGGACACCCAGAAGATTAGAAAGGGACTGCGCCAGATCGAGGGCATGCTGGCGCAGATATGCCTGGCTAGCGGGCGATCGAAACCATCAACGCCGGCGCATCGGCGTAATGCATCGGCGATAAACCTGAGCGAACAACCTCAGCATGCGCCGAAGAAGCTGGGGGCGTTGAGTGAGGATCTTGCTTTCCGGGAGTTCTTCCGGTTGCAGGAGGGGTTTGAGTGGAATGGTAGAGTCTCCATGCACATGTGTGAAGCCGCTGTCTAACTTGACCATCAGTCGCGATGCGCGTAGCCGACTGCTTGGAACGGCTTCTGGGAATGCACAGTGGTAGGATACGTGCTCCTTGCCGGCCGACCATGCTGACTATGTCTCAGACGGCCAAAACGATCTCCTCATACTCTCTGCATTATCGAACCTACAAGGCCTCCTCCTCCTGCATCCGCCCTCCCGAACCATATTCGGCCGCGAAGTGTACATGAACCTACTCCTGGACCTTCTCGACCCCTACAACTGCCCGGCGATACAATCTGCCGCCTTGCTCGTGCTCGTCACGGCACTCCTCGCGACGCCGCAGAATACACGAACCTTTGAAAACATGGACGGATTGCTTACAGTAACGACATTATTCAAGGACGAGGAAACTACACAGAGCGTGAAGCTGAAGCTCCTCGAGTTCCTTTACTTCTACCTGATGCCAGAAGCACCAGTCCCTGCCGTTAGCGCACCAAACACGGCCATGGGCCTTCACCGGAGTCCCAGCAAACTCGTAGGCGCATTCGACCGGCGGAGTAGCACCGTGAGCGGAGACGACGGTGGAGGCCCGACGAGGAAGGGGATCCGCAGCCAAGAGGAGAAGCAGCATATGCTGGGACAGTACCTGAGCAATGTTGATGCTCTGGTGCAGGACTTGCAAGAAACGGCGCCGTTTACAAGCGTTTCCTGCTGAGAAACCCACCACTTCAGCTGGTTCATGGATCTTCCGACTCATCCTGGTATTCCGACGACATTCCTCCCTATGCATAAGTTTTTTTTTTTTTTTTTTTTTTTTTTTTTTTTTTTTTTTTTTTCTTTTTTTTTTTTTTTTTTTTTTTTTTTTTTTTTTTTTTTGGTTTATGCTCTGTCAGCGCCACGAATGTTTTCCAGATTTCGCCGTTGCATTGATACCAGCAAGCGTGGTGTTTCGGGGTCTCGAAAGCAGGGGTAATGGTTAATGTCTGCGCTGCTCCCTGGGAGAGGTCAATTTCTGGAGGTTCGTCTTTGCACTGGTTCACTGTCAGTACACATTTTTCTTCGGCGCGGAGAGTCCTCTCCTGCCGGTATGGAGTAGTGCTGCGGCCGGCGCACTTGTATTATCATTAGTATGTTTCTTTGGACACGGTCAATCTTAGCGACGGGCTGTTATCAGTGGCAACTTCAAGATGATGTCTGGAACGGAGGCGCGCTCCTGTCTCGCATGCTGATGCGTTATGTCGTTTGATGTCACCCTGGGCATTAAACAGTGGTGTCATCGATTTTATCACCAGTCCGCTGGTACTGTTGTTCCACAGTATTGTATTGACGCGCCCCGGCGGTCTACTGGAGTCAATCGAGGTAAGGGTATTGTCGACATCCAACGGCCGTCGTTGTGAGCCTTTCTTCAAGCAAGCCCCCATGGTATGCCTCAAGCATCTCATCATGGCTTTGAACCTGGCGGCGCCTCGCCAAGGACGTCTATCAGATTTTCCAGGCAGTTAGACTACCAATCATACAGCGCCAAAGAAAAAGACGCGGAAGACGGACGTATTTCCAGACCGAACCTTGGAAACGAGGGAAACACGTCAGCCGAGCAGCCCTGAAGATTTCCATCCTTTCCCGAAAAGGTAAAGCGCGGCTGAGCGGTAAGCCACCAGGCGCCGTGTGTCGCGTGCCACTTCTCCCGTCCCATTGACACTTCACCACCTTTCAACGTTCGAAGGGGAGCATGACCATGACCATGGCAGCCTCAGTGGCCCTACTATTCAGTACGGGTTACCGCGAACAAACCCACCGTCATCGGGCAGCAATTCAAAACAAAGAATATGATGCGGTTTTCCATTTGTTACTGCGTTGGCAAGCTAAGCTGGAAGGCGCATACGACTGATATCGATATGAATTGGTGAGGTCATCGGGATGGGGTTCATCAAACTGGGAAGGCTGGAATACGGACCAGGGAAAACCGCCCACCAATACCATGCCGTGGTCCCAATCAAGGTCCCACAATGAGCCGCAACGCGAAGGCGGAAGATAGGACAAGCCGTCGTCCGAGAGGTCGATCCAAGACCTCTTGGTACCTTTGGCCATCTGATTTCTCATCCGACTAGTCTACCCGTCCCCCGAGCGGGCGAATTGCGTCGCCGAATCCCATTGCTTTTACCTGCGGTCCCTCCTGCTCTGATGGGCCTGGGTTCTTCACTAACCGCTAGGTTCCCGCGAGTTTTCTGAACCACGTCACTCTCTGCCTTGTTGCCTTATCACTTTCCCTTGAGTTCCGTGACCTTTATTGACAACATCTCTTTCATCGAGACGGCCGGCAGCAGACTCGGAGGACACCAGCATACTACTGTGTACACAGTATTGCCTATTAGCTCGACCAGGGTAGCTCTGCAGATCTCTAGGTAGTCGCCTTGTTGGATAGAGTACCTACGGCACATCGTCCCACCTCAGCGCCCGACCACTCACTCTTCGTTTCCATTTACCGTCGACTTCGCTGTTTCCCCTACGGTCCCCTACGGTCCCCTACCTATATCACAGTCATACGGCACCATGGGCGTGGGCGCTTTCCTAGAACCCCTCGTAGTCTTGACGCTTCTCTTCGGCGGTACCTGGGTGAACAGAAACACACAATACCGCATCTTCGATCGCAGACGACCGCGCTCCCCTTCTCCTCGCTCAGCCTCTCCAGACTCGGTTGAATCCGGGTTGTCTAGTCCACGCCCAAGTACATCATTGTTGGACGGTTATCGCGCCTCTTCGCCTTCACTTCTCACGCCTCAAGAACCCCACTGGAGGACGCGGGAGATCAGGATACTGGGTTTCAGGAAGGAGGTCGTCAGTCCGAATACCAGGAGATTCCAAGGGTATTTCTTGAGTCGCGTACTTCAACGATTTCCATTCTTAGTCGAGGCGTGGTATTGGGCGTTGATCTATTGGGTATGTCGTCCTGCGCTATCGGGGGTTGTGTCTGCCTGCTAATCCAACTTTAGGTATACCAATTAGGCCGCGCATTCACAGCTGTGACCCTCGTTGAGGGTACCGTTGATGTCGCCCGCAAGCATGCTCTGCAGATCATCCACCTCGAAAAGCGCCTCCACATCTTCTGGGAATTGCCCATCCAGCACTGGTTCCTAAACCACCCTACCGTCCTGCGTTGGACCAACCGCATCTATTCCTTCATTCACATTCCTGGCACCATTCTCTTCCTCGTCTGGCTGTATTACTACACCACCACCCGGAACCGCCTCGACCTTCCACTCCCAAACAAACCCACTGGTGAGGCCGATGGCTCGCCTGCCGGTCCTAAGTTGTACGCCGCACGCCGACGAACAATGGCTGTTTGCAACCTTCTCGCTTTCATCGTCTTCACCCTCTGGCCCTGCATGCCTCCTCGGCTGCTTTCCGACCCTGACGTGCCCGGCCCCATTGGAGAAGAAGCCCGCTCGTACGGCTTCGTGGACACCGTTCACGGCGCCGAAGGCGAAAGCAGCGTCTGGACTCAGAACAGGTTCTGTAATCAGTATGCTGCAATGCCCTCGTTGCACTTCGGTTACTCCCTGCTCATCGGCTTGACCATCTGCCTTATCCCTCTGGCCCCTCAGCACCAGCGCTCCCGCACTCTCTCCCTTGGCATCTCGAAGGGCAAAACCCTGAGACTCCGGATGCCCTCCGTTCGGCGGCTGATCTGTCTGTTCGTTGGCATCGCGTACCCCGCAACAATTCTGATTGCAATCATTGCCACCGCGAACCACTTCATTCTCGATGCTGTGGCCGGTGCGATTGTCTGCGGATTGGCGTGGATGAGCAACCGCATGTTGCTGAATCTGCTGCCGTTGGAGGATTACTTTCTGTGGCTGGTAAAGATTCATAAGCCCGAGCGGAGGGTTGCACAGATTGAGGGGGATGAGGAGGATGATTGGGAGGACGGTATCGGAACTGGTTTTGCTGGCAAGGGCACCGCTGTGCATTAATCGCGAATTGGCAATCAATGAGATGGATTAAAGGATGCCGGGACTCGAGGAGGAGCGGAATAGGAGCTTCCTGGATTCGAAGCTTCCTGGCTTCGAAAAGTGGAGTGGTCTCTCCCTCAGGCTACCCGAACCAGTCCAGCTTTTCAAAGTTTCCGCCTCCAGACCCTGACCAGGATTTCCAGGAACCGCGGATCGCAGAGTCTGAGCTCCTTCCAATCACCATCTCCTCGAAGCGATAATGTCGCTCATAAGACAAGCGCTATCTTGCCTGGAGTTTCTCATACGCTCAGATGCCCCGCACGCTGTCCTCCGACTTTATGGACGTCGCGTCGCCTCTGTGGACGACCTAATACCTCTCTCCTCCTCCAAACACCCTGATGAGCATACCCACTCTTGGCTCAGTCCCCCTGGCTTTCCACTTGTTCGGATCTGGTGTTGGGACTTCTTGGTTGACTTTTGTTACGTACATTGTTTATCCTCAAGACTTGGCTTTGGACCGGAGCCTTTGTTGGTTCATATGGCCTCGGTCGACTGGCAACAGAAGCGGCATAGCGGTGTTGAGTTTACGATACAAACGGATTGCGGGTATGGCATTGATCAAGGTAATTGATGGGCGAGGAAGTGCTGTAACGATAAATGCTATGGGTAATGGATAATGGTTCGTCTCTGTGAGCCTCCTCGTCTTTTTGCTTTCTCGTAGTGTGGCTGTGAGGGGGATTGTTGCTGGGTGAGCGGGTCGATGATGTGCATATGTGTGCTTTTGTTAATAGCTCTAGGGCAGTAAACTGGTCACCTACTGTGTACAGCTTATGTAAGAGGCAAGGTGCGGCTCGCTGGGGGTACGATGTTATTAAGGGTGGTTTGGTGTATACGGTGTGGCACGGTGCGGTGGCTGGTACTAGGGTTACACCGATTCCGGACTAGGCCGAATATGGTTATGCATTGAGTGTATTATGTTCAAGTTATGAATGTCCAAGCTACCTAGGGCTTCGATGATAATCTGTAGTAGATGGAGGATGTACTATTGGGTATAGGCGCAAATGTGACGGTGCGTTAGAGATGGTGCTCGTACTGTTAAGACACGGTGCCTAAGTCTTAGGCTCTGGCGCGGAGGTAGGAGCTAGTACCAGAACGAGTGCGTGTAAACGTATGCGATGATGAAGATGTCCGGCGTAGCCCCGATGTTGTAACGGTTCCCACCGTTGCATCGTTCACACCCAGTGGATTCGCTACCCATATAAGACACGGCTAGGCGGCCACTTCGTAGGATACCCTTCGTGTCGGCTTGAGTACGACCTAACCGATCGTGGTGGAGGAGAGTGAGACGAAAAGGTGCGCATTTTCTGGTGTCTTCCATAAGCTGTGATGGAGTTGTCTCCGGAACCTTCTGATGCTACAGTGTACGGTGGTAAGGCTAAGGAAGCTAGGCTGCTCGGTGACGTTGGCTGCTGTTGATGATTGAAAGCTTCCGAACGGTTGGGCAACTCGTAGAGACGGCCAAAGGGTTGAAAGGGGATGGATAATGTGCTTTCACATCTAGAGCTTTGCGTAGACTGCGGATTAGGGATTTCTGAGAGCGTGATACTCAGAACATGGACAATATGCTGGAAGGGGAGTTTGAACATACGATGATGGGAGGGTGATGGAACAATGAGATCAAGCGCAGTACCAAATGCTACATCGTCACAGCGCCATCATAGAGTGGCAATAAGAGTATATAAGCGTGAAATCCGCCCTTTTCCTTCCTCACTCCTACATCCCACTTTTATACGGACACATTTCCTTGCCAGCTACAAACCTGTCTCCATATCTAAAAGGGACTCTCACACGAAGCTACCTCGACTTCAAGACATTATATATCCCTACATTATTTGATAATCTACCCGTCTTTGACGGAAAGGAAATCAAAATGGTGGAAGGATTTCTCCTCAGTGGCCCATCCAAGTCCCGCTATGGCGACCGCATTTGGGCAGATCTCGACCACACACTGGACGACAATGTCCGCGCCTATTCATCAAATACCGACGATTCTCATCAAATACCTACGGCGGACATTGGTGCCCTTAATTCGCTCCCCCCCGAGCTTCATCACAAAATCCTCGGCCATCTGGACATCCGCAGCCTTAAAAACTTCAAGCTCGTAAACCGCCAAACCTCCTCCATTGTAGACTCCTGCCTTCTATACCAAGAACTCAAGGAAAGCGCACCAAATGTGATTTGTGGAATCCTATCCACCAAATCAGAGCATTGCACGCCGATTAATATCCTCTACCAAAAACTCTGCACTCCAACCTGCGACCGCTGCTGGGGCGAAAACGGCGCCTACTTCCATCTCCTCACCCAACAACGCCTCTGCCACCGCTGCCTATTCCGCTACTTCTCCTACATCCCCCTTACAAAAGCCGACGCCATACTCAAATTCGGCCTCGAGCCAAAAGTCGTAGATTCCCTTCCCTGCATTCGCAGCCACCCAGGCAAATACGGCAACCCAAAATGCCTGCATCGCGCATTCCTGCTCCAACGACCGCAGGATCTGGTCGATCAAGCAGCGGCCTACGACGCCGCGATCGCGCTCCACGGGTCCCGACAAGCGGTTGAGCAATTCGTGGGCGATTTACGGGAGCGGGGCCTGTTGAAGCGGAACTATATGGGTGCGTCGATTGCGTATGGGCCGGGAGAGAAGTTCAGCATGCTGGATGAATGGCCGAATCCGTTGCCTTTCCTGGTGACGGTTCGCATGCCCTGGTTGAATCGCCGTGCCAGTTCCAAGGAGCCACGGTGCCGGTGGTTGGAGACGGGTTTGGTGCGCCCGCAATCAGACCTTGGGCATAATTCGGGTCCGGATAGTCGTGCGCATCCGCAGATTTTCAGCCCGACAGCGGTACCACGGCGGCCCAAGCGGGTATGAAGCTGTACTGGCATCTTATCAGCTTTTAGCTTTACTGGATTTCCTTTGTTCAAGCGGGAGTTATATACCAGGTGTTGAGGTTTAGTTACTGCTTTTATTAGGAAGGGTTTTGCAATCTACAGGCTGCATTTACAAAGGAATATGTTCGTTATATAGCTATCTGTCTCTACGTAAAAGGAGCCTTGATAATAATCTTTAATTTCTCTCTATACGGACTCTATAGACTTTAAAACAGCAGAGTGCGAAACCAATGCATATGTACCTTTATCTTCCTCTCTAGTAGGGAGCCTAGCCCTTACATCGAACTAAACACTACCCTGCACTTTCTCTGTACTGCAGTTTTCTAAGTTTATTGAAGCAGTTGGGAATTGCAGTGATATAACAGCACTGGCAATACGCTTTGTAACCAAATCAATGCATGTGCACTATTTCCTCGCTCCTGAATAGGGAGTCCAAGAAGCTGGGCAGCTGTTGCTTCGCCAAAATGTTCTCAGTGAATGTCACACAGTGTTTCTTGATACAGGAGTTCCCGAACCGTTCAGTTCATGTGGGACCGGCTGACGAAAGCTTAAGGAGCATTTGTGAACTGGATTATCACCACTACAGTTGTGGGTGCAAGAACCCAGGGAAAGCAAGCGTATCACCAGTGTGCAGCACGCATCACAAGCCGGAACCCACGTCAGATGCAACCCCGTGACTATGAAAGAACCTCCAGACCGGGTTCATATGTGTTTCAAGCATATGATCAAGCCCGGGAAGGACGAGATGCAGAGGCAGGCGCCAGAAACCCGTCAAGGGTAGATCGCGACGATTACTCCCCTCGCAATGCCCACGAAACTGTTCTCTATCTCCGCACTCGCGACAGTGGTGACACCCGGAGTGGGAGGGATCGAGCCACGACGGAAAGCGTAGGAGTGGGAGTCGAAGTGTGGAAAGGAGTGGCGGTGACTGTGTCAATATCGGTGCTGGTGGTGTCAGCCATGCATGTCGATTTTTGGGCATTGTCTGCCAAGCTTCGCTCTCTAGAGTCTTCCGGAGAACAAACCTCATGGATCTCCGCCCACTTCAATGGAGGTAATCAATTTTGAAAGTCATTCCTTGTGATGATTCCTGTTACGAATGAATCACACTCCCTCAGATGCTCGGTGAAGGATGCCGCTGTGAACTTCCTCCTGAAATGCAACGGTCGACTGATGGCGTATTGGGCACACCCAATGCAATGAAATCCCCACTCCGCTTCTGAGCTGACCTTATTGAGCCAGGGCACACGAACAATTGCCATGAAGCGCAGCGGATTTCCAGAAAGACCATCAAAAGGATCCTCTGTTTGCGGCCGACGCCTGCGAGGAGTTTTTGACCCCACGGCAGCCTTCTGCGATATATCATCTTGAATTCTCTTGTTGAACTCTTCGAGTTTAGCAGCTGACGTATCCGACACATATTGCTCCATGGCGCTGAACGACCCATGAAGAGTAGTACCTGCCCGACAGGCAGACTCGCGGTCGACCAGCACAATCCGCTCGGAACATCTCCTTTCGTTCGGCGAATAAGTCCCAGGTAGGCTCCTCATGCAACGCAAGGTGTCGACGATTTGACGGTTGAGTCCGAATTTCCTGATGGCATGGCTACGCCGCAGTGGTAGGTACTTTTTGTTCTGAGAGATGCAGAGGAAGCAAACACGCTTGCAGGTGAGAATGTAGAGATAGCCGCCAAAATCTCCACACTCTTCACAGTTAGCTGTGCATAACTTCTCGTACAACGTATCACAGGAAATCCATCGACCCGTTCCAATACAACTAGCAGCCCGAAGGACCTTGGGTGCGTGAGCTATGATGGCCTTATATTGGGGAATCGATTCGACAACCTCTACGGCCCGTCGGTTTACGCATCGAAGTGCCGCAAGACTGGATAGGTCGAGCATTGAAAATGAAATTTGAAGCAGCTCGAGAGGAAGAGTATCAAGAACTCCAAGCTCGAATTTAGGAGCTTCGATAATGTGAAGAGGTGCATTGTCGGCGGGAATTTTCCCTCTCGGGGCCGGGAGATTGTCGTCCAGTAAGAAGTCGTCGATCCGAGGTACGGGATAGGTGAGGTCTTTAAGTTGTGATCCGTTGAGCAGGTCTTCGTCCATGTTAGCTCCCTTGTAGTCGAGCAAGCGCGCGTTTAAAGACGTTGAGTGCGTTGTGGTTGAGCGAGGTCCGTGTGATCCTGGAAGAACACCCTGTGTACGGCCCCGGGGAAATCAAATTAATGACGTACTGTGGTATCCGGCCGAAGTAGTGTACCTGGTCCGCGCACGACAGGGGGTGCTCAGCCATGTAATAAAATGACGCGAAGCTGAATTTGTCCAAAGTTACATACAGATTCTAATACTTTGTGTGACCTCCTTCTGCGTCAATCACAGCCTGGCATCGAGCTGGCATACTATCAATGAGCTCCCGAAGCACCTCAACAGAGATAGATTCCCAGGCCTCCTGTACAACATCCCGTAGCTGATCGTAGGTAAGCTGCCTCCCCCCTTCTTCCTCTGGGTAATAGACCTCAATATAGTCCTTCATCTTGTTCCATACTGCCTCGATTAGATTAAGGTCTGGCGAGTAGGCTGGCCAGAATATAGGATGAATACCCCTAGATGTAAGCTCCTCTAGAGTATACGCAGCTGAGTATCCTGGTGCCCCATCCTGCATAAACCATAGATAGGGGTTAAGGCGTAGCCAGCCATGAATGAGAGGGATAATCCTATCACAATAGCTCTCCTTGTTGATAGACTTCCACTCCTTCTCCCAAAAGAGATGAGGACCTTTTGTAATACCTAAAAAGCAGGCCCAAAACATCCAGCCACACCTCTTACCTATCTTGTCAACAAGGCAGGTATCCTCAAGCTCTTCCCCAGGCTTCCTTGTAACCCAGATCTTCCTATGCTGTCCATCAGTTATCCAGGTTTTGTCACTCTACAGGATCCTCCACCACTTCCACGGCTGCCAGTTAATATGAGCTTGTGCCCACTCAAGATGAATCTGCCAATTAGCCTTAGTAAGAGGTAGCTTAGCTCGAGCTATACAGCGTATATACCCTCTCCTTCATAGAGCACTCCTAATTGTGTATTCACCAACACCTCAGTGCTCAAAAGGGCTTTGAGCAAGTTGGAGATAACTCATCTATCAGGTATTATGGGACGATCGGATATATACCTCAAGCTCATCGACTTAGGTATTAGTAAGATGGGGTGGATGACCAGAGCATTTTTTAGGTGTAACAGAGCTCCTAGTTATTGCATAACCAACTTGTCTTCTTGTATAATTAAGCTGGTTTGTAATAAATATGTAGCTGTGGCCTGCTCAATGTAGGGCATGGGCCTCAATAATCTCATCACGAGAGAGGTATTGGTGGTGAGGAGGTGTAGATGGAGCTTCAGTAGATGGGGCTTCAGGCATTGTGTTGATGGTAGGTGATAGATATAATACACAACACGATAGAGCTACACAGAGTTCTATACAAGATTAGGGATGCAACTTGTATTTTTGTCTGAATAATATTTAATTACATGGCTAAGCACCCCCTGTCATGCATGGACCAGGTACACTACTTCGGCTGGATATCACAGTAGATGACGCGACACGTCTCGGGTATCGGGGATATTATATTCCGATAAGAAAAGCTTGGCGGATACATCAGCTGCCAGTCATACCATACAGCTCGCCAAGGCAACTAAAAGTTCGCTCCATGAAACTTAGCACAAAGGGGCTTAGCATAGGACTAATAAGAAACTAGATAGCTAGATAATTTCTCTATAGCTAGATAAGAAAAGCTTAGCTAGGATTCTATTTACTTTTAATAACTTAACTTTATATATT